GTAATTTTCGACGATGAAGTCTGCAAGAAGCGCACTGGCGTTCAGAGGTGCCAGGGTAACATCGGCGTCGGGGGAGACGGATGAGTGCGACAACACCCAAGAGGCTGTCGACGCGGACATGTCACGTAGCTCTTCGTCATCATCGTTGAGCATGTCATATAGGACTAGATAGGTATTCAACAAGACTGGGTCAACGCGGGGCTTAGCCCCTGAAGGCCGAAGAGCCCGTGCAAAACTGGCGATAGAGGCAACTGCTGCAAAGCGAGTGGTAAATTCCTGTAAATATTTCAATAATTAGCACAGTGACCCTAAGGTACCTGGACAAAGCAGCAAACTTAAAACTTACGGTCTCTTCGCTCAAGGCAGAGCAAAGTTTGATAGTCCAATTGTGAATATCGTTTTCGAAGGAGATGGAAGCGCTCTCGCGATGAAAGGCGAGACGAATGGCCAAAAGGCACCCTCGAAGGCGAAGCTCGGCGTCTGTTGCTTCGCGGTTCCAAGTTTCAATATCCATCTCAGGGCGGAAGTTATTCGAGATAGCCTCCCACGGTAGATCAAGTCGAGAGACGCCATCAAATTGGGATGCCATCATCTTTTCCAGGATAAAGGCCAGATTCGATGCAGCAATTGTTCTCACGTACGGTGGACTAGTGCCAAGAATCACAGAAGTATACAAGTCGGCCAGTGGCTTTCGGTACCTTTCATCTGTACCAATCTGCTCGTCGAGTCTCTCGGAAATCCAACGAGCAGCATCGGCATCGAACTGCGAAACTCCGTTGTAGAAGGCTGAAAGTCCCTGTGCTTGTCCGGAAGCAAGAAGCTTCAATGTCGTGCACCAGGCTAGTGCTCTTCTTAGCAGCGCGGATGATCGAGTGGCACTGGATAAATTCCACCCTGAATGAGAAGCGTCGAAGACAAAGGTCAAGATCCCATCCAGATCGTGAACTTCAAACATCTCATTGATAAAAGAGATAACCATGGCTGTTCTAATGTCAGTCTGTAACTTCCCCAACTGTATACCCGTTACGTACTCTCGCTTTGGCCTTGAATAGCCCGCTCCAGCGTGCCCACCAATATCTCAACTAGCTCTGCTGCCACAGTCGGTGACTTTCCGGCACGGAATAGAACTTCCAGTACAGTACGTAAAGTAGTGAAAAGGTTATCGATGTTAGCTGACGATTGTTAGCGATGATATAATCCCCCCGGGGGGGGGGGCGGCGGCTGTGTTATACTCACAGGTCCAATATGCATCTGTACTCGCCGCATATCGGCGAAGAGCATACCGCGCACACATAGCCACTCCATGGACATAGTTCTCAGTGATGGTGGACGGGAGCATAACAAGTGCACACAAAGCCTCGGGGATATTTTGTCGCGTAAGTAGCGAGGCATATACGCGAGCTGCATGCTCTCTAACACCCCAAACAGGGCTGCTCAAGTGTGCAAGAACCAACCCACGCAGCATCTCGTCAGTCTCATCAGTGAGACTGGGAACTTTATCACCAACCAATTCAAGGGCAGGGAACACCCGTTCGGTGATGATCTCCGTGCCCTCCGCTGCTTCTCCTTGTGCGGTCGTGAGAAGACCAGAGAGTAGCTCCAATAGACCTGGGTATTTGGGGAATGCTATCCTAGATCCAGGCTCAGATCCAGAGCTGCCTCCGAAACCGGGTCCAGCACCGGGAATAGCGCGGCACATTTTCGTAAGTAGGGCACGGAAAAGCATGAGTCCCGAATTCCGAAGCGCCCAGATAGGCGATCCCAGACGTTCGGCAGACAGCGTCAATGCCTTCATGATGAATGGCTCCGTATAAGGGCCAAGCTTGGCGTTCGTGAAGATATCCTTCAGACAGTTCATTGCATGAACTTGGGGTAGTTCCAAGTACTGTCTCTCCTTATCGTACTCCACAGGAAGGTATGAAATTTTGTGCAGCTCTTCTAAGGCTTCCTTGAAGAATGACGTTCCGGGGTCCGAAGCAACAATTCCTGTTACCAACGCAGGCAAGCCAGCGGATCGGCGAGTAAGTTTCGATGCCGAGTCGAAGATAGTCGATTTAGCTTCCTGGTACCAACCCCGGGGAGCTCCCGAATTGACGGGTCCTTCGCGGAGCTACATCTCTGACAGCATGTCGCAAATGTCTGGGAGACGTTTGAAAATGCACCTCTGTGGCGGAGCTCGGCCAATTGTGTAAAACTCGCGCCTCCGATCTTGGCGAAATCCGCACGCTGGAGCCCGTCATCTCCGCTTGGTCCATAGCTGGTATTGATCAATGTAGCATGGAGGAGAAGGCTAGAACAGTTAGCAAAAGTAATCTGGCCAAAAAATATATGGTCTTACGTTGATTCACGAAGGGATCTCCAAGAATATGAAAGAACGTCCTTGGGCCCCACATTGAGCTCTTCGGTTGGCTCATCCGAGTGACCCTCGGGGGAATCGATACACAATACAGGCTTTGCCTCCAGCCAGATTCTATCACAAATTGAAACAATGCGTTCATGAACTGACCGCCACGCAGCGCATCCCGACTCGTCTGAGATAAGGGTGTGGAAATTGGGCATAAGCACGATGAGCCTGCAAGTTGAATGAGTACAACTTCATCCAGGGGTCTAGGAATTTAGAAATACTTACCTCAAACCAGATGTATAGCCGTGAAGGGGTGCCTCACGCATGCTGGAATTGAAAAGGCCTTTTGAACTCGATAAGCGCTCCTCGAGCTTGGTCAAAAGTGTATCAACCACAGAAGCCTTGGTGGTCCACCAATTTGTAGCCGACTGGCCAGAGTTTCCTGGAAGTGCCGCAGCGAAGATAATGTGGTATAAACGCGCAACGGTATCGGCGTGATCGGCTCTGCTGGTATTGCTTGCCAGGCTCTCTGCCCGTGCTACCGCATCCGTCAACCGCATCCCTACGGCGGAGCTTTGATCGTTGGTGTCCATGCCATTTAATAAAATCTCCCGGGGGCACAAACTCAGGATCGAAAGAGAAGTCTGGCGTACTTCTTCAAACGGATCCATTAGGAGATCAATCAACAGTCGGAGTAAGTGAGCATCAAACACTTCAACTTGTACCTTCCAAACATTTTCAACCTCAGACTTTTGCGGCTTCGCCTCCGTGCGTGGATCAAGACCGGAGTCCAGTAGAAGCTTCAATGCCTTCAATGCTGTAATATGGCGCGGGTATGATGCAGTCAAGCGCAAATCACTCCCTAGGAACTGAATGTATTCCCTCAGAAACTCCTTTGTTTCGCGTTCGTTCTTGGCCTGGCCAGTGGCTGTTTTGCTCGATGCGTTCTCGGCTTTGGAAACAACATCTTCATCCTTCACAATACCTCCCTTTAGGCGCAGAATAAATCGCCGTGTCATGCTGAGGATCTCACCCCGGGTATAGGCATCGGATTCGGCATGCATCGATGGTAGCCCTCGCAGTATTGCTTTGGTTGCTCCGACAGTAAAAGGCTTTAACGTGGAGAAAGCCGTGATGAGCAGCGAGAGAGCGGCAATACGGATGTTCGCTTCGCGGTGAAGAAGGAAATTGCCGATAACTTCGCTCTTCAAAAGCAACAGCTCGCTCTGGTTGATCTTTGCTTTGCTGGTGTTGAGGATATCTGCAAGAATTAGCAATCTTTTCACTTAATTAGACGTTCCACGGATTCACTTACAGTCTTCATGAACCAAATTGACCTTCTTGCCAACTTGTAAAGCAGCGAACAAAAGCATATACTCTGCTTCAGGTTCATCACTCATGTCACCTTTGAGAAGGCTCTGAACAGGGAGGGTCCAAAGGAAAGACCTGAAACCGCTCGGATCAATGGTAAACAACGGTTGCAATAGCCTATTTGACAGATCTTCCAAGCTTTCCTCGCTTTGCAAGACCATCCTTCTCACGGGGGCCACCCAGATTTCAGAGAGCTTTTGGGGCGATGTTTCAGGTTTCATCTTCTGTATCAAGACAGAAAGCAAGTTACCTGCCGAGGCAGCCATGGTCCTGTTATTCGTTTGAGTCAAAAGCCCTAGCACGAAGATCCTGGCTGCTAGTTCGTCGGAAATATCTGACGAGCTAGGTACATGTTGGAAAACTTCACGATCCTTGGCGAAAACGGTGGTCCATCTTTCTGGGCTCTTTTCTAACCACGCTCGAACCGAGGAGATGAACTCAGAGGGCAAGAAAGCACCCTTGCGGATGAACGTCTCAAGAAAAACCAAGCATCCCTTAAGTCGCGAGTGGGGCTCACCAAGCACAATGCTGGGAATGATAGCGTCAACAATTGCAGTTTGTATAACTTGCCGTGTCTCTCCTTGATGGCGTTTGGCTAGAATGGTCGTGATTGAACCCAACAGGTGCTTGATATGCTTCGGCTTGGCATCTTCATAGCGGTTCAAGCAGATGTCGAAGATTGACAACCAGAGCTCGGTAGAGAGGGCCAATTGCTTTGTTGCATCACATTTGGAATTTGTAGCAGCATCAATGAAAGCAGAGCCCGCATTGTAAGCCTCCGCTGAATGAGGTGGTGACAGAGATGGAGTGGACAATGTCTGAAGCAAGGACTGCCACACCCGGTTCACCTTCCTATGAAATAAAGATGTCAGATCGAGTTGTGCTTCTCAACTTGAACACCACTTACTCCGTCTCTTGACATGTCAGTGCGAATTTCACCAATGGACCTTTGGCGATCTCTCGCAGCGTTTTTTCCGACAGAAATTGTACTTTCTGCCCAATGGCTTCCATGTCCATTGACGCGCCTTGCGGGCGGGTTATCTCAGCTGCCATGACCAGCTCGATCCCACATTCCCGGATATTGGATATTGGATATTCGCTCACGGTCAAGAGATATTAATTTTCTTCGTTGCTCCCCGCGCTGCCTGAGGCTCTGATCAGTGGGCTTCCATATCGGGCCTAGCGTTATCTGGCAAACCTTCGTCCACGTGACCATTATCACGTGACCGAAGTTTTTGCTGGCTCCGATGGCAGTGGAGCTGCAAAGGGTCATCACTTCTCTCCAGTCTCCCCTTCCCTTTCCTCCTGTACCCTGTACTTTTATCCCCTAATCCATTTATACCTCCTCTCACAATGTCCATCTGGGACTCCCTCGGCGGTCGCAAGCAAAAGCAGCCCGATGCCTACGACTCTTCGCAAGACGCCACATCCTTTCTCTCCGAGGTCGCAATCCCCGATCCTTCTCGCCTTCACCCTTTGGCTGGTTTGAACCAGGACACACTCGACTATCTCTCCCTCGAAGACTCCGCCCTCGATGAACTCCCCGGCTCCCGATCAGTGTTGCCATCCCGTGGATGGTCAGACGACCTTTGTTATGGTGCCGGTACGACTTATCTCATTGCACTCACTGCCGGAGGCGCATGGGGACTGGCAGAAGGATTGAATAAGACACCGGCCACGGCACCACCCAAGATCCGTCTGAACGGTGTCCTTAACTCGGTCACCCGCCGCGGTCCGTTCCTGGGGAACTCTGCCGGTGTTGTGGCTATGGTTTACAACGGTTTCAACTCGGCTCTTGGATACGCACGAGGCAAACATGATGCTTCTAACAGCATTATTGCTGGCGCGTTGAGCGGAATGCTATTCAAGAGCACACGCGGTGTTAAGCCTATGATGATCTCTGGCGGCATCGTGGCTTCCATTGCTGGTGCCTGGACTGTATGTATCACACTATGTTGTTCCATGCGACGTTTTCTAATCATCCTCTAGGTCACGCGACGGGCCTTCTTCTAGATTGCTGGCATGGCCAGTTTTATCCTACTTGACTCCTCGATTCTCCGATTCTCGGTTATCTGAATCTCCATACCCTCTCCGCCATCTATCAACGACATTGGCGGTTGACGATTAGCTACCAAACTTTGTCTTTCCACCTGCGATGTATTACAACCATTTTTTTCTTTCCCGATCTCTTCACTCCGGCGCTCAAAGCATCCATATTTCGCATTTATGCGTGGGTTGGGAATGGGGTGTGCAACTGGGTTTGTACTTTGTATTTTTTCTGTGTACATAGAAAAGTCTCTTGCATACCTACGGTTCATTGGCTATGGCGCTTCTGTGTCTCTGTCAGTAACGTTTTAATGCTGCTCGGGATTTCCAATAGACAATTTCTCACTTCCTAATATGCATGTCCGTCCTAAAATGGTTGATGAACTATCTTTGTTGCGCTTGGAAATTGGCTCCAATGCGAAGGTTGAAAAGTAGCTATGATGAACACAATTGATATACAGGTACCCCAAATCAAGCAACAATTTGGCGAATATTTTCTAACAACATTCATCCAGTTTCCTTCCAGCCCCCTGCAGCAACTTCAGGGTGTACCACTGCATGCCATCTCTCAATGGAAAAGACTTGCCACAGACCCAGCCAAAAGAATGCCAACCATGCCAATAGCAGACTTCGACAGTGGCTGAGGCGAGAAGACACCAGCAGCCGCATTAGCAGTCGAAGTTGCGCTTGATCCACTAGAAGTACTCGAGCTGGTAGAATCCGCGTCAGTAGCTGTGGCACTGAGAGTCACGACGCCTGTGCCGGTAGCCGTTGCTGTCGCAGTGGCTGTGCCATTGGCGTTGGTGTTGCACCACACCTCGCCAGCCTCAGATGCCTTGATCAGGCACTCAGCAAGGGTGCCAACACTCTGTCCTTGCGCCAGACAGTAGTAGTCGCAGCCGTAATATTCAACGACAGAGGCGTCGGAACAGCAGCTGCTCATGATGGCAGAGTTGTTGTTCTCCATGGGCATTGCGCATGCGGCATCGTGGGTCGGGATGTCGTACAGCTTGGCATGGCAGCTGGAAGTAGCTGTTGCAGAGGAAGTGGTAGAGGTAGTTGTCACAGACATGGTGATGATGGTTTGAACGAGTGGACTGAAGTATTGGGACTTCTGACGAGCTGAATGAGGTGGCTCGGATATTATGGTTAACAACCGGGTCTTGGTGCCTTTATACGCCCTCGAACTGGAAATAACCAGTTCCCACTTCACATCACCAGACAAGCAGCTCTACTGGCGCTCGTGTTGCTGGGGCAAATCAAATGTAAGGTCCTATCATCCACTCAATGCAGTGCTTGCACAGCCTTGGGCTATTGAAGTATACTATATGACGAAGTGTCTCACGCTGGTACCCTAATTCTGCTAGCCGAGACGAATGTCTCCCTATTCTTGGGACCGATTGCCCAGATTGGCTATTTCCGTCCTCTACACACTGTATATCAGGTCTTGGCGAATCCGCTTTGATTGCATTCGAGGGTCGAGTGACGCGTGTTATACCAGGAGGAATGAGGGATTATCCGCTACTGCCTGATGCTCGAGAAATACGACCCTGGATTGGTGGCTTGCAATCAGGGTGCCCGAATGTGGGTAAAGATATACCATCTTTCCCTATGTGACGGGAAACCCAATGCGTGCTCCTCAGCTACTACCAGGCTATGTTCAGTCTGTCCTTGATCTTGATCTATTGCATCGTGACTTCGTATCTTCTTAGCTATGAGTATTGATTTCAGCTTGTATAAAGATCATATCTACACATGTGTTTGAAATGACAAGGACGCTGGTTCCTGGGTAGCAGGGCACGTCAAGCTCGACCCATGCTCGGACTTGCTAAGAATAGGATGTGATTGATATCCGAATATTGCCATTTTGGGCTATTCTGGTGTATGTTTACCCGGCCCAGCAAACGGGGAACTCGGATTTAGATCGCCTCTGGAATCGAGCCAAGTGGATAGCTCCTCGGTGGATCTTTCAGGGCTGTAATGACCGACACGCCGTCCCCTAATGAAATATACAATGCTTAAAATCCAAATCAATGACTTTTGGTCATTATATAGCAATATTCAAACAAATGCCACAAGGTTAGCGTGTAAATATGGAACTTGATACTTGCTTCTAAATATATCAGCAATGTGTGTATACGGGTGGATACTCCGGATTAATATATAACAGTACAGACACCTTAGATGTCATTCTCCATAGCTTACACAGTTAAAAAATTCGTCCTTTTGGCTTAAACAATTATTCAAAATGGAGCGATAATTCGTAAATGGTATATACTGGCTATATTGGTGGGTTTGATGTAGTTGAATACGCTTGTTAGGAATACCACTAGCCAGAGAAGGATGAGAAGGGCAAATAAATGCGAATCTCTAAACGCACATAGCACAGAACAACCCCATTTAAACAACTACCTCTACAGATATCTCTATGATTCAAATTCCTTGTGTGGCGTCCAGACCGGCAATTGCCGACGTGGGGAGGAGAATTCTGGCCGGCCGCGCCAGAGCCTTCACATCTCCTTTGGCAATGCCGAATCTTAATGCGAGAAACCCCAAGCCACGCACCAAGACCTTCACTGGGTGCTGGACTTGCCGGGACCGTCGAGTGAAATGTGATGACGAGCAACCACATTGCCGGCGCTGTCAGCGTAGCGGGCTCCAGTGCGGAGGCTACGGCCTGCGGCTAGGATGGTCCCCAACCCCTGGAGGCCGCTCTCATCGGCGGCAATTACGGTCTTTGACCCATGGGGGTGATGGTCTGTCACCTACCGCTGTGACAGCACTTTTGAATGAATTGGATGGCTGCTCGGGCGACGGCCGTGACCAGCAGCGAGGGCCTTTTTCGGTGTTCTCCGCCTTATCCAAGACGGATGTATGCGCTGACGCTTCACAATCGTTTTCACTGCAAACACGAGGAGAGACAAACCAGCCAGCATCAGACTTGAATGCTACTGCTTCATCAAGTGACAGAGAAAGTGACAGAGACAATGACTTGCCCTCTCCAGGCCGAACATATGATTCTTCGGACACAACGATATCCGTTATATCCGAGGAAGAAGTACCAACAACATCAACTGAGCCAATCTCTCAGAGCGAAGATGAACTTATCTCGGTCGACCTTTTGGTTAATCAGCACAACGCCAGCGGTCTTATACTGAATTCAAATCATTGGACTAAGGCCGCGTCAAATATCAGCACGAATGCTGTCGCTCCCCTGCGGAACTCTCTGAATCCCTTGGCCCTACCAAGACCAGAGACAGAATTGATTCACCACTGGGTCGTTTTCCTCAGCGGCAATATGCTGCTCATTGATGACCCGGACAATCCCTGCCGAGCAGTGTTCATGCCCATGGCCTTGAAAGGTCTCGATGTCTCCCCGGCGGAGTCAAATATCCACCTTTCAATCTTCCATGCTATCTGCGCTTCCTCTGCATTTAGCCTCTACCATATTCGCCACGACCAGCGATATCATTCCCTCGCCATGCAGCATGACCAGCTGGCTCTGCGTCACTTACGTGGGAATTTGCAACAGGCCCAGCGTATAGATGAGACCACATTAGCTGCCGTCCTCACCTGTATCACGTCCGAAGCTATGTCTGGTCGACGGAGCCGGTGGAGGACACACGTTGCTGGATGCCTTGGTCTATTAGAAAATGAATTCCATGGAGACTGGATACGAAGCCCCATTGCTTCGAGATTGCTTCAAAGCTATCTATCTCTTTCGTCACTCTGCAGCCTTCCTGTTTCTGGGCGGTTGATGTCTCTGCTCAATGGTCCTTCGGAATTTCGGCATAATCTCGAGCGATCACATGGAATCACCACGCCACTGGTTCAATTTCTTGCACATATCACAGCCCTTGTTGATTCTCAGATTCAACTCTCTTTTGAAGAGTTAGATCGACTCGAGATGCAACTCTACCTTAATTTTCCATCTCTGTCTAACCCAGACGCACCCGAATCAATCATCATCCAGCATGCTTTGAACTCATTCTATTACGCCACTATCGTTTATTTCCGCCGAACGTTGCGGCGCGCACCACTCTGCGAGGTTCAGGATTTGATTGAGAAAGCGATTCAAGATCTTGAAGCCGTGGATGCACTCACACGTGGCAACGGCGGCTGTTCTTATAACTGGGGCAGCTTTGTGGTCGCAGCTGACTGTGAACGACCTGATCTGCAAGATCGCATGTTGGCCTTCTTCGATCGTAAAAGTCGACACGGTATCCAGAATATCAATTTACTATGCGAGATTGTTCAGGCTTTGTGGAATCGACGGGCAGCGGCTGGCCCGCACGTCGATATCCACTGGCAAGAGCTTGCAAAGGAGGCTGATTTCGACATCATGCTTGTCTGACATATAATATTTATCCAATAATAATATCCTATCTAAATCATCTCAAACTGTGAATCCTCCGTCGACGACTAATGCCGCTCCGCACATATAGCTGCTCATGCTGGAGGCAAGGAACATTATCACATCAGAAATTTCCTCAACCTTTGCAGGGCGACCGATGGGGGTCATTTGGAACTGAGCATCCATTGAGCCGGATTCAATTTGCTCCTTGATGATCGGAGTGTCCACAAATCTATTGATCCTTGTTAGCAATTTCTCCAGGGGCAGGTATATAACAAAGTTCTTACCCAGGACAGATGGCATTGATGCGAATTCCTTGTGGTGAATATGCTTTGGCGTCCTATCATTATATTAGCAGTGTTGTTTGCAATCAGAAAGACTGATCACCATTTTGGTCACTCCAACGACCGCTGATTTCATGAATTAGCCGCGTTTCATAGCAAACATGAACTTAGAAACATACCGTGCTTTGCAGCAGTATAATGCGGAATACCGAATGGCCCTGGTGGACCACCCACACCAAACATAGATGAAACATTGACAATAACTCCTCGACCCTCGCGAATACCACGCGACCTACACAAGTCATGAGTTAAGAGTTCCACAGCACGGCTCACTTATAACATACTCCTGAGTTAACATCTGCCGGATGAGAGCTCTCTGACAGAGCCACACTCCCGTCTGATTAATTGCAATCACCCTATTCCATTCTGCCAATGACATCTCGTGAGTGAAAGTTGGGGTTCCGCTGATTCCGGCGCAGTTGACTCCAATGTCAATGCTGCCGAATCTTTCCACCGTCTTTTGAACAGCAGCGTCGACAGATGCCTCGTCTGCGACGTTGACCTCGAAGATTTCAACCTCGACCTGTGGATATTCATTCCGGAGTTTTTGACGAGTGCTCTCGAGGAGAGCCAAGTTCAGATCGACTAGAGCCAATGCATTGATGCCAGTCTTTCCGAAGGTCAGGGCGGTGGCCTTGCCAATTCCTGTGTATTTGTTAGTGAGTACATATTACTCTGAATCTCTATAGTACCTGAAGCACCGCCTGTGATAAATGCTGTTCCCTTAACCTGGCAAGCCATTTTGAGGTTGTACACAAAGTATGGACGAATTGCCTACTCAGCCAGAGACACAGTCAAGTCTTTATCGGAAAAAACACAACGCTTCATCCGTGATCAGCATCGGACGACGGATGCTACAATTCCCGAGGTATTTATGTATTGAAGACGAGATCTGCGGGTGAAGATGTCAATACATCCGTGTGGGGCAGAGCGGGTTCTGCACTCGCGGTCAACTTCCTCATTCTCTCTCTATACTTCTTACCCGTGTATCCCTATTCCTTTTTGCAACCGACAACGATCCGAGACAGTCAACATTTCAACGGAAGCTGAAGAGCCGATTATCAATCGTCAACAAAATGGACACCGGCACAATGGAGACTCGTCACTTCAATATTCGGTCAACTGTTGCAAGTCATCTAAAAGGGACCAGTGTCCACCCTGAACCCAAGGCGTTTCTCAAAATCTCTCATCTCTGATTATCAATCAAAAAATCACCATGACACAAACGATTCAAATCGAAACCGACGCCATCGTTATCGGCGGTGGCTTCGGAGGCTGCAATTCCCTCTACAAGCTCCGCGAGCAAGGCCTATCTGTGAAACTCATCGAAGCCGGCAGCGCCTTTGGTGGCGTCTGGCATTGGAACCGGTACCCCGGCGCTCGCGTCGATACTGAAATGCCCTCATATCAATTCAATATTCCCGCCGTGTGGAAAGGATGGAACTGGTCGCAGCGTTTCCCTGGAGATGAGGAGTTGCGTCGATACTTCCAGCATGTTGATTCTGTTTTGGGGCTGAGCAAGGATGCTTTCTTCAATACTGTTGTTACTCGCGTGCAGTACGATGCTGGATCTTGTCGGTGGACTGTGGTTACCAATACTGGTCTGCAGGCTACTTGCAAGTATCTCATTGCTGCGACTGGGTCGTCATACAAGAAGCATTATCCCGAGTTTAAGGGCTTGGATACATACGCTGGGAAGCTTGTTCATGCTGCGGATTATCCCAAGGACTTGGATGTCACGGGTAAACGTATTGGGATCGTTGGAAATGGCGCCTCTGGTCTTCAGATTGTTCAGGATCTGGCTAAGAAAGACTGCCAGCTCAACGTGTTTATTCGGACGCCCTGCTTTGCGATTCCGATGAGACAGCGTGAGATCACTCCCGAAGAGGCTGAGATGATGAAAGGCTACTACGATGGCATCTTTGATCGTTGCTACAAGTCTGTTACCGGTTTCCCTCACAACACTCGCTTGCAATCGGCTCACCAGGCCACCCCCGAAGAGAGAAAGGTGTTGTTTGACGAGCTGTGGGCGCGAGGTGGATACAGCTTCCTGGTTTCTAACTACTACGATTTCTTGCTTGACGAAAAGGCCAATTCCATCTTCTATGACTACTGGGTGCAGCAAATTCGTGCCCGCATGACGAATCTGGAGAAGATGGACCTGGTCGCTCCGTTGAAGCAGCACATGTTGATTGGGACGAAGCGACCAAGTCTTGAGCAGGACTACTATGAGATGGTTGATCGTCCCAATGTCACACTTCACAATTTGAAACAGTCTCCTATTGTGGAGTTTGACACCACTGGCTTGGTGACTTGCGATGGAAGCAGCAGCAAACACCAGGATTTGGACATCGTGATCTGCGCGACTGGGTATGATGCCGTAACGGGTAGCCTGCTAGATCTGGGGATCACCGACAAGAACGGTCAGTCTTTGGAAGAGAAATGGAGCAATGGTGTTCTGACGCACTTGGGCCTGATGGTTCCTGATGCTCCCAATTTCTTCATGGTCTATGGACCCCAGGCCCCGACCTCACTCGCCAATGGACCACCATTCATTGAGATGGAAGTTGACTGGATCTGCAAGGCCATCGCAAAGATGGACAAGGAAGGTCTAGGGTCTATTGAGCCTACACAGCAGGCAGCCGAGGGGTGGCGCGATCATGTTGCCGCTGTGAGTGAGCATACTTTGTACCCCAAGACTGATTCTTGGTATATGGGCTCCAATATTCCTGGTAAACGCCGCGAGCCACTCATCTATCTTGGTGGTATGCAGCGCTGGTGGCAGAGCTGCACGGAAGCTTTGGAGAACTGGGATGGATTTAGCACGAAATGAGCGGGACAAAAGAAGGGTGTTATAGGGACAGGTATATTGGAATACTTTGTATCTATAAGGTGACAGTTTGTATGTTAGGACCCGGGGTTGAATCGAGTCAAATTTAAAGACGGAATTTCGAGTCGAGCGTCTCTAACGGCTTGAGAGCCGAATCAAAACCTGAGATACTCTTCACTGAAATGATTTTGATACTACTTATTTGTGTTGGCAAATATATTGACAATAGAGGCACGTGAATTCAACAGAAACAAGTAAAAACCATCAATGGGGCAAATTACTTAGATATTCCAATTTAGATCACAAAATAGCCAACGCATTCGGCGGACTCCCAACAGCACCAGGAACATTCAACGGCGCTGAAGTAAGTAAAAAAGAATACTGTCCACTAACCCAACAAGCCTCACTCAAAGCCTTCAAATCCCAAAGTTCACCAAGCGGAATACCAAGCAAACTCAAACACCACTGATGCAAAACAAGCTCATAAGTCGGTTGTTCAACACCATCAATCATAGAAGGCATAGCTTCAACAGCCATATTATCCGAGGCAACAGCCGCAAAATGTCTATCCCATAGCCAGCGCGCCATCTCCTTAGTTCCTTCTACTCCGCACATCTTGTGGCTGCTCATTGCAGCGCCTTGTTCCTCGCCTGTCATGCCACTTAGTGTTTCGGTGACGCCGAATCGGATTAGGAGGATGTCGCCCGGGCGGAAGGTTATGTTTTCGTGCGCGGCTACTGCTTCGATGTCTGCTGGCCCGATGTGAAAGTTGGAGAACTTTTCGTAAGGGATTTGTTTGGCGTGTGCGTAACGTGCGAAGTCGATTAGTACGCCTCGGCCTGTTACACAGCCACGTTGGTGCCAGTCTGGGTTTTGTGTTAGGTTGAGGATTGGGGTGGTTAGGGACGGGTGGTTTGTCTTACGGTCTAGGGTTGGGAGTTGCTGGGCTGGATTGGGATTTTGGAGGTCTTTGATTGTTGGCTTGGCTCCGTTGTAGGTTAGATCGGTGGAGAGGTGCATGAAGTGACCTGGCTGGTTAGTATTTAGTTCGCCGACTGTTTGTTTCTGGGACGTACAGAAACTATCCCATTGGCTGCTGGCTTGGGTATTAAATTCCACCTGCGGTGATCAGTTATGATCAGAAACTGGGATGAATGACAATATACCTCATCGTCAAATCCGAAATGGCAGCCTGATACTGGGTCTTCGAGTTTCATGACATTGTGGCAAAGACTCTTGCGAAAGAAACCGGGGATTTTGATGCTTCCAATGGGCCAACTATCCGGGGTTAGCCACGTCTCGTCTCACAGTGAAGAGTAACCGACTTCAGAGAAATCGATAGCCCTTGGCGGACCTCGGCTGCAGCATCCTTGACAACCTCCGGAGTAAGCAGGTTCAGCGTTCCAAGAAGGTCCTTGATGCCATTCTTGTCAAACACACCCCAGGCACAGCCTTGGGGCATGCCCTCGACTGGAGGCAAATCATCAAATTTGGGAAGATACGCCATAGTCGATGTATGAAGGCGAGTAGCTTGAAAGAACTATAGATGACCCAAGTACCCCATGCCAAGACACCGATGAAGTGAAGCTCGTCGTCAACTTCCCGAAAGATGGCCCCCCACAGTGGAGTATGGAGTCAAATTATCCGACAATATTGACACATGTGGGTGTATTGCAACTGAAATACAGCGTTTTGGTTATATTTAAATGAGTACATTGAACGCTACACTAACCTTCGAGTCTTATCATTCATTATGCATTTACAATACGACCCTGAATTTCTGAAAGAAGCTGCTCCAATCCTCGAACAGCTGGCGCAGACCCCAAAGCCACCCTTGCATGATGTTGCAACGAGGCGCGCGATGCTGGGAGCTATGACGAGCGATGACTTCCCCCTGCCAGAAGATGTGGAACATCGAATTTATCAGGTCGCCGCGCCAGACGGACATAATGTACCTGTCTATCACTTTTGCAAGACACCATCCCGTGTGGGAAGGCAACCGGCTATTATTCACATCCACGGTGGGGGATACATCTCTCTCAACGCTGCGCAATGCGCCAGGTCTCATCCGCCTGCTGTTTCTCAGACGGGGGTTCAAATCTTCAGTGTCGATTACCGATTGGCACCCGAGGACCCATATCCAACGCCTTTGAATGATTGCTGGGCTGTCTTTGAATGGGTTCGCAGTAATGCGGAACAGCTGTCAATTGATCCAGCACGCATTGCAGTAATGGGGGAAAGTGCTGGTGGTGGCCTAGCTGCTGCTCTGACTCTGCTGGCCCGCGATAGAGCGCTGTCGCCACCTCTTGCAAAGCAGATTCTTATTTATCCCATGCTGAACGATCGGACTGTGACCAACCATGCGGGTGAGTTGGCATTCTGGGACGCCAACGATAACATCACGGGATGGACTGCATATCTGGGACCGGACGTCGGTGGTGACCAGATTGTCCCGTACGCTGCTCCGGCTCGAGTGGAATCGGTTGAAGGCCTACCAGCGCTTTACCTGGACTGCCCGCAATTGGATATGTTTGTGCACGAGGGTATGGAATATGCACGCCGGTTTGTGGCAGCCAATATTCCCACAGAATGCCACATCTACCCAGGTCTGCCGCATGGGTTTGAGGCATTAGCCTCGGGCGCCAGTCTCACAAAGCAGGCCATTGCCAATCGCTACAAGGCCATGACCAGCTTTTGACGTAACCAACTTGGGAGTTGAGAGATAAACAAGAGTGAGCTTCACGGTAGCGGTACTCATAGCAAGAATGAATATAATACAACAGGACAAAAAGATAAGTACATACATCCACGATTATTCCGTGTAATATTGTATCTGCCGTCTTGTGTATTTAACACGAAAAGTGGGCGTGTATCAGATACCCGAGTGGGCCGTGGTCTATATAAGGACGGGATGCCAGTTCTGGAGTGTCGGTTCCCTCTGTCAGGTTAATAGGTTTTTTTTTTTTCAAGATGACTTCTATCCCAAGACCAAGCATCGATATCGTCCAATGTATTGTGGACAACCAAGTTGCCATCGTCACTGGCGCTGCTAGAGGCATCGGCTTTGCCACGGCATCTCTCCTGGCAGAATATGGAGCACGAGTCATTCTGGTAGACCTCCGAGAGGACGACCTGAAGGCAGCTTGTGCCAAAATCGGCGAACAATCCACATACGAGGTCTGCGACCTGAGTGACTGGGATCAGCAGGTGAACCTGTTTCACCGCGTGTCAACTACAATCGGGCCGATCAATCTGCTCGTCTGCAATGCAGCGGTCAATCCCGAGATCGCGCTGCTGCAGGTATCCGACCCGGCGAATCATGCGCAAATGAATTCACAGGTCCGCTTCAATTACCTTGCGGATGAGAAGAACCACCAGAAGAGCGATACCTTGCAGCGCCCTTCAACTACCCTTTTTGAGACCAACTTAAACTCGGTTGTGTTTGGTCTCAAGCTGGGCATCCATTATATGAAGCCATATGGGGGCCGAATCGTGGTGGTCGCGTCAGCGGGTGCGTACGTGCCAATCCCCTCCCAGCCCCTTTATTCAGCGAGCAAACACGCGGTGCTGGGATTGGTCCGCAGTACTGCAATGATGGACGAGGTGCTTCGGTCGGGCATCTCCATTTCCTGGGTGGCACCCTGGTTGACATTGACGTCAATGGTGGAGGGCCTGAAGGCAACCACCAACCCGGATAACCTGAAGAGTTCTCCCGGGGACGTCGCATGGGCCATTCTTGCAGCAGCGGCGGCCGAGGCACCCAATGGCAAGGGGTATTGGGTTCAAGGTACAGCGATCAGCGAGGTCGAGAGAGCCTACGGCGAGGTGGCGGGGCGGCTGATCTCGCCGGAGAATCGGTTCTGAGCGGGAAAGTCCGGGATCCTGTACGGCACCTGTCGGAGATCGGGAATGAGGAACAGTTGCCTTCTTTGCATTTAGTTCGTGAGAACCTCGTATTGGGTCATTTTGTCAGAGCCTCGAATGTTAGCGAGAATGGGGAACCCAAGACCAAGACACATTTAAGTTCGGCCAAGCCCACTGGGGAAGCTCCGGCGAGATGAGCTAAAATTAACTGCGTGCAGGGGCCCCTGCGGCATATGAGTGGCAGGTTAACCTTTTCCGGATCATTCCAAGTATGAAGCAAGTATGAAGCAAGGGTTAGCTATGTGAGGAGAGAATATGTGTAGAGAGAAGAAGAAGAGAGGAAGAGAGGAAGAGCAGCGGGAAGGAGGTCTAGACCGGGAAGGGAACGACGGAGTCATTTTCCACAACATTTCACCACTTTACAGTCTACAGTCTACAGTCTAAAGTATATCTACGATATATCTACAATATATTAAACTATACTCCTAGAACATACTATTCGACTGGAATATATAATATAATAACTGATAGCTCACATACACACTCGAAGTATAAGTAAACACTGCGGGGAACACTAACCGCAACCGGTCAGCTGACCAGCCTATACTGGTTTTTCTGCATCATCGCCCTCAGTCTCCCGTCATTTGCTATTTCCTGGCCTTCGGCTTAATCTTTGGCCCTGCGAGGCATCCCGGCTCTCGTCTCTGCTCTCTTTTGTTACCTCCCAGCCTCCTATGCGGTCTGACTCTTCCGTGTAGATAGACCCTTAACGGGTCTCCACGCTAAGCGCTTTAGGTCCGGAGGCTGAGTCGGATACCTTTCATTGCCTTATCTTGGTGCATCTGCGCATTTGCGCCTTTGCGCCTCACCTTCAGACCCCCATACCCCCGGCTGTGAGAACAGCTTTATCAGTGGCTTGCCGGTTTCCCGTTTGCGGTCGAGTCATCCCACCATTCTCTTTGTGACCGAGTCCGGCATGGCCTTTCACGATGCAAACGAGAAGGAGGACGCACCTCTCCTTGTAGACGACCTCACTCCTTCCTCATTTAATCCGTTGCCGTCACTGCAGATTCGCACCGACTTCCCCAGCTCACGACCGACCAGTTCGCGAGACTCGGATTCACTGTCCATCTTGTCCAGCAGTATCCCACGACGAACCCCGAGTCTTCGCGCCCTCATCGCACCCCCCATTTCCAGTGCTGGATCGTTGTCTCCGGCGTCGATCATGTCCTCGCCGCAGTTGACTGCAATGGGCGACATCACACCCTTACCCTCCCCGATCGGAGGTGCCTCGCCGTGGCGGGGTCCTGGCTTGCCGTCACTGTCCCGCAGCCCATCAATGGCGTCGCGCAGTGGTTCCAGCCTGCGACTGAGTGATTCATCGCAAATGCTTGGACCTCCCGCTGTGTCCCGATCGCGCGGCAAGACATACACGGGCATCGATAACGCCGGGGAGGAGTCACCCACTGCGACCCGTTTGCGTCGCGAGTCCCCTCACAAGCATGCGCGCAATCGCAGTCTGAGCGACTACGCACCCCCTGGTCGGATTTCCATCCCACAACGTCCGATCGCAGTGTCGGGGACCGCCAATCTAGGGATTGTATCCTCATCGAGTACAGATGGGAAGTCCAATGGGCTTCATCGCGAACAGTATCTGGCGGTCCACCGTGGAATCACTTTGCCGACCATCCGTCCGCCCAGCCCACCGCGCAGTAGTGGCAGTGGGTATGGGGACAGTGACAACGAACCCGTCATCCAACATCCCAAGCCCCTCTCCTCCCCCCAGGAAGTGTATTCAGTACGGTCGGTTCGGACGCAACAAGCTCGCATGTACCAGAAGATCCGGGCTCTGGGTCAGGGTACATTCAGTCAAGTCAGCCTGGCAGCGCGCCTTGAGCCTCTTCCGGACGCCCCTCTGTCCCCGCACAGTGACGGAGGCGCTGAGATCCAGGGCTCGCTCAACACTCAGAAGTTAGTCGCAGTCAAGATCATCGAGCACGGGCCCGCAGGGGGCGCAGACGAAGGGCGACTGGAGGTGTCCCTAAAACGAGAAGTCGACATCCTCAAGTCAGTCAATCACCCGTCACTCGTCCAATTGAAGGCATTCGGAAGCGATGAGAAGCGGGCCTTACTCGTTCTGGACTACTGCCCTGGCGGGGATCTGTTCGAGTTTGCAACATCTGGAGCGCCCCCTATGTCCCCAGGCTTGATTCGACGCATCTTCTCCGAGTTGGTTGACGCTCTGCGCTATCTGCATGCTAACTACATCGTCCATCGGGATATTAAGTTAGAAAGTGAGACAACTGCTAAGACTCTTTTGTCTCTGTACTGACCACTGCTCTAGACGTCCTCCTCACCATGCCTGCCCATGTCATGGATAATGTGAAAGACTGGCGCACTTATGACCGTGCCGTGGTCACACTCAGTGATCTCGGTCTATCGCGACGTATCCCCGAGCCCCCCGAGAGCCCACTACTTCAGACTCGGTGTGGCAGCGAAGACTACGCCGCCCCCGAAATCCTGATGGGCCAGGCCTACGACGGCCGTGCGACAGACGCCTGGGCACTGGGTGTCTTGCTCTATGCCATCATGGAGAACCGTCTGCCCTTCGATGTTCTACCCGGGACTCGTGGAGACCCAGCCAAACTTCGTGCTCGCACGCCTCATCGCATCGCCCGCTGTGAGTGGGCATGGTATCGATATGCCAACGAGGACGAAGAATGGGACCCCGAGAAGGGGAAGGGCCTTGACGGTGCCCGTGATTGCGTCGAGGGACTCTTGAAACGCAACACGAAACGCAAGTCCCTTGATGAGATTGCCGCCATGGAATGGGTGCGCGATGCGATCTGTGTGCCCGATGGGCTGAAACGAGGCGACAAGGAAGTGCCGTAGAGCAGGTCTCCCATTTGCACATTGCTGTCTCGTATATTACTTTCCTTTCTTTTTTTCCTACCTTTCTTACTCACTCTCTTGCCCTTCTTCTTCCATTTGCATATACATACCTATACCTTTCCTTATTCACGTTTTCTACGCGGCACGATGGCTAACTCGAATGCACCGTGATGGATATGAACGTTACTTTTCTGTGGCTAGACCAATTGTTATACCCTTTTTACATACGCTACCTTATGAGGTAGAAGATCAAATACAAGAGACTTAACTTCTCTCCATTCTATTAACCAGGCATTGCTTCACTGGACGTAGTATACATGAAGCAGAGTTTCACAAAATGTAACGTTTCGCTTTACCCTAACACGGGTCACGCCCCAAATTGCTTATAAATACTCATAAACTTTCCAAGGACCTATCCAATCCTACCAAAGTGGAACAGATGATGAGAAAAGACCTCCAACGTACCGCGCGACTTGCAACATCCGTGTAGGGCTTCCGACCTTCCGAAGTGGACCCCATCTCAAATGCCTCAGATCTGTAACATACCTGAACAATGTGGGACTAATAAGTAATTCTAGCATTGATTTTCCGGTAGTTACAATGTTACTATAAACATTCAAGAACCCTACAGTAAGGGACAGGGAATAGTTCCACCGCTGCTGCATGTTATACATAATCTCCAGAATAAGCATTTCGGCTTGTATTCTGCCAGATGAGATTGAAGGATCTCATGTCTCATCTTGTTCCCAAGGATCTATCTTTTATACATCGGGTTAGAAGAGCAATCAATCCCACACATGTGAATCCCGAGTTGTGATCGTCCTGGTGGTCTTGTTTGAGAGCCAAACAACTTCAATTTCCGAACATTGTGACGTCAAAGAAAAGAATATTCAGCTGAAACTGCAAAAGGTTCGTTTACGGCGAATCTCATTTGTTGATCTGACGCCCGAGTTGGGGCTGTGCTGAGGCCTCAGCCTATAGCGAGTGGGCCGAGGTGATACTCGCGTGGCGCATGGTTCGTTTCGTCAACAACCTGCATATATCCATGGCCATCCTTGTCTCTCAGGGATTGGGTCACTGACTGGCAACTATGGAATTATATCAAGTCTAACATTGGATTTGGAACTTCAAAATGGCATTTGGACATTCAACTCGCTCAAGGAGACGCTCTACCTCTCCAGAACCGCCCCCAAAACCACCACGTCCGCGTCAGCGAGCTGAGAGCACACCTGTGCCGCCGACTCAATATGGCTATCGCTATGCAACAACGTCGACATATTCAGTCAACACTTGTCATGCTTCACCGCCTGTCGCGCCTTATCATCAAATAGGCACAATGTCTATGGTCCGGCTGCCCCCTCAACCAGCACTCCCTCCACCACAGTCTTCTTCGGGGACGTTAGTTGCCAGTCCACAGCCAGTATGGAATCATCAGCAGCCACTACCAGCACGAAGGCTTTCAAAATGGAAGTCATATACGAGCCTTAACCAGTCTATGTCTCATCTTGTATCGCATACTGTTGAGAAAACCAATGCAACTATCCAGGAACTCGAGCAACTTGTTCACCAAAGCTTGGGTGGTGGTGCGAATGTCAATGAAGCCACATCGCGGTTGTTAGATCAGGTTATTACTTCTATTGATTTGGGATCATTCTGTGGAAGAGAGAGTGAACTCAGTAAGCCACAATTACTGACCTATCTACTTTCTTGGGACTTGTTGCTGACTGGATATTGTAGTCGCCGCATGTGCTGTCCCTTCTCAGTCCGACAGAAGAGATCGCCGTTCACAGCGAACAGGAAAGAAACACACAGGGTCTGTGGATTACTTCTCCAAGGTGTACTTGTACGCAAACTCACGACTACCACTGCATATACAAACATTGAAATTGTAAGTACGCCCCCATAGTTTGAAAGACAGTTACTAACATTCAATCTAGTTATCCCGCGACATATCCTCTCCTCCAACTGGCAGCCAAGTACTCCCGACGTGCCTACGACAAGCCTTCAGGGCGAGAACGACATTCATATGTCGGCTCCGACTGGCTTCAAGGTACAAAAGCCATGGTCGTAAAGTCGCTGCCAATCGATGATATGAACACAATTGTCTTCGCCATACGAGGCACGCAAAGTTTCATCGACTGGGCAGTCAATGTCCACACGGCACCGACGTCTCCCTCGGGGTTTCTGGATGATCCTTCCAATTGCTGTCATTCTGGATTCCTTTCAGTGTCTCGTAAGATGGCTGCCACTGTTGCAGAACGGCTGCGCAATTTGCTCGAAGAGGACCCGTCTCGTATGTCCTATTCGCTCGTTCTTACGGGTCACTCTGCTGGCGGTGCTGTCGCCAGTCTTCTATATCTGCATATGCTTTCTGAGTCACCAGCGGTGCAGTCTGAACTCACACACCTTCGTGGGTGCTTTAGACATATCCATTGTGTGACATTTGGTGCTCCGCCTATCTCACTGCGACCGCTTCAGCCCTCTCCCGCTGCCCTGAGGTCAAAATCTCTATTCTTCGCTTTCATCAATGAAGGCGATCCAGTAGCCCGAGCCGATAAGGGGTATTTTCTCTCGCTGTTGGATCTTTACGTCTCGCCGGCGCCAGGCTCTATGCTCACTCTATACGATCGCAAGAAACAACATGCACCTATCTTATGGAGGACTCCTGCATCCACTCGCGCTGGCAGGTCGCCTCATTGTTCTTCGACCGCGAGAACAATGGAGTGGCCGGCCCGTTGTTGTAGCACCGCCTGTCTCTGGCGGTCCTCCCACTCTGCCGCCGCGCGAGAAAGTGGATGCTTGTGGGGTTACAGATACGGAGTTACGAGGTGTTGTATTTGGAGATCCAGTCATGCATTTCATGGACTTGTATTCTCGCCGCATTGATGCGATCGCAAGAGGCGCCCTGGGCAAGCGATGAACTCATGTGCCTGTGATATGTAATCTTTATTGAGTCTCAATCATGATGGCGGGCCATCTGATTCCTAAGAATATATACCCTTTGAGTAGTTATACGCCCATCAGAGTGTTTGGTCCATGATCCATTCAGAACCTTCAGGTTCAGGGCCACCCAACCAGTCCTGGTCAAGTGATAAATCATAACTGAGCCCCGGGATGGCGGCAAACTCGCCCAGTTCATTGGGAAAAGACGAGAAAAATCCATCAAAAGAAGGAACGGAGTTCGGAGAATGCTCATCGAACGGCGGATCCAAATTGGTCGAAACGAGCACGTCACTACCATCCAATGGATCGCCTCGCCAAAGCTTCGCCCATTCTTTAAACTGATCATAGCCGGATGAATCATCCGTCGTGCCTCTCTGCTCGGTCACTGTTTGACTGTGCAGTCGTTGTCTTGCCCGTTCAAGTGCCTCGATGACAGCCACTTCGGATCGCGCGGATTCCAGCCCGGCGCAGACCTGGCGGATAAGCCTCATACCCTGAGACAATGCACCAGATATTGTGCTTGTTGGTTCGTTGATACTGTGGGCAATAAGTGCCAATAAAGCAACGCGACACCCGTTGAACTCAGTGTATGAGACACGCGCGAGGCCGACAGAGTCTTGTAGAAGCTGACACAGCTCGATGACTCTGAGTGCTGCATTAAGTGAGTCACGGCGAAGAGTGTTCACAATATCTGGGACTTCGTGAACGGGTGAAACAGACTGTGGGTTGAGCGACCCAGCCGACGCCTGAGATATGATGAAAGGGCGGCCCATGTATATCAGTGTTGTTGTATACATGATTTCAAGATGCACATTGCAACGGAAGAAGGGCCCGCTAGGAGTGAGATCGCGACAATAAGTCTCGGAGGGAAGACTGTTCCACCACGAGCTTAGTCGATCGCGGGTGGCGGCAAGTTGCCGAAGATGTTTCTTTTTCCTGGCTTTCTGGCAACGCCTCAAAGATCTCATCACTTCCGATGCCTTTGCCAGATGGTTCGTCAAATGGATTGCAGCGGTAAAATTGGGTAGATTGCTCAATTGGTTAATCGGACGTAGAGCCGGCAGATCCATAGGCATGGGAGCATCGATTTCGGTGGGGGAAACTGATACAGGGCGGCCATGTAGAATGCCGATGCGACTATATAAGAAGTAGAGCTTTTAGCACTTGGTATTAGATACCTTGGGGTAGAGAGAGTAATGTACCTTTCTAGCGAATATGCAGACCACCAGAGCCGATTTCGCACTTCAATGATCTCTGCGCTCACGTTACCTGCTAGCAGCTTGCGGTGCATGCCATTTTGAACCGCCATTTTGATTGCCAGGCCGTAGTATATGTACGCCAATCCAGATGTGTCGATTGGCAAAGTGTACACACCCAAGAGTAAGAACGCCTGGACAGTCTCCACACTTGCAACTGTGATGAGATCCGGGATGAGTCGACATGAAAACCGATAGAGCTCCAACCCAATCTGATCATCAGGGGTGCTTTCTGTTGTGGAGGCGCCAGCGGGTGCCGATTTAGTCTCCATATGGGCAAACTGTGTGCCAATTGCGAAAGTCATGAGAAGAGTACATATCCAACCGGAGTCATTGATGGACAGCACATGCTCAGCTGCATAGTAATAGTCCAGTTTCTCACGAAACCTTGCCTCGTGGAAGTAAAAGTAATTGGTTTGGCTGAATTTCAAAAAAGCACTGGTCAGGAAATCGGCGATATTCTTTGGGGGGAAATATGATTTCGCAAGCGCGACGCAAGAGCCAGACGACTGCAGATCAGTCGCTCGAAAGAAGCCTTCGGTATGGTCAACACTCTGGATTTCTGTTAGCAGCGTACAAGAGACTACAACTGATACGAGAGGCCGCTCGGCGAACCTTTTGCCCTGTCCTGTCCCCGAGACTTCGTAGTCGCCGTTCGAGCATTCTGGAAAAATTCCAATGGGACAACTCTCCCGAATAATCTTGAATCACGTCAACCTGCTGAGAATCAACATCGCGATGGCCAACATACGCATTGTACTGGTGGAAAGAGGGTCTATGGAGTAGTCATTGGTCGAGGTGTCATCGTGTGAGACAATCGAATCAGTATCCGACCGTTCTTGGGTCAGATCATGATCCTGGGTCAAGTTATCTGCAATATCTCGGAGCGTGCTGGTATCGAAAGAAACATCACCCAAAAAAGTGAGTAATGATTCGCCTCATTTGAAGTGTGTTTGCGTGCTGCTCCAAAGACCCCGTGTCACTGCTACAAAAATGAGCTTGTCGTTTCAAAAATACTGTTGGTAAAGGCTCACCTAGTTCGGCCATTCCTGGCTTCTGTTGGTAGTCGACCGGCATTCTCAAAACGACATGCTCTTTGCTGCTGTTGGCAACGGGTGCAAGGGTTGCCGCCTCCACCTTTCACATTGAATTGGTTAGCGGATACTCAAAACGATTGCTTATCCCATTCTTGGGCTATCGAATAGGTGCAAAGGTACACTTTTCCTTGTGTTGGCGACAAGGCAAGCATCTAACAGTATTAGAATCTAAATGTCTTGGTATATGGCGTTACTCACGCTTGTGCCGCCCGCTTTCGCAACGACTCCGGTACACGGGGTCGTCTTTGCCTTCCCTTGCGTATCTTGGTGGTACTTGGCTCGGTCATCGCAACATAGGGCAAATTGTTCGTCAAAGATAAAACGTCGCGGGAAATTGTTGGTTTATGGCCTCCCTGCCTGAGGCACAAATGACGTAAGCGACTCCAGAATCCAGATCCGAACCAAAATATAGACGCTCACCGGAATATAATGAGAAGTACAGTACGTAATTAAGGGAAGTCATTTGATGAAATTGAAGAACTAGAATGACACCTAAGTCGTAGGTAGAACTTAGGTGTACATGTCAAGCATATGTGCCACGTGACCAGAAACGAGCCAGCGCCACGTGATATGGCTTTTACTTGAATGTTGCTGGGACAAAAACGAGCTCTTTTAAACTGGTGACGCGAGCTGCGCACGCTGTAGCCCTGAAACGGTGAGGACGACGGGCGGGGATGAGAAAAAAGGAAAAAGGGACGTTGAGTTGCTTTCCTAATACTTCACAATGCAAATGAGCGGCGACCAATGAGAAGGTAGATGATATGACAGATAGCCGAACACCCTAGAAAACAGAAAAATCAGTAATTCTGCTAATTAACGATTGTATTTCGATTGTGCAAGTATATTGGCGTATGATGTTTTTCGTTGTCTTCGAGCACGCCTCTCTGGAGGTGGGGTGCTAGCCCGTGGCGAGGGTTCGTTTTCGTCGACGGTTTCTGGCCATGTAATTTGTGTGGTCTCCCCATCCTCATTATCATGTGCGACTATTTCAGCGCAATCTAGTCGCGGATGGGTGGTCGCGGAAGTGGGTGTGGTCACGTAAGGCTCATCACTCGGACTCGCAGCGGCGGATTTCTCCCGTCATAAGAACTCTAAACTGTGGCACGGAGAAATGCCGGGAACACCAAAACCTTCAACCGTCTCTGTCGGGCATCCCCACGGGGAAGTGGCGAGTCGTCATGTCCAGCTAGCTGCATTAGGAAGGCGCCTAAGCTATTTATTGCCCCTACATGGATGCCCACACCTCGTATGATTTCTATATAATCTCCTACCTCTCCTGGGTTGTCCAGCTCAACATACACCATGTCTTCTCTTCTCAAGCTGAGCCTGTTAGCGGCTGTTACCGCCGTGGCAGGTGGTGACGCCGTCCATGTAAGTAGCCTTTGCGCAGTTGAAAAACCCACATCCACACTAGACTAACCACGCCCCAAGGCCATCAAAGCCCGTTCCATTGCTCCCGTATGTCCCAATCCAGCATCACTGCTGTCGCTTAGTGACCCGCCTTACTCGAACTACTTCTACTCGGACTGCAATGTCGCCGCGCAGGCCGTGATCACCAGTCCACTCCCAGATAGTGATCTATCGATCATTGGTCCGAGGCTCATTGTAGCATGGCCAGCCGGAAACAGCGGCGTCTGTGCATTCTTCGAGCCGCAGAACGGCGTCAATGGCTCGCTCGCTATCGGGCTGGTCAATTCCACCGGTGAACAGCTTTTGAACCCCGTCTACGATGCACCTGCCAAGGGAAACGAGTATCCCAGTGTCGGTATCCAAGGCATCCTTCGCTTTAACTCCTCCGCAACTCTGACAATTCCGATCCTGGGGAGTATCCGCACGATCCGTGATTTCACTGAAGGCCCTAGTCTCCTTTATCCTGAGATCCAGGATGCCGTGTCCTTTACCTCGAACAGCGACGGCAGCGCTACGCTCAATCGGGTGTGGTTGGATAACGCCACTTCTACAAAGCTTACCTTTGCTCCCAATGGCACGAACAGCAAAGTTGCTATCTCCAACAAAACCCTCACCTTTACCCCAGGAGACTACCAATTCTCCGCTAAGATGGACTACCCCCAATTGTCCCAGCTTAAGCCCAGCGCAGTACTAAATAATGCTTCAACGGATCTTACGACCAAAATGCTTGACCAGACAAGTGCTCTCTCGTTCCTGTCATATTCTGAGAAGCTCCTTGCGGGTGCTTGGCGATTCTTGACGTATTTCGGCCGGGACTCAATGATCTCGGCGCTGCTTTTGGAACCTGTGCTCAGCTATGGAAATGGCAGCTCAATGGAGGCTGTCATTGGCTCGGTACTTGAGAGAGTGAACCGGACGGACGGAAGTGTCTGCCATGAGGAAACTATCGGGTGAGCTTTTCATAGCGTTGTTTAAGTTATGGTCTGAGTATAATGGCTGACTATTAATAGGGACTACGCGACGTACACGAACTTGCAACAGAATATTAGCAGCAGTGCGATGATTTGCGATTATAAAATGGTTGGTCTACCACAAGAAATAGTTATGGTCAATACTAAGGGGTGCAGATCGACTCGGATTATTACCTTCCTATCTTGATGGAGCGGTACTTTGTGGAGAACGCAGTTGGGCAAAATAGAGTGGCTGCTTTTTTCAAGTAAGTTTTCTTGTCTTGAATGACGTACACAAGTATTAAATACTCTTATAGCCAATCCTCGGGCATCAACGAGGTAAATAGGAACTTGACCTGGGGCCAGCTCGCAGATATCAACGCGGAGCGCATCATGCGCCTCGCTGCTCCTTTTGCCCGGGACCAGAGGAAAGAGAACCTCATCCACCTCAAGGAAGGCCAGGTAGTCGGAGAATGGAGAGACAGTGAATACGGTACATATCAATTATTGACACCCGCGGAATTCATATAAATATACTGATGGCTTTTTTAGGCATTGGAGGAGGCCGTATCCCCTTCGATGTAAACACAGCCCTCGTCCCTGCAGCTCTACGCTCCATCGCCACTCTCACCCGCCACGGCATCTACTATAAGCGAAAAGATTGGGCCCGAGTCGCAGACGCCTACGCCCAGATCTGGGAAGACAAAACACTCTCCTTCTTCGAGATAATTGTCCCACAAAAAAAGGCCCAATCTCTCGTCGAGTCCTACGCCACCAGCTCCTTCGCCGGGCCAAGCCAATCCAACTCAATCGATACAAGCGTCGTCTATCACGCAGTCGCCCTCGAAGGAAACAACAACCAGACCAAAGTCGAAATCATGAACACCGACGACTGTTTCCGCCATTTCCTCCTCAACACCACAAACGACGCCCAACTCACCTCATTCCTGAACAACTCCGCTACCAACGTCCGCCGCACCTTCCCCGCAGGCCTAATGACCTCCGCCGGAATGGTCGTCGCCAACCCAGCCTTCGGCGAAGACCCCGTCTACGCGCAGAACTTCACAACAGGTGCTTATCACGGCACTGTCATCTGGTCCTGGCCTCTGGCTATGATGGCAAAAGGGCTAGAGAGACAATTGGGTCGATGCGAGGTTACATCTAACGTACCCATTTCATCTCGCTCAAAGCAACGTGTCCCGGCGTTCTGCACGGATGATTCAGTGTATAAAAACGTGAGAACGGCGTATAATGTGCTTTGGGATAATATCGAGAAGAACCAGAACCAGCTTTCGCAGGAGGTTTGGTCGTGGGTTTGGAAGGAGAATGACTTTAAGGTCACGCCCTTGGGTGTTATTTCCCCGCCTGGCGGTGGTAGCCAGACCGGTATGTTCGTTCTTTTCTTGCTTTCCGGTTGGTTGGTGGGTTGGACCTGGTACTAACACAGTATAGAATCGGACATTCGGCAGCTTTGGTCGCTCGCTTTCCTTGCTGTGACTCGGAATCGCCACTATCAGTGAGAGAAGGTGCGGGGTTCGCGTTCGAAGGTCGGCCATACCGGTGTCGTCGACCTCCATGTAGTGGAGAGGGACGAGTAGCTGTAAGGTATGGTGATGTAGGTCGTGTGCTGAAGGTCTACCAAGCAGTGCGGGGCCCTAGGGAGCTTTTGCTCTAAATCTTGTGGTCTGTATAGATATATTGCCTGGGGTGAAGATGAGATTGCAGATAAATGGAGCTAGCGGAGTACAATGGAGACGGTAATATGTGCAGAGCACTGCAGACCACGGACGGCAATACGAGGACAGATTTGAATATGGAAATTCTTAAAAGGGAGCAGCAAATGTAGAAGACACAAAACTTGGAAGGGAAAAAAGAATAAGATTAAATCAAACGGAGGCATAGGAAAGCATTGGTGCAAAGGACGGTTACCTGGACGAGGTGGAATAAACGGCGGATAGCAAGAAGAGTGCAGGGAATAGGCAGACTATCACAATAGCGGAGAGAAATGGTAAACGGTACAATACACGATGATGAACCTTGTAAAACAGGAAGAACAGGAGATCGAAGAGACAAACAGAGACAACCACCACACGAGAAGGAGGGAACGTGATCAGGAATCCACAGGGAGGCTGGCGGGAGAGTTGGGTGTGTGTTTCTCGCAGTGTTTCTGGCAGCGTCAACGCTGGCGTTGGGCAGCCGTGGGGTTAAAGTAACCCCTTCATTTCGGTATTTCGTTTCAGGGCTTTGGATACAATCTTCACAGTGCAATCAACGCCAGACATCCTACAAGTAGGGGAGCTCCTCCTGTATTGACTTACTTGGCGCTCTACCTGGCACGCCCACAAGGCTTACTCTTGAGGTACGAACCTGTGTAATGCTTCGTACAGCAACGGTACTGTATGGTTGCGAGTCGGGGGCCAGCTCACAGTGATCAATTAGCAATGGAGTTATAAGATTTGCAGATGAATGAATATTCCATTTTTATAACACGATCTACTCAAGCAAACACTAGACTTATATCAATCAATCAATTCATTAATTAAAACTAAACAGGTCAACGAGCCTCGGAATGTTCAAGCTGTTTAACTTCATCACAGATACCGCGCTGTAATCAAGATAGCAATGGTTCACCCACAAGCAGATAAAACTCTCTTTTCAACTCGTGGAGGCGTTCCCCTGAACGGCTCTGTGCACAGCTCAATAGTTCATCCCGGAGTCTCTGTGCTTCAATTTCTCGAGCCTCAGCCTCCTTCTGGCTCTCTGTTTCATAGATCCACCAGCCAGATAGTGGCTGAATAACATTTCTTTCAGTACGATCACTGATTTCCGTGTTTCTCATCGTGCTTTCCTCAATGGCGGCTGCATTCCCAGAGGCACCATCTTCGACATCTGCTCCTGTGAATTTAGCCTGAATCCCAACAATACCAGCAAGCATAGCAGCATCATATTCATGGCCATTGTCATCAATCTTGATAGGAACTGACGCAAAGCCCGATGGGATCTTATCTATGTCGACACGACAAGAAAAGACGTTGTCCAGATTATATCGAGTTTCGGGCGATTTGAATTCCTCTAAAGAGACTGGGCGAATTGGTCTACCAGGCAGGCCCAATTGCTCTCCCTCATCACTCCAGAAGCAAAATACCGAAAGCCAGCCAGTCAATTCATCTGATCCACTCACACAGGTATTTCTGCGTGCACATCTGTTCCAGAAACTTATAACATCGGGAGCGGCCGGGTTATCAAAACTTGCCACAAAGTAACTAAGTACTGGGCGCAGTAGCTGGGCGAAGACATTGGTCTCGTCACTTAACTGCAGCAGCTTGTCAAGCTTGGTCACCATGAGCTCCCAATCTTCTCGCTTACCCAGCAGTGTCACTTTTGGGATACCGCACAGAAATCCAGATTTGTAGGTAAAGTATTTCTGCAAGGCACCCATCATGAGGGTTGCTGCAACAACCCGATCTGAGTCCACAGTGGTAGTGAACGTGGGCATAATCCAGCTTCGCAGCTCTTCGTCAAGCACATTTTTCTGAACCAGCTCTGTCATGCGCAGGGAGATGGCGCCAAAATCAGCACTCTTTGCGGTGCCAGCCGAAATCACTTCTAACTCTGTCTGACCCTGATGAGAGACAAATTTGTCTCGTAGATCTTCTGCGTGGCTGTTGATATAGAAATTCAATTGCGATAGGATGGACAGCCACACATCATCGGGCCTGATGATAAGTTCGTGGTGGTCACTATAGGCGTTGAACACTGCCCAGACAAAACCATGACTTGAAGCTGAGATATAATTCGTCTCGAATAGCCTGGGTGAAAAGGATTGTTGGATCAAGGCCTTGCTTTTGCAATGGTTCTTGGGGCAAGAAAATTCAAGCAAGTTTTCAGCGGTTGATATCTTTTGCCCTGGCCACCCGCGAGGACGGTTCTCAGTTGGTGTTAGAGTCACAGGCATCTTGTAAGGATCTACCGGGTAGTTAGAATGCCTGTTGATTAGGCAAGGATTCAGAGACAGAAGGAATAGGAAGTACAAGAGATCGTATTGTCAGACTGAATGTTGAAGAAGAGAAATAGATACAATGTGTGATCCTTTTAACCCCGCCATTCCGATCAACAAGGGCCGGTGCCCTAGCTGCAGGGGTCTGGTATCCGGCTCCACACATGTGGGACTCGACGATATTTCTTCGAGGGGACCGGGTCAAGATGAGTTCTCAGCCTCCAGACGCCAGAGAAAGCCGGAAGCCCGAGCCTTTCTTAGCCCTACATCATCCTTCCTTACTCCTCTGATCCACCAACCCACATCCCAGCGACAAACTTAACCACCACGGTATGGAGCCTTAATTCTAAGGCATCGATCATCGACTCTCAACATTTTCTAATTAGGGGCGGTCCCAAGAGCCTGAGGCCCATCTACCATCTCCCATCTACCCAAATAAGAACCCCTTTGTCATAACTTGGATTTTAGAAGCTCATCATCTCTCACCTGGTATGGCTTCCGGACATTCGCTGGTCGACATTCCAGTCGAAGTTCTTTTAATGGCCCGGTCATTTTTAACCAATCGCGATGTAAAGTCTCTACGCTTGACTTGTAAATATCTGAGCAATACGGTGCCATTGAACTTTTCACGAGTGTTTCTTTCTGCAAACCCGTTGGATATTGAGGTGTTTCGTGCTGTTGCAGACCACCCTACTCTTCGCCATCAAATAGAGGAGATCATTTGGGACGATGCACGTTTTGTTTCTGAGCCATGGTCTCTCTGGTCCGAGCTAGGAGACTGTGATCGGGAAGTGCTCACGGAGTGGAGTAATCATCACGAAGCCCCCTTTTGGTTTGTTTACAGATGCAGAGAGAACATAATAAGTATGAGGGCTCGGAAGACCTCGGACATCGAAAGACCCGCCCATGCTTCTCTTGAAAGTCAGTTGAAGGCTCTGCTACCTATCAAGCAATGTTACAATCACTATACGAGATTGAAAAAGCAGCAAGATGAGGTGCTCATATCTGGCGCCGACAAAGATGCGTTTGTTTATGGCCTGGATCGCTTTCCGCAAGTGACCAAAGTTGCCGTCACACCTGCAGCGCATGGGTGGTTATTCTGTCCGCTTTATGAAACCCCTTTCATTCGTGCGTTCCCGTATGGATTCAACTACCCGATCCCAAGGGGATGGCCCACTCCTTGGCCAATGTCCCCTGAGTACCCGGCACCTTGCTCATGGACCCTGGAGACTGCGAGAAGCATACCGAACCCACTTTTAAACCCAGAGAATCGCACCGCAGGCGAAGGTTACAAAGATCTTTGGAGGGGCGTTAGGACTGTTTTGAAAAGCCTCTCCCAATACGACCATCATGTCTCCGACTTGAGATTCGATGCAAATAAACTCAACACAGGTGTTCATCACGAAATGTTCACTCGACCGTGTGAAGAATACGATCACTTTATGACGCTGCTCAAGCGGCCGGGACTTCGCCGCTTTGATTTGACGTTGTTCATCGATGACCCAGGGCTGCAAAGCTTTGCGACCGGAGACTTCCGACGGGCTATTGGCCATGCCAAAGATTTGACACATATCAATATAGCGACTACGCTCGACATTGCGTCTCGTTATTGGGGGTATAGGGAATATAATGCATTCACGTCTTTACGAAATATTCTCCCTTTTGCTCAGTGGCCGAAGCTTGCACATTTCGGCATCACACGGCTTGAGATAACACCGTCAGATTTGCTAGAGACGCTTGGTAAATTACCACAAACAGTGCGATCAATTGAACTCAACCGGCTGCGATTCTACGGCCAGGGCGATGTCGACGACTGGCGCGAGTCAGAAAATCTGGAACGATTCGGCATGTTCCACGCTTTACTAGAAGAAATACGGCAAAAGCTCAAATGGCACGAGCGAGATAGATCCGAGAGGCCTTCTCTTATCATGATTGCGGATGAATGTCACCCATGCACCAGTGAGTTCCTAGATGATGATGTCCATCCATGCTCTCGTGGGACTTTCTACGCGGAAGCCTATAATCCCTGCGAAAATGGGCGAGGCATTCGGCTCGGAAAAGAGATTCATGATTTCCTCTACGGATCTGGAGAAAATCCCTTTGAAGAAAGTTTCCAGGTACCAAAGCGTGGGATGGGGACGAAACGAGATATCTTCTTTCCCGATTGCATTCGGCCTCAGGTCGGTTCGAAGGAAGATACATCAATGAGGACTACCGACCCTGAAATTTGGGAAGGGGATTGGCCTGGATATTTACAGGACTACTCGTCTGAAGGCTTCAACCTATTCCATAGGATGGAGGAATTCGAGCTGGATGGCGGGTCCCGTCCCAACTAGAGAACAACAAGAGGTCTTGCCCACCTGGGCAGGTGACTGAATTATGTGTGTTCAGGATTGTCAGTGTAGATTATGTCGTATTTAGTGTGGTGTTTTGGGGTGCACCACTCGCTTACAGAATACGTTATATAACTTATGCGTTGGTCAGCTGTTCATCATCCGCATTTTGACAACTCACTGCCTTAAGAGGTGTATCCATTTGTTAACCTCCTCGGGCCTCCATTTTTTTGAGCTGTCAGCCGATAATTTCACCTGGAGATTCTTCCAGTACACACGATGCCACCTCCGCTTGCAGTCGAACAGCCAGAATTTCAGCGCCAACCCGTCCAACCAAAGACGGCCTTACTTTCGGGATGTGCCATCTGCGATAAAAAAAAGAGGACCTCAAAATCTGCACTGGCTGTAGGGTGTTATCTTACTGCAGTAGATATCACCAAATTGAACATCGAAAAAAGCACAAGGAGATCTGTAAATATGTTGGACAGACCCAAGCGACTTTAAGAGCCATCGAGGCTCAATTGGGACCTCACCCTCACGATCCCTCGCTCCCTAATATGCCCCGCCTGTTGACGGACAGCCTATTGGCAGCTGATAGGAACAAATACTTCATCGCGGTTTTCAATCTGCACGAGTGCATAGAGCATGTTTACACGAAGAGTTCTATCAGAGCATCGGTCGCCCTGTCAAAGTTGACGATGCTCTACTATCCCGATAACTACTACACGGCTGGTCTGGTTTCAGCTCTCTGGATTAGATTCGATGAGGATGAGGAAATTTATAAATTTATCAAGTCCTAGTATCTCTGGGAGGAATCCGAATGCCACTCTCCTGGACAAATAGCACCAACACCTACTGAGAACCCCGATATTCTTGAGGATGTTGATTTCTTTCTAGATATAGAGGCTAGGTTTATGGATATGACAGACACTATCACCTTCCTTCTCTCTTTGACTCTGCTGAAAATCAAGATTCTGCTCGATCTTAAGGATCTACACCAAGCCCGACAAGCTGTTGGGCCGAGGGTCCCCCAGGAGGTACTGGACGAAATCTAAGCAAAGATCCCCCGAAGCTCGGCAATTAAGGCCAATCGCTGTATCATGAGCAGCCCCGATCTGTCTGCCGAAATCGCAAAATCTAGATACCCAAGTCGACGCCCTCTACGAGAAATTTCTTCGGACGAACTTCTTCTGGTGGCGAACTTTGGTAGATAGACCAGTCGATGCCATTGAGGCTGTCGTGAACAGGTCGCACAATGGCCCTAAACCAGAATGCGGGAGTCCACTCGAGGCCGCCGTCTGGATCACACAGCGAAGCCAACGTTTTTGCTGGATTGAAACACCAGGAGCTCTGGATTTCCTGAGGGAGAAGAACTCGAACACTTCTCTCCCCAGATTGAGCGAGACCCATCGGATCTACGGAAGACGTGCAGATAAGTTAATGTCGGCTCTGTATAACTCCCAGTAATTGAAGATCTCCTTTCTTTCTGAACACAGTGGATTTAGTAATACTGTAGTCATAGCAACACTACTACAGTACTGTTTAGCTAAACTCGCAAGAAGGCATACTTTCTAGACGTAGCCAAATACCCTATGGGGAATAGTCAACAAGGGAGAGCAACGTTAGCGCATCAAGTGCGTACAGGATATACAGGTGTAAAAGAATGGTATTTAATTAACTATGGCGTTCTAGGTCTGCATGACTTTAGCAAACAAAAAGAAATATAGACATACAACAGTAAGGATTCGCTAGTGGTCACCCACCTAACTACTAACTTACCGGCGTGTGGCTTAAGTACGGCTGAGCGGACGGGAAGCCCTGTTCTCCACACCCTGTGGTCGTATGTACTAGGTTTAGTATTGAAGAGGAACTATATAGGTCTTATGTATTCCAATTAACGGAAGGGACAAGTGGTGCTACAGAAACAGCGATCGGACCTTCGGGGCAATACCCGGAGGTGCCAGGCCTTTACAGAGATTTGTGGGAGCCCTTTAATGACTATCGAGAGAACCTGACATATGCTAGAAAAAGGGATCGAAAGAGAGAGAGACATGGGGAACCAGAAACTAGCGGGTAAACAAAACCAGCAAACAGAAGGTGGAACGCCTAAGATACATAATTAGCACTTCAAGCTCTTCTTCTCCTCCCAAGGTCATTTGTTACCCTATTATTAGGAATGTCTCCAGCACAAAACTCATCATTTCAATTATTTGCTCTCGCTATGCAATAAATCCTTATCTCATGCAATGAGATACGATGCATTGAATGCACTGACTTGAGTGAAGTCGGAACAATTGAGATGGCAATTCAGAGGTTTCCCACTCCTGATGTATTTTACCATTATAAAGAGCTGTAGAGGTACCTCCATTGGAGGGACAGGCTTAAATCATCTCTTTTATTGCCATATATTACTTATACCCGTTTTCTCTATCATTCGTTGTATATCGCAAAAAAGCGGTTTGTATACTTTATATAGTAGTCGAGAGAATAGGCGTTGTCCTTATCCTAAGAAAGATGGTATCTACCTAGCCTATAGTGCAGCACACTTCGGAAAGCATGTAGCGTACTTCATTGTGGCAAAAACCCCTGAATTTCTCTTGCGAGTTTCCGAACCAGCGTCGCCAGCCACAGCTATGGCTAATTCAACACCTCGCCCCGCCTCTTCCGCACAACGTCAACTATTCGATATTCTTCAATGGTGCATTCTCTGGTCTCGCACATGGATTTGATGACTAGCACATCCACGAGGCTATGTAACGATTTGACAATCATTGATACTCAAACTCTAATAGTGACTGAAAAGCTCCTGCGTCAGCCCCAGACGTGACACCAACGAGGCGGAACCTAAAGCTAGCCGCCTCGAACAGCCGAACAAAATCACCGACAGTCCGTTCGCGAGCATTATGGGCAGCTAGCATAAACTGATCCTCAATTCTGGGTAGATGTTAGTCCCATTATCAATAGTGCAAGAAAAGCACCTTACAAAATCATTTTGTCTGTCAATGTGTTCAGTCTCTTAGCAGGCGGGTCCGGTAAGATGCCCTCGCTGATGAAAACTTTCGCACTCGGCTTTAAGGCCGGGAGGAGTGCTTTGATTATAGCAATCGAGTCATCATCATTCCAGTCGTGGAGGATATGACGGAAAATATAACCGTCCGCGCTTACGGGCTGTTCTTCGAAGAAATTGTGTTGCTGAAAAGAGATTCGAGATTTAACACCTGGCTCCGACGAGAGTAAGACAAGCCTTCTTCCCATATCCAAGGCATCAATGTTGTTATCCTGCACAATGAATTGCGCTTCGGGTGCCAGTGGTGCAATTGCTAAGACCGTGTGGCCGGATGATCCACCAATCTATCAAGTGAACTGTTAACCCAGCAATTTAATAAGTCAACCGTCAGGGAACAACGTACATCAACAATGGTGTTCTGTCCGAGATAGGACCAATTCCAAGCGGCGCGAAGACGATCCATCGACCACAGAGGGGTATTGACGCGTCCCATGAGATACTCGTGATATTTCTTATTAAGGTCTTTGGAATGCGCGAAATACTGGAAAAGGTTTTCCTCAGTGTTATAGGCCAGGTTGAACGCAGTTTGAGGAACTTTGTCAGTAATGCTATCCACCTGCGCGATAATTGTCGGGGGGATCTTCATCAGAATGTTTTGAAGGAACTCGGTGCCGAAATGCACAACATTGCGCAAATGGGGATTACTGGCCAACGCTGCTGAAGCCGCGGAGTGTGTTATCTGGCTGGGCGCGACCTCTCGAAATAGTCCATTTGCTATGCCATAGCGAATGCCACGAGCCAGTACATCTTCTGGAAGACGCGTGGCTGCGGATAGCTCAGAGATTGTGATGGAGGACTCGAGCGGTACAAGTTGCGGGATCTCAAGCCGCATGAGAAGGTCTAAATTGGAAGCATCTGTTGCCTATTGCTGTCTGAGCTCCTTTTCTTCTGTATTGACGGCACTTGACTCACCGACCAAGCTAAACTCAGGACATGGTCCGTTGGGCCCATTGCCAGGTAAAGGAGGTCTTTAGCCGCCTGGATGAGCTCATTTCGCGTTGCTAAAGGGGTGACGCTGGACAGGTCGGATGCAACGGGATCGTCAATGCTTGGGTTAATCCCATGTTGTCTGCTGATTTCGGCCAGCTCAACGGCTTTTGCGTAGACTGTTGACGCCAAAGTCTCCAATGCTGACGACATATTCACTTGTGGCCAGTAAATCAATAAGTCAACTGAAAAAACTTGGTTATAAATCGAAGGACCGAAAGGTTTGATTTCTGTACTTTAAAGCAATAAGATGAGGGATGCACTCTGTCAAAACAAAATCATTTCTCAACGCACACCAACGCACGTTCGGACCGAAGCATACCGGTTTGCAGTACAAGTCAATAGCGATAAGGCGCCGGCTCGAGTCTGACAAATCTGGAAATCTACAACATCGGCGGCTTTCGCAGAAGGTGTCGGTGCATCTGAGCGGCGACTTTTGCTCCACAAGCAAAATAAAAAAACCCTCCGGTGAAATATCCTCCTCCACGGCGAGCCTTGGTGTCTGTCTTAGCATCCAACAAAACATACTCATATTTTCAGGAACAGGATATACTAGTCTAATATCGTGGAATTGCTGGCAAGTTATGCAAGTACATGCAAAGCTAAGAAAAGAAAAAAAAAAAGAAACGACGTGAATGAAGCCCTGCATTTTTTCTTGATGTTGTCTAGCTTATTTTTAGGTATTTGTAATATTTGTGTGCCTAGTTAATTTAGGATATATGGGAAGAACTGAGCGAGACGTCATCTTGAAGTTGGAGACAAATTAGTATTGTAATTGAAGCAAAATGTAGAATACCCTACCTCACTCACTAGTATTGCTGTGGATTACAGTATTTACTTTGCTTCTGTTGAACTTTATGAAAAGCTCGTAAGTAAGCTGCAGACAAAATAAAATTCGCAAAATATTCCATGCTATATCCGAAAAATACTCTGTTTGCTTCATCTAGCACCTACCAACTGCTTGCTTCCTGCGGCAATAGGATCATGAGCGTAAGCCGTAGATTCGTTCTTCGGATCTAGGACATTTTCCCGCAAAAACTTCCGTGATTCTTCAAACACATCGTAGCTTTTTTGTGTATCGCATTAGTATTGAAGCGAAAGTTTGTAAGAACAGCTAAAAGGTCTTACCCAAAGTCATGAGCAAGTCGCTCAGAAAAGTTTCTCGGAACATCTGCAGAATCTATATCAGCACAATCTCTTTCTATCAGATGCATCGCATGGTAGCAATGGCGATCCTACCCGAAAATGGAGTGTCTGCGTAATGTTTAAGCTGCTCGAATACTTCGTTTTCTTTGCCCACGCGCACACTAGACATGAGTTGGACCCTCGAAACGCGGAGCTTTCGAAGTTTTTCAAAATGGGAAATCCTTGTGTGTATGTGCTCGGCGGAATCAACCGCCTCAAAGATGACCCCAAATGCCCCAGCATCTTCGATAGCCTGGTTGGCGCCTTGTCCACTGAAGGGTAACATCTGAGAATCATCAGTCGCTGCATGAAAGAGAAAGTGAAAACCTTCTTAACTGGATGAGCCGCGTCTCCGATCAAGATAATCTTTCCACGAGTATGATAGGGCAGTGGCTGAAAAATGTTGAGAGGCCACTTCGTGATGCGCGGTGCGTTGCTGTCGAGCATGAGTAAACGCTGTCTAAATAAGTCTCCACATTTGAGTTTACCTGATTAAACGCAGAAGGACAGAATGAAAAGTTCCAAATTGGCTTGTAACATAGGCTAGCAAGTCTTTGCTTGATTCAGTGGTCTTACTGTCTCCTTCGTCCGAAGTCGAGTTGTGTATTCCTACGAAATTCTGAACCTCGCCACTTCGAAGTTCTCATCAGATATATTCTCGCGAGGGGACTGATAATCACTCACTTTTGGCAATCATACCAGACCATGTGATCAACTGTGTTCTCGTCCGATATGTCCGCAAGGATTGATGGGCCATGGCCCTTCAAAGCCGTGAGCGCAAGAAATTCCGGGTCACCTCTAATCACATCCGTCGGGATTTGAAACCGAAAAGCACTAAGACCAGTTTTGATAGGTGTTTCAGGGTGTCCCTCTAGAACCACAGACCTGAGCACAGAATGAAGCCCGTCAGCCCCGATGATCAAATCAGCTGTGAAGGTTGATCCGTCATCAAGGTGCAAGACTCCGGTATCAGGCTGAACAGTTGAAACTTTGCCTCCTAAATGAAACCGAATATCTGAAAGTCCTGGGATACTCATCGTGGCAATTCGATAAAGTTCTTGGTGAAGGTCTGCTCGTTGCATAGTGTGCAGCGGGGCGCCGAACCTCTGCTCGCCACCCGAGAGTTTGACACCAGCCACATAGTCCATGTTCCTCCCATCACGGAGCTCGAAGCAGGATTTCGGCTCACTGCGAGCATTTTCAAAGGAGAACCCCAACCTAGACAGGACCTTGACGCCGTTGGGCGCGACGACAAGAGCAGCTCCGATCTCGCTGAGGAACTTGGATTTTTCGAACACCTATTCGTCGCAGTTAATTTAAAATATTGAATAGCCTGAGGAGGTTGGTGCGGCAATCCAGTATTTTTACCTCAACGTGGTGTCCTGCGCAACGGAGTGCCGCAGCAGCACTGAGGCCGCCGATGCCAGCGCCGACGACAGCAATCTTGATAGGCATGTTGGTTACAGAAATGAGAATTTCCGATCACTTCTTCTTCTATTTCTTCTTCTGAAGAATTATGTTGCGGATAGAATGGGGCATTTTAATCTGTCCTTAGGGTTGGCGACGAAATAAAGCGGTCGAATTAGGCACCGAACACTTTACACTGACCTCGGAACCCATCAGCGGGCCGTCGGCGCCCCCGCCCCCGAGGTACTCGGGGCTTATTAATACCTACTCAATCGGGCTGATTAAACTCGCCGGGTCTACTTTCATTCCTACTTTCATGCCGGGAATAATGATTATGAGGTTGAAATAATCACTAAAATTTGGTTCGCTGGGTGATCCCCCTGTTAGTGAAGACCAACGCTGTTCTATCATAGTCCTCTCTCAAACACCAACAAAACTACCGTCTCGAGTCGTTAGTTAGCATCGGTCGTATTTACCTGTGAAAAATATCTGTAATCGCGACCAAATATGTACATTCTATGACTAAAAGTTTTCTCAAGTCGATCTGAACCCTTTTGCGAAATCTTCGGTTGGAATCACCGGAGTGCCTCTGCAATGGCTGCCGACAACGAAGTAGCCTGTGGAGAATTCAATTAGCAAGGGAAGTAGAACAAGTAAATTTTGCGCTCACATTCGAATCCTGCATTATGCTGAAATGATCTCCTGGAACGGTCGAGATGCGAGTGCCAATGCCTGGGAGGAGCTTGTCCCAGCCCAGTGCATCCAGCAGCCCACTCCTTTTGACCAGCCACTCCACAATTGTGCTGCGGTCATCCAAGCTTGAGAATGACTGAATACTTTCAGTTTCCATCTCAAGGCCATTCTCGGCCCAGATTATCGTCGCCTGCATGGAGTCTGTTTGCGGCAGGGGCCGTGGTGCGTACTTCTTCACTGCGCCGATCGTGTGCAAGAAATGATTCTTAATATCGCTGTTCAAAGAGCGGTTGTTTGAGATGAAATCCAAGATAGAGGTAGGCATGGCGTCAAATTGCAAGCGACATGGCGAATCGATAAGGATCAATGCATTCACTTGCTCACCCGACTGTAGTAGCTCTCTGGCGGCTTCAAAGGCGTAGAATCCACCGGCTGACCAGCCGCCCAAGAAATAGGGGCCGTGCGATTGACGCTCCCGAATGGTCTGAACCATTTGTGTGGCCATACTTTCTATGCCCGACTCCGCAGGAGAGGTCGAGTACAGCAAGGGGCTGTTCAGACCGCATACTCGAATGCCGCTTGAGATATGGGGCACCTTCGCGTAGGCGCTGGCGAGACCACCTCCATCAGGAAATAGAAAAAGGGTCTTGGTACTCGAGTCTCCATCTTGTAGCATAATCGAGGAGGGAAAAGAATACTTTCTCTTGCCTGCCTCCGATGCCTTCTCTAGTGGAGAATGTTTGGCAGGCGAGCCGCCAAACATTTGATTCAGGACGCTGTGCATATCCTTTGCCAAAGATGCTTCGAAGATATCTGACGGTAGTCGAACTCCGATCTTGTCTTCCAGTGCCCCGAGGATGGAAATTGCCATCATTGAATCAAGGCCTAGGACTGAGAGATCTTCCGCTATGAGAACATCTTGAACATCGACACCTATCTCGCTCGCGATGACTGAATATACCTCCAACAGGCGTGTATCGGTTGGTGACTGGGTTGATAGATCATATACACTTGGTGGTAAAGATATCGGAGACTCGGAGCTACTCGAACTTGGGGTCAAGAATCTTGTTGGTTGATCGGGCAGAGTTCTCGAGACGTAGTTGCGCAGATCACCAAAGGTCACAAGGTCAGTGAAAGAAGATGCTGGCAGTTCTAGATTGAGTGAATCTCGAATTTCTGACAGAATCGTCATGGATAGCAACGAATCGACTCCAAGCTCCATAAAGGTACTTTCATCGCGAAGGTCATCTTCTGAGATTCCGATTTGCGAAGTAAGCAATTTCTTCAGAATTTCAATGCTTGACGCCGTGGTTTCCTCTCGTTTGACAACGGGCCTTGGTTCATTTCTGGGCTGTTTTCTGCCGGTGGCAGCAATATCCAGGCGAGTGACAGGTTGTTTTTGCTCTGCTGAATAGGAAAGAATCCTTTCAATCAAAGCGCGCGGAACCTTTTTGAACTTGACATCTCCGCAGCGCGAGATCATTCGATCACCTTGGAAAATGGAAACATCTCCCACAAACACCGTTTCATCTTCTGGCAGCATCCTCACATGCGCTCGGTATGGAAGACCCGCAGCGATGCTTTCCGTAATCTGGTAGCTGCCGATACCATGAGAGATGTACGTAAACTCTCGAGGATTGACGGTCCCAATGGCATTCATCACGAAGCCTGCAATTTGTGCCAAGTTGTCGAGCCACAAAGGCGAACAAAAGAATTTTCCAGCATCGCTACCCTCGTACAGGGCCAATGACACAACAGCCTCCAGCTTTTGTGAATCAACAATGACTTCTTGCATTCCTTGGTATCGATAGTCATACTGGACCACATTCGAAAACAGCTTGTAGACCATTTCGTGTGAGATCCGACTAGTGGTACTGCCGACGCCACGCTCTAGATCTTTCATTCGCTCAAGTATTAGATAGGAATTTCTGTTCCATAGTTGTGCCCAGGAGTCAGAGTCGCCAAAGAGTACTTGACAAGTGACTTGGGTGTGGAAATCCCTGCTTTGGCTATCCTCAGTTCCCATGCGTAAATGGACGGAGTTTGAGTCGAAATTTGCTTCTCCAACTATCTGAAGCATCTTCGATTCAGTGGGCCTCTCCAGTGACATGACAACAGGACTCGTCATCTGCAGGTTGACAACATTCATGCCTGACACGGGGCCAGGGAAAATAAAGTTTGTTCGGAAGTAGTCCGCCACGGTAAGAGATATATCAGAGAAAACCCCCTGCAAAGTTCTTTTAGCTAGTGGGACAGCAAACATTGACCGCAAGCGTCTTGAAATAGATTCGAACTTACCGATGGACACAATGCCACTCCATTAAGAACATGACCCGCAATCAAGCTATGTAGGCATGGATCTGACAGATCTGACTCAAAGGCCACACTGGCACTTGTACCCTGGACGATTGAGGAAACAACCCGTTGTACCGTGGTTGTCAGATTTTGAATGGACTTGTTTGACGGATGCGAAGGTACAGATTCGTGACGTCGTAAAAGCCAATCATTCTTATACTCAATCCAATATCTCTTCTCGTCAAATGCGTAGGTTGGAAGTTTCAGAAGTCTTGGGGTATGATCAAAGCTGTTGTGATACTCATTCCAGTCGATTGAAAATCCAAGGCCATTGAGAGCTGCGAGGGCTTTACAGATGGTAGTGAGCGAGTCTTCCTTGCGATGCAGCGAGGGAAGTAATCGCTGGGTGGAGTCAATAGTGGGACGTATCATGCCTAAACAGACGGGATGAGGGCCAATCTCCAGGAAAACTGAGCTTGACGTGATCATGCCTTCTTCTTGTGCAGTATTAAGGGCATCGAGGAATTGAACCGGTTCTCGAGCATGGCGTACAAGATAGCTTGGTCCTATCTCGTCCCCTGCTTGTATGATTTGGCCAAGCAAGGTTGAGAAAATAGGAACTCGGGATGGTAAAAATGAGATTGCAATGACTTCCTTATCAAATGATGCAAGGATTGGATCAACTTGAGAAGAGTGAAAGGCATATGGGACATTAAGCATGGAGCATGATGTTCCATTTGCCTTCAGAATCTTTCCCGCTTCTTGAACGGCAGACTTTGGGCCGCTGACGACGACATTTGAGGGTCCATTTATGCAGGAGGTCTCTAGATGGTCGAAAATGGCGGCAAGGGCGTTCCTAACTCCATTCAGTGGCATATTGACTGCCAGCATTGAATGTGTCGAGGGGCTGCAGTTAGTTTGCAGAAGAGTTGCGCGTCGACCAGTGAGGTACAACGTATCGCTTGCAGACAGAATACCCGCGGCAAATAGTGCAGCATATTCCCCTAGACTATGGCCAATCACTGCGGAAGGTTTGATGTTCCAAGACGACCAGAGCTGAACCAAAGCCATCTGAATTGAGACATGGCAAAGCTGCGTCTGAACAGGGGAGAGTTGATCAAAATCATGTTCGCCATTTACAATCTCCTGAACAAAGGAGGAAAACCCGTGATCTATCGCGATGCGCTCAAATCGAGTTAGGTACGACCTGAATAAAGGACTAGTTTCAAAGAGCTGTTTTCCAGCCCCTAGCGACAGGGAGCCCTGACCGGTGAAGACAAAAATTGCATCTTGCGTTTTGCTGGCTGTTCGAGTAACTTGGCGTTCCAAGGCCAAAGTCAGGGCTTTCTTGGCGTGGAGTATTGATGAAGCGGTGAAAGAAACACGGAGTGGATGTTGGACTTTCCGTGCAGTGGTTGTATATGCGAGATCCTCAATAGCCGTGTCGGGATACTGATTGAGATAATCGATCAAGTTCTTCAAGTTCCCCTTGAGAGACACGTCTGACTTAGCAGTTACGCTGATCACATGATCGCGCTCGAGTGTCGATGGGGAATGATCAACTAAGTCACCTTCTTCCAAGACAAAACTTGAGTTTCCACCCGCAGCCCCAAAGTTGTTGATCAAAACCTTACGCTTCCGTCCGGGTGTTGCGGGGAATGATATTGATTGGTCTGCGATTCTAACGCCTCTCTGGGCCAGTGATGGAAAGGTGCGGTTTAAACGTCCACTCTTGATGCCGATATGAGGTGGGATCTGCTGTTTTTCAAAAAGGAGCAAACTTTTGATCAAGGCCGATATCCCCGAGGCAGATTCTCCGTGGCCGATGTTTGCTTTGACTGAGCCGACATATAGCGGAATTTGTGACCCCCTGGGAGGGAAATCTGGCGCCAAGACGTTCATTACAGAAGTCATCTCGATGGAGTCACCAAGTTGAGTGCCCGTCCCATGGAGTTCCACGTAATCAATATCCCCAGGATGTACACCCGCTTGGGAGAGCACTTTACGAAACAATGTTTCTTGTGTGCCAGCATGAGGCTGAGTGATTGATGCCGCGTACGCCGAGTAATTTGTGGCAGATGCTAGGATGACACCTAGTATGTTGTCATTATCTGCAGTGGCAGCATCCAGCCGCTTCAGTACAACACTTGCTACTGCTTCGCCACGGCAGTAGCCATTCGCTTCGTCATCGAATGTTTTGCATGGCCCATCGCTCGAAACGAAGTGGCCGCGCGAGAGGCCAGCATACATGTCAGGGCTGCTGAGAAGCATCATGCCCCCAACCACTGCTGTGTCGCACTCTTTGCTCCATATCGATGTACAAGCCAGGTTCAACGCTGTGGCACTGGAGGCACAGGCCGTGTCAACACTCACACTTGGACCACCTATCATGGGTCAGACAACATTTCATCTCCGATGCGATGATCTTGGACTCACCTAGTTGATTCGCTCGAGATACTCGTCCCTGTGGTAAATCGTTAGTCAACACAGGTGCGACCAGCATACGCAATCGGGGAAGCAGGAAGACACACAGGACCAAACGCACGAACAACCCCAGGCACGTAATACGTATCTATTTCTTGCACGACGTTGACATCTTTATAATCATCGGTCGTTTGTCCGAAGAATGTCCCAATCCTCTCCATTTGCGTGGATGATGTGCGACCGGGTACATATCCTGCCATTTCGAGGGCTTCGTATGCGGTGACCAAGGCCAGTCTCTGCTGGGGGTCTGTCTGCATGGCTTCCCGCGGAGACATGTTAAAGAACCGAGCGTCGAACATGCCGGCACTCTTCATAAAGTTCCCGTACTCCGTCGCACTCTTGTTCTTATCTTTGCCGTTTTTGGAGACATAAATCTGTGGGTCGAATCTATCACTGGGAATCTGCATGACTTTAGTTCTCGACAACATGATGCTTTTAGAAAACGGGGACCCACCACTTTATGACAGTCAATGCCGTTTGAGAGTACATTCCAAAGCTCTTCTATACTATCCGCATCAGGAAACCGACCCGCCATCCCAACAACAGCGATCGGCGTGTTTAATGCTTGCCCAGCCCCGAGTTCACCCCCTTGAATGGAAGTGTCAATGATTGTCACAGTTACACCCGCCTTCTCTGTAATATTGGAGGCGAGTGCTTTCTGGTTATGAACTGGTCCAAAGCACTGGATCTCCCACTCCGATGGTCCAGCCTCTGAAACACAAGATGTGACACCTTGACAGAGGTTGCTCCATTGGATCGGCTGGATCAGGATATCTGTCAGAGCTTGACCGAGCACTTCTCTGTAAGTACCCTGGGTGTAACATCTGCCGTCCTGGGATGAAAATATTGAGGATCGGCACATTGGTCGTTTTTCTTCTGGGCAGGCCACGTGTAGGTCTTGGATCAGAGTTGTAATGTCCGCCTCGCTATAGAGATGATAGGCATGGTAGGGGGCGAAGATGGGAACTGGCCGTCCCCACTGAGACTGATTTTCAGGTTTTGACTTTTCGAGAAGGGCCTTTCTTAGATGCGCTAGTGAGGATGGAGAGCCTTGTATCGTCACAGTTCGCTCAAACTCGGCGGTAATAAAGGTCTTTTTCCGACTGGTGGTATCCTAAAACATGTTATGTTCCGGACTCCAATCTTTGAGTCAATGATGCCTTACCACGGCTTCAATCACGGAGCGCAAATCCTCCATCGCAACAACACCTTTGTCCAGCAGAATTGCCCATGGCTTTACTTCATTGGAGTCCTCCAATTCACCTCCAACGGTGAACACCAACGATCCCAATCGAATTGCAAGCCTGACAACTTCCACGGCAAGGGGAACAAGTTCTACGAGAGTTGTAGACAGACCCACTGCTGCAGCTGACAATCGCCCTACACATAGGCCAACAAGCATCGAATCATTTCGGTTGGGGAACTCAGTATGTGGATGGTTTTCGTACCAACTTTATCATAAAAATTATCAGTAAACTGAGTGAGGCTGTTGTTGAGACTCACTAACAGTATGCAGTTTCCAAGCTGAACAACAACAAGAAGCGCGGGCGACAGGACCCGTAAGCTATATGATCCTTGATTCTTGGGATCCACAAAATCAAACCAAGTGGTAAACTTCAAAGAGTCTTGTCGGATATGCCCCGGAAGATGTTTGATGCTACCATGAAAGGCTTCCAGTGACGATGATAGGAATCCCGAGAGCAGTGTATTCTTTCTTTGTGATTGGAGTAGTTGAGACAAGGCAGCCGTCAGAGGCATTGAATTGTCTCCGAAGAAAAGTATCTTCCCTGGAGGCTCCATCTTGACAATTGCCTACTTTAGACACTGTGATTATCACGCTGGACTTCGGGGAATGGATCGAGTGTCTTGAATATTGGGCGACAAAATGAGTTATATCACCATAGGTCTACCTAGGTATCTGTGGCCCAAATAGGAGATGAGGCAGTTGCAAAAGAACTGCTACCCGTGTGCATATGTACTATACTTTTTCAGGAGTAGGCTAACGGAGGCTTTTCTCCCTCCACGCTTGATGCACGAAGCGTGTCATTAAGGATTTGTAGTATGATACTCGCCGGTGACCTCTTATTGGGCCTGTAGGCTGGACGCCATTGTTGCCACATTCATCTAAATTCCTCGGTTGGCTTGTTTCATTTCAAGAAATCGCCGGACGATTGGGTCCCCCCAACTTTACATTCGCAGATCATCATGCGTGTGGGAAAGCAATATCCCTCTATTTTCCTCTTTCTTTCTTTCTTTCTTTCTCACGCTCGACCATTCTCTGGGGCGACTTCGTCTACCCTGAACCTTTCGGGCCTGGGTGATTTGTTATGGGAACTATTCAAATTCCGCAGTTTGTTATAAAGTATAATTCGATTGAATATTGTCTGTTTGCAGAATAGCCTATGAATTATCTCTAAACATCTCTGAATATCCCTTCCGCATACAGCATTTATATCTGCGCAGACAATGAATTAAACGACCCTATTGGCTCGAGAATTTCCTTCAATGCAATAACACGAGTCGAAAGATTTTCGCCCACAATTCCGGGATACTGGCTCCGAATCGCCCCCTGTAAAATCACACTCGCTGTCAAAGTTACGGATTTTTTCCACTTGGTCTTACTATTTCAAGGGGTACCACTGTCCTTCTCGGCCGGAATAGCGGTCGAGTCTGAGACAGAATCCGTCTGGCTCTCCGGCTTCTGGCTCATTCTCCGTTCGGCCTGCACGCGCATTCGATCGGCCATATCATCCAATTGCCGGGCAGACTCTGAGGCATATTTGCAATGTTTGCGAATCGCTGGTCCATATTTGTAGAAAATCCATGGGAACGGCAAACAAGCGAGGGCGAGGAAGGCTGAGATGGACGAAGCCCAATGAATACCGAGTCTCTCGTACATTGGGGTCGTGAAGAGGGGGCTATAAGCATGTCTTTTTAGCTTTCTGTAATAGCTGTGGCCAAGAACAAGGGACTATAGACATACAATGCTGCGCCGAAAAGCGCCCGGATAACAGCGTTGCCCGCTAACGCCGATGCCGCGTAGATAGTGTAACCATCAACTAGGTAGTTCACCACACTCAAAAATATGGAAACATGAGAAAACCCAAAAAGAACGGTTCCGATCTCACATACAACCCAATGAATACGCGGGAAGTTGGTCCAGGCAAACCAGAATAGCCCGATAGGGAGTGCAACTGCTCCGACCATAGCGGGGATTAGTCGAGCTTCAGGGGGTGGTCGGCCGTAGGCAGTGCGATCGGCAACTTTTTTGTAACGACCATCGTCAAGGATAGAATATGCGCAGCCAAGGATCTGTCCGATCATCATACCGAGGAAGGACAGACCAGAGGTACTCTGGGGCCATTTGAGATTTTCTTCAAAGATAATAGGGAAGGCAGCAAATTCCATGTACATTGTTCCGTAAACTATTGATACTCCGTTAGCTTTGCTTTAGAGAAACGAGGGATACATGGGACTTACTGATAGCCATGTAGATAGACAAAAGCAGCACAATCGGCTCCATAAAAAGCAAGGTCCAGGGTCGCACCATAGTCTTAGTAAAAATCTGCCCAGCGGTCCTATGTGCATTGCCCACCTCCAGACGGCTCTTATATACGGCTCAAGTCAACTTACTGAGCTTGGCAGCGCGTTTCTTTAATAGGACAGGGGTATAAGTCTCTGGGATAAAACAGATTCCAAGCAGAAACACCACCCCACAGAAGATAGTTGTGAGCCCTTGAACCCACTTCCACCCTTTTGACACTGCCAGAAAGTCACAGGTAATTGGACCAAGACTAGGACCTAAGAAGGGAGCTCCAATGAAGGCGATAGTCGCTAGCCCTCTATCCCTAGCTTTGTACATGTCCGAAACAACACCGCCGGCATTAGAAATTGCTGAAGAGCCAAATGCGCCCGCGAAGAACCGTAAAACTAGCAAAGTTGCAATATTCGGACTTGCAATCGTTGCTCCGGAGAATATCGTTGTTAATGCATACGTTATGAAATAGATGATCTGCCGACCAAATAGCTCGGAAAGCGGAGCCCAGATAGCGGGCCCGATAGCGAAGGCAAGAACAAAGAGAGAAGTGTCGGCAACGATCAGTTCGGTGCTAGCACCAAATTGTTCCTGGATCTGGGGATTGGCTGCTGAAAGAGAGGATGAAGCAAATGTAATTGACAAAAACGAGGCCGCTTGGAGAAGTGTGATCGACCACTTAAGCCCGTCTTGCAATTGATGCGGGTCGCGCGCATCTTCATGAAGCCAGTCAACCAGGTATGGGTCTTCCTCCGTGCCGCTTCCTTCCCATTTATGGTGGAGAACGTCGTCGGTGATGATATCTTGAGACAGCACTAGCTGGTAAAGGGGGATTCGATAGGGCTCGCTGGATTCCTTTGTGACTGGCATAGCTTCGAATCTTCGATGTGCAAACCCTTCGTAGGTAGTGTCAGTGAGAAAATTCTAAGGGAATAGCCGAAGATCAATGTAGCTGCTCACAGGAAGATCGAATTGGGTCACAAAGTAGCAAGCAGTGACTGAAAATAGAAAGTGAGATTGCTCCCTAGATAGGTCTGGGGACGTCTCAAATAAATGTTGGAAAAGAATGACTGGCTAGACAATGTGACTAGATAATGGTTGCAGCGGAGACATTAGAAATCAAGTTCCGACCGGACTGGAATGCGCAATTTCTTTTGAAGCAGCGTATTTTTGTATAACGTGGTCTGCAAGCGAGTGGGCCATGTAAGCGAGTGGGCCACCCAACCACTTTTTCTACACTTTTATACGTATATATCAACCACAACGCTATTATATTGATTAATCTCTTCTTGGACAGGCATTCTTCTTATGCCCTATCTCGCTGCAATTACCACATTTAGGTAGGCGCCGCGTAACCGGTGCTTGCGTAGCCTGCGCTGGCGCTACCCTCGGTCCTGTTCTTGGCTGAAAGAACTGATTGTGAGCTTCCTCTAGCTCTAATGCTTCTCGTACTGATAGACCGTCATCGTGGGCTATCCATCTATTCACACGAGCGCGCTTTTGCCTTTGTGTGGCGTTAGCGGCACGTAGCTGCTTGTTTTCTTCCTCGAGAAGTATACCGTTCTGCATTGCGATTTGACAGCCTTTGATAAGCTGGTTTAACGCGGCCTGTGAAGGCGAGGGTGGGCTATTTGAGCGTCGCTTAAGAAACTCTTTAATTGAGGATGCTTGCTTTAGAAGCTCGTTAACGTTCGCGGGTGTATGTGGGTAAAAAGCGCTTGCGTCACTACCACGGCTCACGGGTGGCGTCGGCGTCCGAAGTTGAATATTGAGCTTTGATAGCACTTGTTGAGGATCGAATGGTACTAATCCTGCTGCCTGAAAGCTATTCTTGATAGTGTCTGTTTTAAATGCGTTGACACGAGCTTGTGGATATGCTGCGAGGAAGTCAAGCTTGTCGATATGGTTGATCCCGAGCCGTACTTTGTCGCCGACTAAGGTACCGTACGAGCGCTTTAAAACCGCAAAGCACCCGATATCAAGAGGCTGTAAAAGATGCGAGGAATGCGCTGGCATACAAATTGGTATAATATTGTGATCCGCGCAAAGTTGATCGAATTCTGGCGTAAGATGGCTTCCGTGTCCGTCGAGGACTAAGAGTCGATATTTTCTATGCGTACGACTATTTGTCGACGGAATAAATTGCTTTTGAAGCCAGCGAAGGCCTATCTTGTCGGACGTCCACCCGTTCGTACTAACCTCGAGTCGCTAGTCGAGTGGAAGGTCTTTAAACCATGCTTGATTGTATTGCTTACCCTTAAAAATAAGCGTCGGTGGAAGCGCCCACCCTAAAGCGTTGACTGACTCGATTGCGGTTACCCACTCGCGGTTTCCTGGCTGTAGAACTGATCTCCGACCGTAGTATTCTGAGCGGGTAATCACTTTTTGATTCGCACAAAGGCCCATTGCGAAGCCAGTCTCGTCAAAGTTGTAGATGTCGTCCGAAAGGATACCGTATTGCTGAATTGTGGTATATATAGTGTTAAACCACTCTTGAATAATCTTTGGATCCTCTTGCTGTGCCCTCTGGTAGTCGTATCGTCGTGAAAGGCGAGATCTAAGCTCTGGATGGCGTTGGATAAAATTATATACCCATTTTTCGCCGACAGTTTGAATTAGGGTAGAACCACGCTTCGCGAGTAGAATATTCGCCATTTCTCGTACGTGAGCTTGTGTAGGGGCTGCTCCACGTAGATCTAGCGATAGTATCCGCTGCTGAAGTAGTTCCTCTTCAATTTGTGTCATTTTATGACCATTTGCGCGAGATTCAGCGCGGTTTGTAGTTCCGCGTAGTCGACGCGTGAGCGTATTGCGGGGGACCTGAAATTGGTCTGCGGCCCGCCTAATTGTGCTTATTTCTTTGTTCTTAATAGCCTGGATGGCTAATAAGATCCTACCCTCTTGCTCTATACGATTTCGAGAGCTTTGAGAGCGAATTGGAGGCATGGTGGTTGATAGAAGATAGATAGATAGACCGGGATGCGAAAAAGTGGTTGGGTGGCCCACTCGCTTACATGGCCCACTCGCTTGCAGACCACGTTAAATGACGATGCCCTGAAACTCAGGCTATGCCAAGCTTTAAGGTAATGGAGCAGATGCGAGGTCCTCTCCAATGAGAGGCCACAGGAAGACCCACCAGGATACGTTCCCGCTAGTACACCCGTCCCGTTTGTGCTTGGCTGGTCGGGGCAATTCCTGTCCGAGGGCAAGATTACGAGGTCAAATCGCGCCGAGAACGCTAGCGAAATCTCGTGCAGGGTCGAGTCCCCTTTGCTTGTTCATGCCGTATTTATTCAACGTTATTTGATTTTTAAGCTGGTTGATCGAGCACAACACTTCATTCATTATTTACGTTTGGCTTTCAACAAGATATACCCATTACCAGGGATCTAAGGCATACAATTTAGTGTGACATTTATAAGAAGTTGTGATATGACTAATGGAATGATTGCTTTCCAAAGTGGTCAACTGTGAATAATATTTCTAATAGCGACCTCCGTAGCCAACACTAGTTTGTGTAAATCCTCTAGAACAAAATGAATTGGCCTTTTCTCGCATGAACCGAGGGTCGCAAAGGGAGTTTCGTGCACTCGTTTGATATAGTCTCTCATGGACTCATGAGTCCATTTGATTTTGCTCAAGGCGCGAGCAATGAGCACGTCCGTCAAAAATGCCTGCTCATCCTGCGGGATTTCAAAGCTGCCCACGCGAATAGTGTTGGTAATCAAGTCGTGTGATTCTCGATTAAGTCCTTCCACGCCCACTTGATCGTAAAAACTGCTTTGGCTACTCGTCATACTAGAGCTTCCACTCCAAGGAAAATGTCCCACAACTGATGATTGTTGCTTTGAGATAAAAGACTGCAACTCTCGAAGGATTTGTCGAAGACCCATCGCAAGTATAAGCAAAGCGACTGAGTCATAATCGCATCGGCAATTGGAACATTGTGATAGACTTTCCCATAATGCCTTGCTATCTTGAGTGGCTTGTAGAATAATTGGAACGGGTGTCAGAGCGTGTTTACGCTCTATCTTCTTCATCTCAGATAGGAACTTTGTCTGATGGTCAAGACAAGAGCAACTTTCAAGCAACCTTTCTCTTCCTTCTCTAGGATAACCTCGTGGCTGCAAAATACCTAAGGCTGCAGCTGCAGGCTTCTGTAAGACACCTTGACCTATTTCAAGAAAAGATAGGTCGTTCCTTTGCGTGGCATAATGAAAATCACTATCGTACTCCTAAATATATATAAATAGATGATCGTGTTAGTAATGCATGACATTCGGAGTAAGTTTAACATTGCATTGCATATTGTAAAACCTACCGATGGCATTACAGATGCTCCAGATCTATCGTAGGGAAGCCCTAGATCAGGAACCAATCCGCCGAACAAGTCACCCGGCTCTTGCCAAGGCTGATCGGACATCGCTGTTGATATGAAATCTACCCCTTCGCTTAGATAATCGGTAACACTGTTCTCGTTAGAAAAGTGGTCGACTTCATCCCTTGCTGATTGTATATTTCCGTCGAATCTCATTGGAATCTCTTGTGTGGTGGTACAGTCCCTCAATATTCTCTCTTCGTTGAAGCCATCTAGCTTAGGTTTCTTTGTAGAAACCCCGTGCACTAGATCATCCCTTTGCCGGGTCCAATGTTGTTGTGTCTTTCTGTTCCTAGAGCCCTTAGGTCTTCCAATTCGATTTGGCGCACTGTATAGGCAGTTCTGCTTGGATCGTACACAGCCAGTGCAAGGATCCCCGCCAGTGCACTTCATTTTCAAATCATGGCATGCATCGCAGGCTGATCGAACCTTTCGCTCACTATGACTTTGCATCCTCGATGGTGTTCTGGGGTTCTGACCAAGCAGCGGAGAGGGTGAGGAAATGCAACCTAAATGGACTCAGCGTTGTGGGGTTCATTGGTTGTCTCTAAGTCGCGATCTTGTACCCCTGTGTAATCTACGAATCAAACTTCAAACTATAAGGTAATCTGATTCCGAACCAACCTATTTCGCCTCCATGTGCATAACAGAACGTATGAGGAACCCCTGCAAGCTATCTAAATAGCCAAACGGATAAGGCTCACTCTAGACAGGTGGCTCAATGTTTCACGGAGCGGAAAGGAGAGCGACCTCAGTCCCCAGTATGAGAAGGATCGACCTTGGAAGCGCGTCCACTTTCCACCTATCGTTCACATGAAGATAGTCTTATCTGGCTGTTGTGGTTATTTAGACGACGATCATTTACTTGGACACTGCAAGATAAGCCAGAAGGATCTCATCCTGGTCAACAACTTGTATTCGCGCCCAGCCACAAAAAGACATCCTCGCAGGCTTCAAAGGCGAGATCTATCTTGGCAACTTTTTAGTGTGGACTCTTTCCCTTCGAGTTAGCAGCCGCATTTTCTTCCTTTCGATTTTTTACTATATTTTTTTTTTTCCAACCCCTCTCTGAATAATAATTTGCTGCAGGTAGAGGTCTTCGGGTAAAATGTAAGAATTGTAGAACTACTGGGGAATCTTTGGGCTCAAGTTGGTCTGATACTTTTGTCCGGACCCTCAATCTGCTGGTTTCATGCAGTCAGACGGGAGTTCGGCGGTCCCGCGACAGGCGTACTACGCAATTGGATGACATGCAGTTATCACCCATCGGCTTAATCCTGCCAGCAGGATGGACGGATGGAAGAGCAGATTGCTCTGCTAATATCTTCTTTCATTAGTTAGCTCAGTGTTGCAAGATGCAGAGCGACTTCCTAAATGATGAACACGTTTATGGATTAATGACTACAGAATCTGTCCACTCTGCATGAGCAGTCGTAATACCGAACGTACGTACGTGTATACTACGTTCTAAAAAATTTTTCAGTCAGCCTCCTAGCCCTGGAGGTATGAAAACCTACACCATTTTTTCTCCCGGCCAGACAAATTGCGTCAAAAAGGATTTACTTAGGCAGCGAGCGACTTATTATGTCGCATAACCTCCACATTGCTTGCGCATTGGCAAAATCCCTCTCATGCGGTGAGAAGTTATTCGACATGCTTGTAATTATCTCCAAATACAACTCAGCAATGTTCTATTTAGGTATCCCGTCTTCGGTCTAATGCTTCACGGAAGTAGAAACCTTGGTCCGATAAGAACCTTCTTGTTTTATTTGCTACATTATACGCATTATTCTAGCCGAGGTACATGTTTGGACTAAGTCGGTTAGGTTGCATTCTCCTATTCCAGCAATATCGGGTAGATTTCCCGAGGCGGAGATGTCTCAGTTGCGTCCCCGCTCTACGCGGCCCGTCTCGAATCACCTATATTTTCCACATATGCACTCAACGGGTTTCGGGTCAAGCGGGCAGGATCTGCTGCCACACTACGGATGGTAAATCACCTCCGGTTTGTGATCGGCACTGTCAGATTCTGCACGGCTCACGGACTTCCGCGATATGTTGTGTTTTATGCCTTGCTTGAGTGGCGCTCACATAACTGCAATTCTTCATAGTAATCCTGAAGGAATCAACTTTGGCCGCCCATGAAGAAACCCTGATTTCACTGCCCCTTTTGTAATTTCTCGTATGTTTTTTTGCTAAAGCTCCTCCCGCCATTCACCTTTTCTTGCCTGGTAATGATTGATGTTGGAAGATTCCCTCGGCCGGGTAATCTTCGACACATCTTCGTGAGCGGGGTTCACGAAGTTACCGATATCATCAATTGGCATTCTATTACAATAATAAACACAAGAAAGGCAGTGCCTTTCTAAAATACATGATTCTCTCATTGTGGAAAGATGACATAAGATGACGAAAGCAGCCTTCAAAATAGGCAGGTCAAACTTGCGTCACGATGAACGCAGATAAAGCAGGCTGCTATACTTCTCACTAATTTCTACCACAAGATCAAAAACCTTCCCAGCTTTCTCTTCTATATAACATCCAACAGTCCCAAAATGGCACCAATAACACTCGCCTCAGTCCAAGCAATTCCTCTATCCTACGCCTCCTGCTCAATCGGCTGCAGCTCCAGTGACACTCTCCCCCGCAAACTCGAAGCAATCAGTAAAGCAGGATTCACCTCGATCGAGCTTTCATTTCCCGACATTTTGGAACATGCAGCAAATCTACAAGGCCATCCAATTTCGGCAGATAATTTTTCCACGCTCGTCACAGTCGCCGACGGGATCCGGAAGCTCTGCGATGCCAATTCATTGACCATCATGATGCTGCAACCGTTCGCGAACTTCGAGGGCTGGCCGAATGGGTCAACTGAAAGAGAGGATGCCTTTACGAGGGCAAGGGGTTGGATAGAGATTATGAAGGTTCTAGGGACAGATATGTTGCAGGTATGAATTGATTTGTATCGTGATTTGAGTTGTCGAGTTAACCAGCTCGGCAGGTCGGAGCTACGGATACACCACAAGACAAGATATCAATCGCCCGTGAAGCAATCGTTTCCGACCTCCGTGAGCTAGCCGACATGCTGGCAAAGCACAAATTCCGTATGGCTTACGAGAACTGGTGCTGGTCAACTCATGCACCTAGCTGGAAAGAAGTATGGGAAATCGTCTCAGCTGTCGACCGCCCGAATGTCGGGTTGTGCCTAGACACATTCCAGACAGCAGGGAGTGAATGGGCAGACCCGACGACAGAATCTGGACTCATCGAAGAGGTACCGTATGATGTTTTGCGCAAGAACTTTGCTGCTAGCATGGATGAGCTCGCTCGCACCGTTCCGCCTGATAAAATCTATCTGCTGCAGATCTCAGATGCGTACAAGGTTTCTCCGCCACTCAGGAATGAGCCTATTGAAGGACTAAGACCACGTGGTCGCTGGAGTCATGATTATAGACCTATGCCGTATGATGGGGGTTACTTGCCGATTGAGGATGTGGCGAAGGCGGTGTTGAAGACTGGATTTCGTGGGTGGTTCTCTATGGAAATCTTTGATGGCGGGCCAGAAGGGAAAGGGAAGAAGTATGAGATGGAAGCTTACGCAAAGAAGGCGATGGAGAGTATGCAGAAGTTGTTGATGAATTGCACGGATGAGTGATGGTAATGCAGTACGGTTGAATATTTCATTTTCTGAGACAAAATAGATATACATGTCAATTCCTTCCTTTATTCAATAAATCAAACAGGCGGCAAACGAGTACTTCTATCGAGAAGAATGCCAACGGGGATATATTCACGTCGTGATATCATAAGGCACAAAGTATTACCAAATTCAACAAGTCGGGCTCATAGCTCTATCTACCCTAAATCCGCCTTTCTGGGTAGACAACCATATTGTAGGTGGGAGAACGAACTCGTCTTGATTAGACATCGCCCTGGGTCCAAGGTGCCGACCCGATACCCCGCAAGTTCAAAATTATATAACCCATTATTATTCATAAAATACCATAAAATTATAGTATATAAGCAAGAAATTTAGAACTAGTTACACGCATAAACTTTAGTTGCGGGTTTTGGCGATGCCTGTTCCTGATACGCATGCTCACGGCGCGACAGCAAGTGGCGACCCTCTCGGAATTATGGAGAGTAAACATCTTTAGGTCCTGGTGCAAGGCTTTCAGTGGGGAGTGTAGTGCACCAGGATCTCATTTGTACATTGAATCGCATGGTAAAGCAGAAGGAATCGTGTAATAAGTTTTGACGGAGTCATTCAGAACTCCAAACGGCTATCGGGTGGCTTTGCCCCAGAAGAAGTTAACCAGGTCAAGAGTGCAAACGATGTCAAGCTTCATGCGGTTGACATCAATGCTGTAATTCTTCCCGCAGTTAGCAGTTTTGGGAAATGTAGAACGATTTTCATCTATTCAATCATAGCAGAGAGATCGCAGTCCAATAATATCTATGAGTCCTGCAATGGCACTGTAGCTACTCAATCATAGATCTACCCTTGAGAGATTTCTCGGAGAAACCATATGTTCAAATAGCGCAGCAGAAAATCAAATACCATCAGAACGTGGCATACGCTCGGTACAATGTCAACCCCGTTTTTGTCGAAAACTCCAGCTCAGCGTCTCTTGCGGCAAAATAGACATTCCCTTCCCCTACATCATGGATTGTTCCATCACCCACATTCATCTTTCCACAACCTTGAGTAACAATCAAGACACTGGGGCTCCCAAGCACCCGATGCTGCTCAGTTTCCGGGGGAAACAAGGTCACGCCCAAGACATTGAACTCGCTGAATGGAGGCGCATATTCATTGGACTTTCCTCTCAATCCAATCGGACTCTTCTTCGATTGGAGAAGAGACTCTCCTGGGTTATGTGGCTTGAATGTAAGTGCCTGTGCGAATAACTCGACATCGTCACGGTCAGGACGGGGGCAGAAGCCTGTGTTTAGGACGTTGTCAGACCGCGCCATGCACTCGATAATGTCACCTGAAAGGTACGCATGGATGCTGTCGGCTGGGACACAGACAGCTTCTCCAGGCTCCAAAATCATGTAGTTCATTAGAAGAGCGGCGACCAAGTTCCCGTTATCAAATTTTGAATATTGCTTGCTAAGTCGATCGAGGAGCGACGGAACATGGTGATCATTTCCAAACTCAGACATAGGAGTATCTTGTAGTTTTGTGATGGCGTCTGATACGGTGTCCGGGGGCAAGGTTAACAGATTCTTGCATAGTTGTCGTAAAGCTCCGTCATCAAAGTTCTTGTGCGCTGGCATAAATTGCTCCAATGGCTCCAGCCGCATGAGCTCTGCAATTTCGTCAAGTGGTTTGAATCCCACGAATAATTCAAAGCGAGACAATGCGATGGCGATCTCGGGCTTGTGGTTGGTGTCGCCGAATTTCTCAGGATCCCTCGCGTGCAAATGCTCGGCAAGGGCTTTGTCTGGATGGATTTGAAGTGGAAGCGCTTTAGCAATGGAGAGCACCTGGTCATAGTTAGAGCGAGTGTCATCTTCATTACATTTCCTCTATCTTTCACCTTGGGAAGAAAAGGGATGTCAGGCCCGTATGTATCGCAAACAGAGGGTCCAACAAGATCGGGATTATTCTTGAGATGCTCAGAGAGGAGCTTCCCAGTAGAACGAATCCGAGATGGCACAGAAGGATACGTCCCCATCCACATCTGTATGACATTAACACCATTGTTTCATTGTATATAGACGGAAGAAGTAACTGACTTCAGAGTAAGTCTCTGAGGCGTCCAGCTTTCCCGCGTCAGGCATATTCGACCAAAAGCGCCCAGCAAGTGAACTTTTGCCTTGTTTTCCCCACGGGTCATGCTAGAATTGTATCTTTAGCTTTCTCCAGGGTGTCATGTTTTGAGGTGTCTTACCTTGCATTCGCACACGAGTTGCAATACTCCGTCCGCCATTGTAAAGTGTGTAAATGAGCTGTTCGTAATATGTGAGAATCGATTATGAGATATTTTCAACAGATTTTTAGCCTGGCCCATTTAGTTGCCAACTGAGAGATGCGACCCATTACGTTGGTATTCCGTCATCCACATGCTCCTATGAACAGGTTCATCTCACATCGGGAATATCAGAACTCCGGGACATTGATAACTTCAAAAACTTGGTTCAGCTAATACCCGCCCGTTTACCAACATCTTAGTTATTTTGGCTATTGAAGGTAAACGCCGATTTCAGTCGGAGTGATCATACCATCATATTGACGTCAGAAATCAGCTTTGCTTTCCACGGCCTTGTAGCAAAAGATACGACGGTTAGTGTTTATATTGAGATGAGGACAATAAGGATCCATAATTAGAAACTATCCTACGATATAATCCACAGAGAAGCTATAAACAGGCTAAGAGCAAGTGCCGGAGCTGGGCAGGGTGAAAAGAAAGAGGAAATGCTAGTTAAGAATGTACATACTTGAATGAAGCAAGCAAGCAACCATATTGGAGCCCCAATTGGCGATCTTCCTGACATAGCGCCCACTAGGTTGGATGGTAACGGCTAGCCTAGCACGGCCGGAAATACGGCGAAGATTGACAAGGTCTACTTGCCAAATTTCTCAACCGTCGACACCATTTTTACAAATCATTCCTTTGCTGGCCGCCATTCGTGGTGATGGGGACCTTTCCTGACGGGCCCTGGATCCTCTCCAGTGACACCGGGCTTATCATATCCGTGGGCACCAAAGAAATCCATTTGTCCCTCCATGAATTTCGTCGGGAGTGTTGTGCCACCTCCATATTTCAAATACTCGAGAGATGCAGAAATCGCGGGAAGATATTGGTCGGCCAAGGTGCCCTGTACCACGATCTCTTTCAGAGAGCTGAAAGTGCGGTGCAGCTCCCCCGCGACTTCGTCGGAATGCTTCAGGTTTGTCCAATGATGATCGGTCGATAGGACAGGCTCTAATAGATCGGCTATACCGTTGGCTTGGATGATGCAGCCGCCACGCCAAACTCGAAGGCATTGGCCTAAATCAATGCCCCAACCCTCGTCGTCGGAAGCTCGTGTAATCATTTCTAGCCCCTGGCAGAATGAGGCTAGGAAACAGCAATATACGGCACAGCGTAAGTGCTCGATAACAGATTCTTTGTTTTTGATCCCCTGGAGTGGCCTGGGCTCTGGAATTTGAAGCTTCTTGGCAGCCAACAGCCTCTCCGCTCTGTTTCCGCTAGCAACGCGCAAGTAATGAGCTGTAGCAAGTGTAGGTGTCGCTATATGCCGAGATGCTGACTCCATGATGTTCCAATACGGTGTACCTTCAGTACCATCGTCATCCTGGACGACTTTATCCAGGACTTCGTCGAGCACGTAATGATCTTTGCTGTCATCCTCATCTTGCCTGCCAGAAGGCATCTTGGCGCGTAGCATGTCGACCGCTATATCGAGCAGATAGGTACCTCGTAATTCTCCCCGGTTATTCCACTGGCTGAAGATATCTGCTATGGCACTGTAGTCGAGTTCCAGGCCATTGTGGAGAAAAGACCACGCCTCGGCCAAGGTCGATAACATGCCTCCCTCAATCCCATTGTGAACCATCTTCACATAATGCCCCGAGCCACCAGGACCAATTCGAGCCACGCATGGATTGCCTTTAGGGTCTTTCGCTGCGTATAGCTCGAGTAGTGGCATCACAGTCTCCAATGCTTTCGCATCACCGCCTGGGGACAGACTTGGACCACGACGAGCCGCCTGGTAGCCGCCTGAAACACCCATGCCGATCCAATGAACACCGATCTTTTCGCATTCTTCCTGTCTTTTCTGGGTACGTTGATAATTTTCATTGCCTCCATCAAGGACGATGTCTCCATCCTTGAGATTGCTCTTGATCATACTCAACACAGACTCTGCCGGGTTACCGTGCGAAATGGAGAAGAGGAATAGTTTGCGTTTCTCATTCTCCAGGCTTTTGACAAATTCATTGATATCGTGAAATGTGGAGATTCCACCTTTGGTCTTGTTGTTTTGGGACCATTCCTTAAGCTGGTCGACGTTTTTCCCATTGACATCCCAGATCGAAACTTCAAGACCCAATTCTGAGAAAGCGATGGCCATCGGTGTACCCATATTCCCAGCACCAACTATTCTGATGCAGTGGAACTGTTTCAGTGCATTGTCTTTGTCAGAGGTTCTTGCCATGGTTGGTGCCGCTTGGAAGGATCGAATGAAATTAAGACGAAAGACAGCTCCTTTGATACGATCTTGATCAACAATTGAATCTGTCCTAACAGTACAGATACTCAGCTTTCGGCTCATTCATAAGCGCTGTGGTCAAAATTTAAGTGTCATAGTTGGGATTATTACGTCATCGTGAGCACACGGCGGCGCGAATGACTTGATTTTCCCCCATGTCACAGTCCTATATACAACAGAAACGGAGTTACTGCAAGTTATCCACTGTCTAACAAACTACTACTGAACTTAAATTTGGCTAATGCAGACTTAAATGGCATCTTGGTTGCGGTGAATTGGCAGTGAACTGCCTATATAGCGTTGTTGACTAGATGACGGGTCCACCGCGAGATCTTTCAAAACCTGAGAGTCATGTCAAACAGTGAGATTTTAGACACTAACATGCAAGTTATCAGACCAGGTGGATGAATGAGACCGCTAATTGCCTGTTTATCTTACCTAGTTTTAAACACAGTACGTTTCAATGTTGAACAAAATGCCTCCCCAACCTCCTTACCCCCGGAGCGGGTAGACTGTCATTCTCATTCCAAAATTATAATAGTAGTCCAGTGATAGTGTTTCACCACGAACTCAACCTTTTTATATGCTTGTTTAGCTTGAGGATTTTCATCAATATAAGAGTTCAGTCCATCCTTGTTGTCTAGATTGTAACCGTGCTGCATTATGAGACTGCCGGCGCCACGGCCTTTGTAGGGCTGGCTGTACATAAAAATTCTCCATCTTAAGAATGTGCTTCGTGGGGAATCGGGCAAGTGAGTCCTCCAGGAGGAACGGGTTCGATGCATACAGTAATGTGGGCCGTCTCTCGTGTATTTTTCTCTGTTCTTTCCCATAGCCCCAACACGGCGACGGCGGCTTCTTCGTCGTAGCAAGTTATGAATTCGTTGGTGTACTACTGCTATCAGTGTTCCGAAATTATGAGCGTAAGAGAGGTGTGAGTAAGAAGTCATGAGTTCCTAGGGAGACCTTTACCCTGACTTCTGTGGTTGCTCTGCACGAGTCATGCTGTAAGCACGGGTCAGCTTGTATAAAATCAGCCAGAAGTGACAACCCCGCGACTCCTTTTTTTTCCTTCCTTACGTGCGCGTACGCATAATCTTCTGCTACTATAAAGCCTCATCTGCTCACCATTGCCGTAGTCACTAATGCAATGCCTCTTGTCTCTCCTTCAATGCACCACTCCAACGTAACCATCTATTACTCGAATCAGATCGTTGAACAGCCTCTTTTCTCCCCAAGTTTCTAGTCTTTACATAATGAAGTGGGCAAATTAATCGAGGCTTCCATGTGCTATCGTTTGCTTCATCCACGTACTTTGTTTCCGTGTCTTTGTTGTTCAGGATTTAGGTTCAATTCTGGTCGTATCTACTGCCATAGACTCGCGCTATACCCTTCTCAAAGGCCATTAGGCTGGAGTTCATACCGAAATAAATTTTTATTCATAAGACTAGCGAGGTATCGAATCAAGTGTTACGCGGGCTGCACAAGGTCTGCCTCATCTTGAGCTGTCCGAGGTTCCTTGACTTAAGGAAGAATCACCCAAGCAGAATGAAAGTAATTTTCGGTTCTTCCATTGTTTTCCGATTTAAAAAGAAATTCGCAAAGCACAAGATGAAATGATGGCGATCGATGTCCGTATCAAGGTTTTCTATTTTACTTCTTCTCTCCTCTCTCAACGTCTGGGGTGGACTCACGGGCGAATAAGATTGCCGTACAGTGAATCAGGTTTCGGAATTAAGAGTTTTGGACTGATTCTATACTTCTGTGACGAATGACGTCAGGATGACCACAATAACCTCTATCAATATCTCTACAAATAAAAACATCCTCAGCCAGGTTTGTGCGGAGCATAAAGAGCACAGATTACTTTGGACAGATCAATAAGGTGCGATTGATAAGTACCATCCAACACTTCTCCAAAGCGAGGACCGAGGGGCTGTTTCCTAATCTGGAGCATCTCTGGTGCTACCCTAGTCTTCTTCATTACCGCCGTTTCATATCACCTCATTTTTGAATCATTTTCCTACTAATTTCCTTGCCACACTACCAAACACACGTTCAAAATGACCGACAAACAAATCATCTACGCCACCCCGCCAGCTCCGGCCATCGATCCCTCCCTGACCTCTGGAACTTTCCGGGTAAAACTCGTCCCCCGGCCCGTTCATATCCCCGCTGATAAGATCCTCGTGCGCGTGCACTACCTCTCCCTGGAACCAGCTATGCGCCAGTGGCTCACTGCCAAGCGCTCATACATCGCTCCAGTCGAGGAAGGCGCCGTGATGCGCGGACAGAGTATCGCGCAAGTTGTTGGCGTGGGCGAAGACCTCACCTCGCAATACAAGACTGGTGATTGGGTTGTCGTCGACTCCGGGTGGCAGGAGTATGCACTTGTGGGAGAGCGCGAGGCTGAGAAAGTGACCGTGCCTCCAGGCGGCCGCCGCACAGACGCGATCTCTATACTCGGTACGACCGGGCTGACGGCGTACTTTGGACTGCTGGAAGTTGGGCAGCTGAAAGCGGGCGAGACTGTTGTTGTTTCTGGTGCAGCCGGTGCGACGGGCATGGTGGCGGGCCAGATAGCGCGGATCAAAGGGGCCAAGCGGGTTGTTGGGTTGGCAGGCAGCGATGAAAAGTGTCACTTCCTAGTCGAGGAGCTTGGCTTTGATGCTGCTATTAATTATAAGGATACGGATTGGCGGAAGCGGCTTAAGGCGGCTACGCCGGAGTATATTGACGTTTTCTTCGACAATACTGGTGGAGATATTCTTGATGCTTGCCTAGCGAGAGCGGCTCGGGATGCACGCTTTGTTATCTGCGGTGCTATCAGTCAGTATAATGCTGCCAAGCCGCAGGGCCTCGCTAATTTTATGAGTATCATTGTAAGTTTTATTTCTGGGTTCACTGGTCATTCATTGGTCTGGGAATGTTGAGGCTAATAATTACAGTCGCAACGGATCATGATGAAAGGTTTCATCGTCTTTGATTACATCAAGAATTACCCGGCTGCACGGAAGGATTTGGCCTCCTGGTTGGCTGAGGGTAAGCTCAAGCGAAAGGAGCATATCGTGCTTGGTGGCTTGGAGGCTGCGCCCCAAGCCCTCGTTGATCTCTATGCCGGTGCCAACACCGGTAAGATGATGGTTCAAGTTGCCCCTGTTAGCGAAGCGTTGACAAAGGCCAAGCTGTAACCAAAGTCTTAAATAGCCCTCGATTGCAGTACTGCATCAAAATAGAGCAAATGGCGGACTGCTCGATGCAAGAAGACCTATACCCCTTCTGCCAGCATCTGAAATTAAATTTTTACAGCTTGAAATATTTCCAAGTTGTTCTCGAGCTTGTATATTCACATTACGAGCTACCAAGTTCATTCGTCTGAATCTCAGTACAGGAATTCTGACGGGTTTAATGCTCAAGATATATAGCGAACGACTAGCTGAACAACACCAGAATTTTACCAAAAGACATAATCGGAACGTTGCACGAGGTTTTTTACCTCCCAGGCTTTCGAAATAAACGAAATAAGGAGTCACATACAAGACCGAGGATACCATTGATGTATCCGATCAATTGGAGATTCCCATGACTCTGTATTGTATTACCCTTATTTCTTACTATTCATGGTCACATCTAGTTACATAACATATGAATCGGATCAACTATAGACCCTGTCTGATGCAGTATTCGTAAGGTAATGCCGGCATAAATTGCGGTCTTCCCGTGGATTAGAAACTAACAATCGTTCACTATAGGACCCACAAAAGTAGCATTTGCCATCGGAAGCCATTCACGGGTTCAGGATTTGCCACTAAGACTTGGTCCGACCCACAATCGATGTCTATGCCTACTGCCCGGGTCACAGTACCATCGAATCAAGAAAATTCGTGCCTTTCTTCCCGGATCCTAATGCCATGGGTCAACCCATACGACCCCTTGGGATGGATTATTCTAGAAGCAAGTTACCGTTCGAAACCCAAACACCACAACTGTTCTGAGCGCACACTTTCAATGACCGATCGAAAAATACCCGCATCTGACTTCTCCCATTTTTTCCACAACGAATAGCGCAACATCTTGCCTCAAACTGAAGCAGACACTGCCTGTCAAAGATACCACAAGCAGTAACAGCAATCTAAACTAACATCTTCATGCTAGCTCTGCCATTTGGTCATCGAACAAAATGATGATTCCAGCGACAGAACCGGTCCCGGGTGACCTGAAAGGAGAACAAGCTGGCAGCGACCTAAACACTGCCAACAAAGAAGTCAAGTCATGCAGTGTACCTGTGGGTCGCAACCGACAGAGGATACAGATTGCCGCAACTTCAAGATCCTCCACGGGCAGTCAGTCTATAAGATTAACACCTCGTGTAACCCGCTCGCGCTCATCTTCATCAACATTCCAAATCAGGACCTCGACCGCGTCACCGAAACCGTCACTAGGCCAAATTCCGAGAAGAACAAACTATTCACCCTCCGCATCTGAGTCCCTCCTCCATGACACGATCCCACCAAATTTAATCCTTCTTCTTGTGGGTGTCAACCCAGGAATCATGACTGGAACGACAGGGTACGCCTATGCGCACCCATCCAACCTTTTCTGGAAGCTCCTGCACTCGTCGGGAATCACGAATATTAGACATCCGCCCTCAGACACCTACAAACTACCAGAGTTGTACAGTGTGGGCAATACGAACCTCGTGGAACGGCCCACCCGCGACGCGAGCATGCTCAGTCGAGCTGAGATGGACGCTGGTGTGCTAGTGCTAGAAGCCAAGGTGAAGGCACAACGACCCGAGGTCGTGTGCCTAGTTGGCAAGAGTATCTGGGAAGCCGTGTGGAGGGTACGGCATGGGCGCGCGATCAGCAAGCAAGAGTTCCAGTATGGGTGGCAGGACCAGTCGGAGAATATGGGCCGTATGCCTGGTTCGGATTGGTGCGGGGCTCGGGTTTTCGTTGCAACAACGACGAGTGGACTGGCCGCTGGGATGACTAGGGCTCAGAAGGAAGCTGTGTGGGCTGAACTCGGGGCATGGGTGGTCCAAAGAAGGGCTGAGAAGACACTAGCTGACTGTTCTTGATGCCGGATAAGTTGGGATGATGTTGCTATGTTTGGTTTGGGCCTTCACTTTATCTGGCAGGAGTCTTCTAGTATTCATATATTGCCTCTCTGTCTTGTCACCGACTCCGAACCTGGGCAGGTTTCTTGAATCTGGTGTGGTCTGCAGGATATGAGACTGAATGAGTCTCCTTGATCGAATGCCTTTTTCACCCTAATCGCGAGATCCTGTCAGCCTTCAAGTGCACCGGTCCAAATTCTTGAGTGTTTCTACACTAGCAGACGATCTTTTCCTTTGCATGTCAGCGTTCGTTTTCCCGAGGAGGTGTTCCGGATAGACTTTCGATTTTGGAGTGATGGACATCTGGCGAGATCATAGGAGAGCATCATCCAGCGGACCGGAATATTTTGTCAAATGCTAGGGGTGGTACCGATTTCCAAGAACTCCGAGATCCAGAACTTCCAACCGGCCTTGATCCCTCGGATGATAAGGAGGATTGCGACGCACTAATAAATGGACGGAGGTCCATGAGACGATCAACCTTCTCTAGTACGGACCTCGCCATGGAGCTAGATATAAATACAGATATAGAAATGAATATACCGATGACGACATTATATATATTTCGGATCGAACTTTGAGAATTCTAAACTTAAAGATGTCTCAGAGAACAGAAGCTGGCGATATACAGTAGTTTTCGAGATCAGTTATACCGCCACACTCTTACGACTTGAACTCCTGCCTATCATCGGCCAGTACCATCCACGACAGTAATGAGAACGTAGCTGCTACCGGTATCGTCCAGCCCGGTGCTCACTTTGTACATGGCGGCATGAACTACCGTGCTACACACTCTCCTCCGACCTAGCTCTCGCAAGCCACCTTACAGCGAACTCCTAATCCCCTATGATGGCCGCTTCTGCCTCCACGTCTCCGTCCATACATCTGCCCTGACCACACCCTCCAGTGCATAGTTATATACCTCGCAACAATCTCCGATCTCCATGTATCACGTCCAACGCGTGTCCTCTCTCACGATAGCAGCGGTGGCATATACCCTTGTCTGCTGACAGCCACTGTCGCCGACAGTATAGCTACAAGCTACGCGACCGCGTCAAGTACAACGCCGCTATCCGCCCTAAGCGAAGCGCACGATCGCAACTACCATCGCCGGTATACTAGCGGCGCCCTGAAACTCACCCGACCGGCCGAGCGAGCGAGCTGCCACCAAGAGCCACATAGGCATTCCTCAGGATAGCAAGGATTACGATGAACGCTTTCCCACTAAGGTGCACCGCGTTTTCCATATTTCAGGGAGCCTGATCGATCCCTTTCTGCACCCAAGGGCTTCACTCGGCCAGGAAGCAGCCCAGGGGGAAGTCAATATTGCCTGGTGGAGAGGGTTCGTCTCCTCGAGAACCTGCGTCGCCTCGTCTCCAAGCTGTTTGAGGGCTGGCAGCTTCATACAGAGCTTGGAGGCAGAGCTCCTCTGTCTCTACTTCCCCGGCGGCAGAACTCAATCCCACGGAGGGTGTTTAAGACAGCGGCTACACGTGCCTTTTCCAAACAGGCCAATGAGGATCTCTCTAGGCGTCAAAGTGAGGCAATCTTCTATCCCATATTACATGATGTATGAAGACTGGGCTTCTAAACGCCTGGCGCTGATGCGTAAATCTTTGTTCTGTTCTTCGTGGCTTCGATCCTGATTTATACCGTGACGGGCATTCCTTTTTAGCCTTCTCTTTGTTATATCAGCTGTCGTCGGAAGGATGGCCACCTAGTGAAGTTGGGTTGAAGTCCCCGTCTGCTGATAGATGGTGGTTAGCTTCGCATGGCCATCCAGCCAAATGAGGACACGAGAATACTACACCAACAATCAAATTGGTGGACTACGCCCAATATGCAAGCAAGCCGCGATTTCCAAGAAGCCGCTCAATTTCCGAAATCTTCCGATATTTCTCATATCTGTCAAAACGACTGTACTCCTAAATCCTCGCTCAATATGCTCCATAATTATATGGAATCGCACAGAAAATTTGGACAAAACATGGAACCATAAGTGTACCTTTTTTCCACGTTTGATGTTTTGATGGTTAGAGAAATCAACATTTTTAAGTTGCATTAAATTATCCATACGACAGCTTATTTTCATGCTGAATTACAAAGATTTTACTTTAGTAATTTAACACCTATATGGAATCTTTCCATAGTGTCATTCGGTCCTATGGGAGGATGTAGAAATATGATCGAGACGAGCTTAGCGGAGAGGCTAAAGCACTCTCAAAGGCTCGGTGGAAATTCACAAAGCACAAGTCCGACTTGGTCAGCAATTGGTCACTTTGTTTTCTTGGCTACCCCATCCGTGATGCAACATAGACATGAGAAATGCCAAGTTCAATGCCGCCCCACCATGACTCGGGCAAGTTGGGTGAGAAGTGCTTGAAATTTAGCCTTTTGCATTTCACGCGGTGTGTCCTTTGTTGTTTCTGGTCGAATCAAGTTCATTCTGTTTGAGATACCAATACATTGCCGCGCTTCCTTTATCTGCTGTTACAAACACTGATGTTAGTTGTGATCTGGCCCGCATTGCCTACGTTTGGGCCTCTCCACCTTTCACCGAACCATGTTACAATGGGAATGCTCCGAATAGCCGATGCGAAGGCGTGCGGGGGAGGAAGATGGTTCAAGATGCAATACTAACGTCACCAGTGATCATTTGAATCATCCGGATATCTTGCCTGTTTGAGAGAGGGCAGTGCTATGCCGAGTTGGGTGCCGCCAATCTGCCAAGGCCGAACCGCGATGCTCATAGTAAATCCTAATAGACGTAACCCGAGGCACGCCGAAAGTGGCGCACCGGGACGGGGAGGAAGAGAGTCTCCGAGGGCAAATTGGCGCCAAGCGGCTCCTACGATTTACGTCATTAGGGGCCAGCGTTAGGGTGGGGGCGACCTTGGCGGCATAAGAAATCTCCAAACAGCACCAAGCACCGCTGCCGCTCCGGAAGGACAAGCCACATTGCTTTGGTGCCCTCGCTTTACCTTCCGTTACGCCTTGTCTATGTCTGATTGGTATGCATAGAAGTCACGCTTCTATCTTCGATTAGGATGTTGACTATGTCTCGTCGGCGTGGGATGAAGTCTGGAAAAAAACTATGAGGACCGTTTCCCCAATTCGAAGATAATCTTGGCCTACGAAATATGATCTACATGGCTTACGGCTGTGTCTAAACGCACGCCACCACCACCGGCCAAGCCTGCCCTGTCTGGTCACCCCTTTTTAATATTCTGACTAAGTTCCAGAATAAAATATTAGGTTACCACCCCCGAAGGCAAAGAACCTTCCTACGTCGATGGCGTACCTTCCCGTCTCAACATTACGTTACACGAATCCGGTGTTTTTAGCTCGAGGCGAGCCCGCTCGTAGCTGGTTGACCCAGAGCTATAACCGCATTGGCACACATCAGTCGCCTCTTCGTTGCGATTTCGCTGACGCGGGCTAATTTCGATAGGAGATTGCAGTGGAGCCATGCAGGCTCGCTTTGGCCAGCGTACCCTCCGCATGTGAGTACCATGTGCTGCCCATGTGGAGCCATGGGGAAAACTCTTCGTCTCGCCTCCCCGAATTAGTCATGGTCCCCCGGAGTGCCAAGTCCGCCCAGATCCGCCAAGACGCCAAGGGGAAGGGGCCCCGCGTCTCTCCGTCTCGAGAACTGTAGAGTCCTCGCTGGACTTTCCCGGTTGGGGTCTGACCAAGGTTGCGGGTCTACTTTATCGCCCCCATGGAGGGTGATATAAGACAGCCAATTCCTCCCGACCTCGCTCCTATCCTCTTTCCTTCCTTACTACTTTTTCCCCCAGCTTTCTTTTATCCCCTCCCCGCAAACTGACGGCTCTTACTTTGTCCGTACCGTCAACATGTGGACGACCACCAGCGGCTTGAGTGGTCGGTCGCTCCGTTTGAGCATCACCTTCACCGCTGTCATGGGTTTCGCGCTCTTCGGCTACAATCAGGGCATGATGGCCGGCCTCCTCAACGGCGACGAGTTCGTAAACTCCTTCCCAATTCTCAAAATGCCTGAGCCTGCGACTGCGGCGCAAGAACACTACATCAACGTCATCCGCGGTGCCGTCACATCCTGCTATGAGCTTGGCTGTTTCTTCGGCGCATTGTTCTCCATGTTCTTCGGCGAGAGACTCGGTCGCACTCGCCTGATCTTTACGGGTGCCAATGTCCTGACTATTGGTGCCTTGCTTACAACGGTCTGCTTTACTGGTAAATGGGAAATCGGTCAGTTCGTCATTGGCCGTGTTGTATCGGGCATTGGAAATGGCATGAACACGGCCACAATCCCGGTCTGGCAATCGGAATGCTCCGGCGCTCACAATCGTGGCTTCCTCGTCTGTTTTGAGGGTGCGATGATCGCTGGTGGCACCTTTATCGCCTACTGGGTGGTCTTTGGTATCTCGCACGCCGCGGATAGCGTCCAGTGGCGATTCCCTGTGGCGCTCCAGATCTTCTTCGCTCTAATCGTGGCCACCGGTGCCTTGATGCTCCCGGATTCCCCGTCGTGGTTTGTAAAGAGAGGACTTGACAAGGAGGCCTGCGAAGTTCTCGCTAAGATCAAGAACACCTCTCCTGATTCCGATCAAGTACTTCATGACTTCAACTTCCTCAAGACGGACGTGGAGTTCTCGAAGAACGTGCAGTCAAGCTGGAAGACAGTCTTCACATTCGGCAAGACCCAGGAATTCCAGCGCCTTCTTATTGGTTGCTCCGGCCAGTTCTTCCAGCAGTTCACCGGCTGTAACGCCGCTATCTACTACTCCACGCTACTTTTCCAGGAAAATCTGCACATGCAGAAATACCTATCTCTGATTATGGGTGGTGTCTTCGCTACTGTCTACGCCCTTGCGACCATCCCGTCCTTCTTTATGATTGAAAGAGTTGGCCGTCGCAACCTATACTTGATTGGTTTCCTAGGCCAGGGACTCAGCTTTGTTATTACATTCGCTTGCTTGATCAAGGAGAACGAGAATAATGCCAAGGGTGCTGCCGTTGGTATCTTCCTCTTCATTACTTTCTTTGCATTCACTCTCTTGCCACTGCCTTGGATCTACCCACCGGAGATCAACCCCCTCCGTACCCGTACTGTGGGTGCGGCGGCGTCGACCTGCACCAACTGGATCTGCAACTTTGCCGTGGTCATGTTCACGCCACTTTTCGCTGGCCAAAGCCCATGGGGCGTTTATCTCTTCTTCGCACTGTTCAACTTCCTCGGGTTGATATTCGGCTTCTTCTTCTACGTTGAGACAGCCGGCCGTGAGCTTGAGGAGGTCGACATAATCTACGCCAAAGCCCATGTCGAAGGGAAGATGCCGTTCAGGGTCGCCCATGACCTGCCCAAGCTCAGTTTCGAACAGATTCTCCAACAGTCTCGCGAGCTGGGCTTGGATACCACCGATCATGCCGCACCTGAGAAGTCCGAGCTCGGCCTCAGTAGTGACAATGGCCAGGAGACTGACGAAGTTCCGGATAAGCAGTAGCGCTCTTTTAGTGGACGTACTGTAGCTGTGGTGAGATAGTTGGGCGGTGAAGGAGTGGTCAATTACTCGGTAGATGTGTCAAAACACTTTGTTTCGAGTACGGAAGCCATTTCTTGCCCCTAGCTTGATCACACAGTGAAGTTGGCATACCAAGTCGACTGAAATGGTCGAGCACCGACGGATTCCCCTCCATTGGTTTAACTATGATGAAGCGATACTTTTTGTGATACAAGGTTGGTGCAGATCAGGATAAAGCTGCATCATCGGGAATAATTCTTTTGCAATGTTTACGAATAAGACCCAGTTCTTTAGAAATAAACTTGGACCTCGCGTTGTATATAGACTCTTGTACTCATTAAGAAGTAACAAGAAAATCAGTCATTCCTCTGAATTACATTAATATTTGTTCCGACCATCCGACCGTACTTAAGGCTTAACACCGCAAAACAACCGATATCAGGAGGCTGTAAACGAGGCGATAAATGCTCAGGCACACATATTAGAATATCACTTTGTCTGCACATCTCATCGAACTTTAGGGTTAAATGACCTTCGTGGCTGCCGTCAAGGATCAAGATCGATCGATATTTTGCCTTCATACGCGAGGATCGGAGCCCACGATGGCCGATTTCCTCAAGAGGTCCATCCATTCGGACTAACCACGAAGCGTCAATCGTCCGGGAGATCGTTGAACAAAGATCCGATGAAGTGTTCGCTTTAAAAATCACACAGAGGGAGCAAAGGCCCAGCTGTTACGGACATGCTAGTCACCAAACAGTTACCGGCCGCAACTTACTGATGGGCTACAGAGAGCAGACCAGGCACACCCCGGCGCTGAACACTGCAAAGCCTTCAACCTGCTCGGTGAGTGGAGGTGAGCATCAGGTGTGAGCGCCAAGGGAAAAACGGCAATTCCGGCTACTCTTCTACTAACAAATTAGGATTATATATAAAGAGGTGTTAAAACTTATGAACCGTCATCCAAACCCTAATGTAAATCGAAGAGCTGTTGAATCCCCTGTTGAATAGCTTCAATGTTTCTGGCACAATCCCTGAACAAACTGTATTATTTAACTAGGTCGTCTATCATGATCGGTCTTCTCATAACTCATTTACACTACCTCAAGCTTGACACTGTTGCAGCCGTACCTTAGCCTTCTCGGCCTCGCCCTGGATCTCGTTAATATCTTTGCCCGTAGTCTGCAGGATCCCACGCCGCTCCTCATGTTGACAAGCCAGCACAGCAAGCGTCGAAGACTTCCACAGGGGAACACGGCGGCTCTGGCGATTGCTAAAAATACTCAAGATGGCGAACAAAATCGCGAACCCCTCAGTCACAATCGGAACAACGAAGTACCCCCATCGGATGAAAACAAACGGCTCACTCTGAACTACCTCTCCATGTGCAGACAGGGTATTTGGACCATACCGCAGATAGTCCGTCATGGCAGTCGCCATTTTGTCAAACCGGTAGCTAATGTCTACGTCGCCAGATAGAGCAGCTGCGACACCGAGGTTCGTATTGACAAAGTTCCCTGCAACCCACTCGGTAACTATTGTCGTGGACTCGAAGAAATTTTCCACCGCAGCGAGACTGGCATAGTTCGTTCCAAGCGCAGGGATATGGATATCACCACTCGTCGACCCGTTGGTGTATATGCGCTTGAATTTCATTTCGCTTCCTTCGGTCCCGAGCGTCCAAGGATTCTTCACGCCAAAATCGACCTCCTGCCTTCTCGAGGAGAAATCACTACCATTGGCCTGGACATCCGTGTATTGGTAGGCCGTGATGGAGAGAGAGCACTCTGTGATGTTGATGTCTTGAACTCGAAAACTGCTGTCTGGGGTCGATCTATAGATTGCGAATCGCGTGATTTCGGGAAAGGTGTCTGGCAATTCAACTGCTGATGTGTTCATCAGCAGTGAGGACGCATTCATGTAGTATGTTGTCGCCAAATCGGTGAACCAAGCGCGAGGTGCAAGGTCGACTCCGCCTGGCGTTGTCATGTTGCATTGGCGCAGGGAATCTTCGTCACCCTCGCAGGTGGCCACTTGCAATGTTTCCTGGGTGACGTTCCTGCACTCGGCCTTGAACCCAAGTGATATGTATGATTCGGTCCAGCGACATACCCCGGGGCACTTGAAAGGTTCTGCGGTGTTGATGCCATACAGACCCTGGATGATGGTGGACTGCATACCGGGATCCTGCGGGATGCTCCCTAGTCAGAAGCATGTTAGCTGCACTTGTTGTTTTGGCTGTGGAGGGTGTCGACGATGCTTACCGATGCCAGAGTTTGCCAGGCCATTGAGTAAACTCCGGCTGTAATTGTGCGCATATCCGAAGGTGGCGGTGCCGGCAGTAGAGATGATGTCTCGCTGATCAATCAGAACCACCTGTTGTGTGAATGGCGAGAAAGCAAGTCGCAAGATCGTGATGAATGCGCCGATGGTGGCTAGATTCCACTTGACGGTGGTAAGCAGCAGGATAGACCCCCAAACACCGCGACTAGCTCCGTCAAATATTTCAAAGTCAGCAAGCTTGCGAGGCCCGTTTTTGAAGTGAAGCCATTTAGACTGTCCAATAAATGTGCTAACCCCATGCATCAACGCCGTAGTGTATGCAGTTGTCAGAATAGAAATTGTCGCGTTGAGAGAGACGCGGCCCCTCCAGGCAGAGAGAGGCTTGTCGTCCATATACCAGAAGATAATGGCAATGCCAATGAGGAGGCCCAGGGCCAAAATCGAACTGATCGATTCCAAAAGCCATTCGCTGGGGGAGTACACTGGATGGCGCTTATACTCCGTGGTGGTCGCAGTCTGTGGCTCGGAGTCTACTTCGGAAACCTGAGCAGGCTCATATGGGTGAGCTTTCGGCTTACTGTCAACTCCGGCCATGGTGACAGCCTGTGATCTGTGATTGGGGTTGCTTTCGAGCGATCAACATAGAGATGAGACAACGTGATCAACTGAGGAGCGTCGCTGGAGGGTGGCTAGTTTGACTTCTTCCTGACTTTTGACTTTTGACACGTATGTTTTGGTTTCGTGACTAAAATCAGCCGTCAGACTGCTGGGTGTTTCTCCGAGGAGCATTACTCAGAACTTCTGTACGTTGGACCTTCTGGTGGGACCTGCTAGGATACAATTCTTCGCGGTGGTCTGTTCTCAAGAGCGATCAGCAACTGCGAGCTTACCCGTTGGGAGTGTGCACTTTTCTTACTTGAAAAGGGGAAACTGAATCCAAACGCCAAGAAATCGGCTGTCCTCATATTCCTACTAGGGTAGAGGCAGTTCACCTCCAATTGGTGGTAGGAAATTCCGAGCCGACACCACTGGCTGTGAAGAAGAGGTGGGAAACGAGAACTGGGATCATGTTTGCGGCTGAAGATAAGCCTGGGAAAACCTTTCCTGTCAGATCTCGTATTCCCTTCCCCACGCCCCCGCAACGGTTGGCCGTAGCGCTGTCTTTCCTCTCTTTGGCTTCGCTGGGCATCGCTACGTCAACCTATCAGCGATGGTATATTTCCCCTTGAAAGGGGCTAAACGGCCTCGCCAGGGTCATCTGAGGCATTAACTTCGATCTTTTTGTTTAACAGTTACCCCCGGCGATTTTTGTGTCGTCTACACGTCCGGTCATTGGTCCGAGATGCATCTGCCAAGTGAAAGACATTTCTTGGTTCGATTCGATGAATCAGGTCTTCATTTCGCGGGTGAGCGAAGCGAAGCAAGCTCCTTATCGGTGATGATAAATGGCAACCCTCCTTCCTGTTATTTCGCGTCCCTGGCATGGTTTCCTTATGTAATGTTTATAATATTAAGAACTGCAGTTGAAGGATGCCTAAGAGAAAAGTGTGGCTAGCTGAGTCGCAACCAGACCTGCATTAGTACATAAACTAACCTAATTAAACCCGGAATTGGCGTTATGCTGGGATTAGCCGATGTGTCACTGCGAAGCGACAAGGTCCATGAGCGCTAGTAGGGCCGGGCCGTTATCCAAGCCCAGCCCTGAACTTATCATTGGATGAAAATCCATTGACACTATCCCTTTCCAATTTTCATACATTGTCAATATCCTAATTCAGTTACACCATGGAGGATGACTAAACGGTGCTGACGCCCTCCGATGAAGCGTCAGGTAGAACCCTGTGCACTTGCCAAGGGAGTCGAGTCAGCCTTGCTTCTTTTGTTCTTTGGCTGTGTACCAGTGTTCTTGGCGAGATTGCGGGATTTAAGCCGCTTTTGCTGGTCGTTGAGCATTTCAACAGAAAGCGTGCCCGTGTCTGGAGAATGAAGTCCTCTCAATAAAGTCACACAGTTGAAATTCGCTCTTCACTGGAGAGTACTTCAGATCTCCAGAAGAGACCATGTTACTTCTTCTGCACTACCTCGTGGCGTACGCCCTGTTACATTTACAGGGTGCTGCAGCACTTCCACAGGGAATGACCCCATCCGAAGTCTCGAGCGTAACATCAGCTACACCCACAGGGACGTCAGTTGTAGAGAAAGAAAGGGCCTGTGACTTTAATACGATAAACGATTTCTTCGTTTACGCCAACAAGAACGGTCTAAACATCACTGTGGAGGTCCAGAAGTGCCAGAATCTGTGCCTGCTCACATACGGTGTCGGAAACCCTGATCTTTCTGGGATCGGCGTAAGTTCCTAAACACAAGCTTTCTCCGTTTTCTCCACAAATATGTCGTAGCTGATCGACTGTGCCTCCTTCTAATCCAGATGATGTATGCCTATAGCATACAAGCCGCACTTACCCTCCTCGTCGGTCCTGTTTACCGTATACTCTATCTCACCCTAGCGCCAGTGAGCAGCTTCATCCGAGACTTAAAAGATATCCAAACGAATTTTTTCTCTTCAAATGGCTTCTTCGTCGGCTCCTCCGCCCTAGCCACGCTCGCAAACCTGTCACAGAACCCATCCACCTTTGAGATCGCCGAGATGCAGGCCATGGCATTCCTGCAGGTCAACAGCATCCTCGTGACATTCTTCTGCCTAGTCGTCGCGCAACCAATGTCGCGTTGGGCCGCGCGAGTGCTACTCTATTTTGCAGTGTTTGTCCTCGTGATCGTCGCCCTAGGCAAGAGCCACCTGGGCAGCGACAGCAAGGCAAACTGGAGACTTGCCTCGGATGGCTGCGCACACAGCTCAACGGATTACAGCGTCATCAATCCCGTCCCATATCCATCATGGACTGTCGCTATCTTTGCCGTCGCGGGTACGATTGCGTTCTGGCTACAGTCTCTCAAGGAAAAGTTCCAGGCAGACATGTTACACAAGTCGCTGTTTAGGTTATTGATGCTGTTTTGGGTCTTGTTGATTGGACTCTTGACTGCGGGCATGGTGGTCGGCCTGACGATGATGTGGCGACAACGAAGGCATCTGCGAAGCTTGGCGAGAGACCAATTTGAGGATGATCAGTGGGGGTTCGGGCAGATTGCTGCCTTGGCGATCTGGGCGCCGATACTGGTTGAATTGCTTTATATTCTGAATGGTGAGGAGCTCTTCATTCTTATTGGTGGTATTTGGTCAAGCTGACACATGCACTTTGTTACAGACTTACTCCAACGGAAGTCCGAAAGATGGAATCGCTTGAATGAGACCATTAGCGTTTTCTTTTCTCCGAAAGCTTTGAAGGGGGACCAAGCTTCACCCAGCCCTAACCTGCAACCCCAAATGAAGGAGCAGGGTGGAATTGGAAGGGTAATCGAGGTTGCTAGTAGCTAAACAAATAATGTTGTACGCGTTGTGATATTTTGCCCTGGGTAATTCCAATCGAACGCAGCTAGAGTTATTGAGGCAGCAAACGAACTTGTTGTGCAGCTTTGTAAAACGCCTGGACATAAGAGAAATAGGTGTCCATTTATTCCGAATAGCTTCTTTTCCAATGAAATTTCATTGTGGTTGAGGTAATGCATTAAGATGGTAGACTTAATTAGGCAGGTGGTGACTACTCGCTTTCAGAATACCTTACTATGTCCGTTAAGGAATGTTAGCTGATAATCAAGGCATCTACGGTTCTCTGAAATAAAGCATTGTGGTACACTAGGAGCTATTCTATCAACAATGACGAACTCAGGTTCTATGTTTGACTATCTCGTCTGTTGACAGGTCTGTCCGGCTAGACTACGGAAAGCGTTAGGTTATAGTCGCGTGTGCGGGCACCCGATCAGCGAACAACCACGTTAAAGATTGGCCGTCTATTGGCACAAATGTTTGAACTTATAACATTATTCCTTCAGCTGAGCCTGGACCTTCACCACATCAAGTCCCCATACTTCGCCAACATGAACTCCTCTTCTCGGAAGAGCTCACGGACAGCATCCCAGCCCCTTTCAAGTCGCACGATTGGGAGATTTGCCTCTTTATATGATTCGATCTCTCCCTGTGTCCATTCATGGCAGTCTGTAGCTAATTCTGTTGACTCAGTTCCTGCGGCTATGTGGGATAATTCGGTGGGGAATTCACTCGTCGTAGCCGAGAGAAGACCGCAAATATCCAAAGCGTGTTGAGGAGGTACTGTCAAGCGGCCCCTTTTAAAGACCATCCGAGTTACAGCAGACGCAAATACATGTTTGTGTCGTTCTTCCTTCTGAGGCGCTAGATTTGTGGTCTTCCTTTTGTTGATCGAAGCATCGGCCTGCATGACGTAACGTCTGGGCCAAAGCTTGCTCTTGTCGACGAAATGCGTGACCATATAAATCCACTTATTATCCCAGCTTGCAATTCTGCTCCAGATTTCGTACTGTTGGAATGGCTTGATCTCCCGATGGAACGTACACGCAATCGCGCTAACGATCAAGTTGCAATGCATGGAACCTGTGGTATTCAAGAAGATGGGCGCAAATAACAACCCACTGAGATGCGCTCTCGAGACATCAAGGTCAGTGGTGTAGGTCGAATTTGATTTATGAAAATTGAAGTCAGTCTCAGTTGCCGGAGACCGTGATCGAACCACTGCCGGGAGGAAGATGTGGTGTTGATTAGGCGCATTGTTTGACCTTCCGCGGGTGAGGAAGCCCATTGCTAGGGCACCAAAAAATCGAAACTAGGGAGTTAGAGTCAATTTCTATGGGAAACGAAATGCAATCACGATCTCACATGCCACATAAAAGGTAAATTCTTGAGATTCAGACCTAGTATCAGGGTGAGGCACCATATCCAGAGACTCATGTCGAAACTGAGACGTGATGACAGAAGTATGGGCCAAAGTCGATATATAGGCTGGTAAAGCTGCAAAGATACTGAAGGTTACCAGATGTGTACTCTATACTAAGGTTATGTGCAAGTGCTCGCATTGGGCTGGATCAAAGCCAACCTCAACCGAGGCAGCGATAGGCACTGGCGTGTTCCGCGGCACTGAGGATACCCACTCATGAGCCGCGGGAACTCAAACTAAACGAAAGGAAATGTGCTGAAGGGACAGACATTGGTTTAAAAGGATCAATAACAATACTTAAATGCAAGATTAAAAACCAGGATCTTTTCAACATTTACTAGCTATATTTTATCAAACGCAACATCGTGGTTAAATCATGTCTGAAGATCTTGTTCGCCTCGACATCAACGGCATCTTTGCCGTCATCACGTTGAACAACCCGACAAACTTCAACGCCTTGACGCAGAGTCTGTATTATCGCCTTGCTAGCTTGCTTCGAGACGCCGAAAAGAATCCGGATGTCTACGTTACTGTTTTGATCGGGGAGGGCCCCTTTTTCTCTGCGTAAGTTCTCTCCGTGATGGCGTAAATGTGGGAAAAGAAAAGAGAAGCTGACGCAGACATTTAGAGGAGCTGACCTTAAAGGCAAACCACCTTCTACGGAGGACATGTTATCTCGCCCCTATTGGCTTCCGAAGTTGGTGAACAACAATGTAGACGTCGCGAGGGCATTCTATAGCCATTCGAAGATTTTGGTAACGGCGCTGAACGGTCCCGTCATAGGGCTTTCTGCAGCCTTGATATCCCACTCGGACTTTATCTACGCTGTGCCTGACGCTTATCTGATGACTCCTTTCACCTCACTCGGCCTCGTTGCCGAAGGCGGCTCCAGTGTCGCATTCGTGCAGCGGATGGGTCAAGGCAAAGCGAACGAGGCACTCATACTTGGCAGAAAGATTCCTGTCAGCGAGTTGGCTCAGGTTGGGTTTGTCAACAAGGTCTTCGAAGACAAAAGCAATTTCCGCGGACAGGTGATGGGGTACCTGCAGCAGACATTCGGCGAACATTTAGTGAAGTCGAGCCTTTTGGGGACAAAGGCTCTCATGCGCCGCCGCTTGGTTAGGGAGCAGGACGAACAAGCGCCGCTAGAAATGTTCGGTGGCCTCGACCATTTCTGCCAGGGTATCCCACAAGCCAAGATGGGAGAGGCCCTGTCCAAGAGCAAGAAATCTCGACTCTAATTTAGCTTAAACTCCAAGGCCACGGAGCAGACTATGCTCGAGCGATGTAGCAAAGCTTTATGATCATTCAATATCATTGTCAATGTTATAACCAATTACCACTTTCATGTTCGCCTCTACGGATTTAATTTGAAATTACTGCGAACCTTGAAATTGTTTGATGTCTCTATGCCTTTGAGTGTGTCCCGTTTTGGCGTACACACTGTAGGCAAATTGACATCGCACTGATCCGATATCACTTCAAAGGTATCGAGCGACAAAAGTTCTGAGGATTGAGGCGTTCAGAGGAGGCCCTCAGAGGACCCTTCCCGCAGAATTTCTAATACGCTATGGAGAAAGTGAGGGTAAGGTTCTTGGCCTTCAGTCTTCTCGTAAATATAGTATTGCGACGTCCAACCTCCGCTTTCCTGGTGGCGAGGTCAGGAGTGATTGTTATCTGAGGTACACGGAGCTTCACTCCGCAGCTTATTTGTTTGTACGACTACTTAAACTAGTGACACAGCCCTCCCGACGCTCGTTAAGACCATAGCAGGCGATTGTGACATTGAGAAAACTTGAATACCGGCATTGAAATTCCTAATTACATGCTCTTCACCCCGGCACGGTACGCACTCCGGAAGAGCTTCAGTAAGTAGCCTCAAGTAGATTGCTCTTTGTAATCAGAGGTAACTTACATCGTTACAATAGCCGTACCATTTTCTCGCCCACAGTGCGACGGGATCCATCCTGAACTTGGTATTGTTACCGTGTTACGAGATACCCTTGGGATTCGCAGTCAGTACCTAGGAGGCCAAAAACAGCCGCCTCAGCATAAACCCTTGGTATTTTGTACCGACAGCCGAGGCAAAAGCTACCTTGAGTGGGGACCCGTGAGCCTTGCCCCGGCAAACTTTGTATGACTAATCAGTGACAATCAGACGGCCCAAATGCTGGCTTGAGTAACGCTTGCCAACACTCCTGGAACCCGAGGTACAACGCATGCCGCTTATACTACGGCGTACTTCCTTACCTCAGGGAACCTACCCAAATCCGGGCTAGGTATACCGTGTTGACTTCAACTCCTTCCCAGAAACAAGTCTATTGTTTTTTATGATGCGTAATTTTTCAGAGGAAAGCACCCGGGCTTCTGGCAGAACACGGCGGCTGAGAAAACGGGCATCCGTTGCTTGCCAGTCATGCCACTCCCGTAAAGTAAGATGCAGTCTTCCACAGACCGGCACACCCTGCACCAATTGTTCATTGGACGATATCTCCTGCGTGCCGCGGGTGAGCAGGAGACGAAAGTGAGCGAGATGTGCAGAACTCAGATCGAAGAACCCCTCGGCAAACATGCTAACGAGCTTCCGTGGCAGACCTGCACTACAATCTTCGTCCCAACATCTTGGTCCGGCGTCTTCGCCGTCCAATGGTAGTACCGCGGTACGGAGTGCTCCCGTGGAAGGTGGCGGCTTTCCACTCGACCCCGAGCGTCTCGTTGCGTCGAAGGGTCTATCTGTGCGGAGCGGCTGTAGGCCCACGGCACCATTGATTGGTGAGAATGGAGTTGGCGCTGACACACCTTATCATCCGTTCAACGAGCATTTTAGCCATCACAGTGGAGTAGGTGACACGGTCATGTCGCAGATAGATGGAGATGTGGCGGATAACTGCTATTCCCCGTTATATGGTGAGAATCAGATATCCTTCGAGGGGTACATGAGTCAGTGATGATCCACTATGATGCTGATTTGGACATTTAGGTGATCCCCGCGGCGTTGGTCTGGTGGTTGATATCTGTGAACCGGAGCCAAGGGAAAAGAGCGGCCACTTCCTCGTCCCATGTATTGGTCCAACTCACATAGACCGGGAAACTATCGATTACTTGCGCCTTAAGGGTGTGTTCAACTTGCCCGCTCCTGCTGTCTGCGAGATGATCATGCGGACGTATTTCTACTATGTGCATCCCTTTTTCCCAGTCATCGATGCTCGTTCATTCCTTGACATGTTCGAAAATGCACGCGACAAACTGAGCATCCATCTTTTGTGGAGCATGTTTCTAGCTGCTGCTAATGTATGGGTCCCATTCACTCCCTGACTTCCCTCGTTGGCATGCTAAGATGAGATAGTTCGCAGACGATATCACCCTAAAAGCAGCCAACTTCCCGTCTCGAAAAGAGATGAAACGTGCAATGTATATCCGAGCTAAGGTCGTACCGGGTAAAATATTTTGGAGAAAGGGCGCCAGCTAAAGTCGCATAGGCTCTTTATGACGCGGAATATGAGAGAAGGAAGATCACTTTAATACAGGCGGTACTCTTAATGGGCTTCTGGTACTCGGACACTGAAGACAGAACCGGACCTTGGCACTGGAATGGCGTTGCCATCGGTCTCTGCCAAACGATTGGGCTGTACCGGCAGCCAGACACCGTTCGAAAACACAGTAAAGCCATACCGATGAACGACAGCAGAGTCTGGCGGCAGATCTGGTGGAGCTGCTTCTACCGTGAAGCGTGGTTCTCTGCCGGCATGGGCAGGCCTATGCGCATCAACCTATCCGACTGCAGTACCCCGATGCCAGACGCCAAGGATTCCGCTAACTTGCTTGCGGAGGTTCCGGAGAGTATTCAAAGGAAGTACCTTCCTAAAGGCACTGAGGACTTGTCCAGATTGTGGACAGAGCTATTGGTCCTTACGGTCTCTTTAGCGAAGATTCTCTCTTGGCAAAACCGCGCGGAGCGGACGTGGCCCAGTAGGACTGAAATACGACACATGGACGATAACATGCGACTATATTATTTCCGAAAAGACGACGTCATAACTCACAGACAATGTCATGTCGTCTCCTTACACGCCTACCATCTAGAGCTGTATCTAGAGTAAGTGCAATCATTTTGTTTGGTTAATCGTACGCTGATACGGAAGCTATAGGTCTGTTATGCTGGTCCTATACCGGCCATTCCTCTTTGAGAAGCCAGAAGTGAATTCGCCTGATGACTCTGCGAACGAATGGAGATCAAGTGTAGAGCGGAGGACGAAAGACTCCGCGACGAGCACCAACAGGATCCTCGGCAATATGATCGCTGCTGATATGATCAATAGCGCTCAAGCGATGATGTACGTACATCTCCAGATACCCATCAGACATATAAAATTCAGGATGCTAAATATCGGTAGCTGCATTGCTTTGGTTCCCACATTACAAATCCATCTCCTTGAATCTACGTCGGAAAAACCGTTGGTTCAGCGTATGGGCAACCACAACCTCGAATTTTGCATGATCGTTATTGAAGAGCTCAAAACGGTATACTTCGGCGCTGAAATACTTTCCAGAATGTTCACCAAGGCAAAAAGACAAATTTACAATCAGAGGCTGGCTCCCGCCACGGCTCCTAGAGAGAATGCGCCCGAGTCCTCGCGTGATTCCACTATTAGTATTGTTTCAGATGTGGTAGAGGATGAACTCCAGGACGATGTGGAGATATTTGATGCCTTTTCGGCGACGTGGAATCCCTTCGCGCCAATTACAGCTAGCGGATTGTTCGACAATGACGAGTACGTATAAGCTTGGTTCTTAACCTCTTCCTGTATCGTTTCTCTACGATGCTTTCCGCTTGATGAGCCAGCCTATTTTCATTTCCAAGTTTACTGATCGTCGTTCTTGCTCGTGGCAGGCTATTGGGTTTCGAATCCGACATCACGCTCGGGCAACTAATGTTCCCTGAGTCTGAAGCCTCTGCAGTTACACGTTAGACATCAGACAACGGCGTCCTATCAGAGCCTGCAACGGACGGATACCAGTGGCTCCATATTCAGTTCGAGATTTTCCTAGTCCTCTAGTTCGTCCTGGCTGGTCCGGAGCAGCTCGAGTGCAAGGTAGCAGTCTGTTATTAAGACAAACCAAAACCAGGAAGTGATACAGAAAGAGCAGATTCGCAACTTGTCAAGTCTCAAGTCCGGATGTCAAAGAACTGGGCGGTAGTACTTAACAAATTTACTACGCAGGAGGGAAGAAAGATAGATCGTGAAGTAACCATGTGCGAAAGGGTCACCCTCCCACCGAAAACGCACGTCTACGGGCACCTACGTTCTTTGGCCACCACCACGCCACCAAAGCATAATGATATAGCTCTGAATCAAAATGTCCACATCAACTTTTAAGAATATAAGGGCTATCTCTTACGGCAACGTATGACAATATGAAGCATAGGAGCGCGAGACTTCGTGGTTTAGAGATATGACGAACAGGACAAACGGCGGATAGGAAGATAATGATAATGGTATAACGCTGTCGGCGGTGTGAATTCCCACAAAATTTGGAATTTTCCGAGGAATTCCCAAATTGTCTTCTGGCAATACCGACCGACGTCTGCGTTCTGAGGCCTCGTGGTCCTGTATCATTTTATCGCCGGATGACGTCATGAACACATACGTTGCTGTACATAAGCCAACTGAACTTCCACGTACTTGAACAATTTTTACTGGTACTATAAGCAGATGCGTACAGTTGTAGTTGTACCAAATAATTATGCCCTGCCCAGGGAAGATCAAGAAACTTGAATTCTCCACACAAAAGCCCCTTAACAGGGAGCCCCCTGTAAGGACTTTGGTTGATCGGTACGTATTATTTCTCAACAAAATCCTATTCACCTCATTGTATTCTTCCACATACCACCTGTCGTGCCACAGCTGATCTGAAACAACAGTTTCCTCACCCCTCAGCGGATCGGTTTTGACCGGAACCACGGCCCTATTCCACATATATATGGCGAAATGCACACCGTCCACGTCGATGGTCTCGTCGTTGACCCGCTGACGCTCACTGTGGACCGGCTGCGTTCTGACTTTCGTCAACACGAAGTCCCCAGCGCGCTCGAGTGCGCCGGAAACAGGCGACACACCATGCGGACGCTTGTGAAAGAAGTCCAAGGAATCGACTGGGACGACGCAGCTGTCATGAATTGCAAATGGAAGGGGCCCCGCCTTCGAGATGTTCTTCTCCGAGCTGGTCTGTGCATAGAGTCTACTGATCCAAACCGCAAGATTCATGTAGCTTTTGCCTGTTACCAAGCGGAGTGTCAAGACGATAATTGGTACGAATCTAGCGTGCCCTTAGAGGTATGTCTTCAGGCGGAAAGGGATGCTATCTTGGCACTAGAGGTAGGTATTTTAGATCCCTCTCATCACTACCTACCCATTGTTAAATATAATATATGCTCATGGTTTCTTCTAGGTGAATGGTACTCCTCTCACGGTAAACCACGGCTATCCGGTTCGAGTTGTTCTTCCCGGTATTGTGGGGGTTCGATGGGTGAAGTGGCTTGACCGTATCACAGTTCAGGACCACGAGTCAACTAACGCCTACCAACAACGCGATTACAAAGTCCTTCCACCGGATGCAGTAGACAGTGAATCTGCGGAGAAGTACTGGCACTGTACACCACCTATGTATGACATGCCGGTCAACTCTGTTGTTGCGGTTCCTGCTGATGGTGAAACCGTGACGTTGCCATCAACCGGTTTGGTGGAAGTAAGAGGTTATGCCCTTCCACAAGGCGCAGACGGGCCTGTTACTCGTGTTTCAGTGTCAGGGGATGGCGGGTACTCATGGATAGATGCGCAACTGGAAAACTCGGGCGGTACTTCGAAGTGGTGTTGGGTATTGTGGACGGCCAAGATCAAATTGACCGCAGGCTCCCAAAGGGAAATACTGAGTTGCGCAACGGATGCTGGGGGTAACTCACAGGGGCAGGAGCATTCGCAGTGGAATTTAAGAGGAATTGGGTACTGTGGATATGGCCGAGCAAGGGACTTGACTCTCGTCTGAACCCACCTTTGGATGTAGCTGTATTCATACTTATGATCTTCACTTCAATAGCATGGACAGATGTTGCTATACAAAAGATCAGGGAGACGCTCTTGAGAAATAGATTGCACATCATAGGGGTTCGCGCTCTACAGTCCGATATATATCATCGATCTGATCTCTACAGCATAAGCACAGCCTTCTGCTTGATGACGGGCGGACGTAGACGGAGGCTACGTATGGGAAGAATGAGGGGGAAAGGGCAAGACGGGACCAGGGGGCAAGAGGAACAGAGGAAGCCGGCGGCTAATGTCGCCAGATCGCGGTTTTTCAGAGGTATGCGCTACTGTATCCGGTGACTGTGCATTACTGCATGGGACATTATGAATTAAACTGATGACTCATCAATCCGAGTATATGCAGTCCTGCCCGAACTACATAGCGGCGACCTGACTGGGGATAGAGCATTCCGGATTTGTTTTCCGGTAAGTCAGTCGTAAAATGGTACTGTAGGATAACGGGTAGACTGTTACTGTACTGTAGAGAAAAATGACACGATCGTGAGAAAGAACGTTGGTGATAAATTTATTGTGATTTGCTGCCGAGCAGAATGGCGGACCACCCCCACGGGGACTTCCAAGCCATCATGAACACGCGGAGAGAAGCAATGATACATAGTTGATAGTGGCGGTTCGTGCTTCCGGCAGTCTATTACCGCCATCGGGCCAAACCCCATTCTGCCGCCATTTTATTACTAAGTAAGAAGTAGGACGGCACCCATAAATCAATCCATACATGCTTACTTGGTTTTTATTCCAACATCAAGCTGGTCGTATACCGGATTTGCTGTATCTGAATGTGTGGGCGGAAGCTAGCAAGATCCTGCCGCAGTCTAACCCTTCCCGTCATTATGATGCTTACTATTACTTTTCTTCTGATTGGTACATCTTACAGGCAAGGTTCGTCTAGACTTGGATGGAATGGTTTACTTCAGGATTTCAGCGAAAAAAAAACACATACATGGATGTACTATACGTCAGTATGATCGTGAGCCCAAGAGGTCATTAAGAGCTAGTGACGTGTTTCCCTGCTGTTACCACCGAATTACCTATAAAAATGGCCACTTTCCAGTCCAATGCGATTGTGGTAGGAACATCCTGATATAATATGTTTGTTCGTTCATCAAGAACCGCGCATCTCAGACAACTCCTATCACCTATTGTTCAAAGACGTGGAATTGCAACCTCACCTATCGCAATGGCTCCCGGCATTAGCGACGCGATCAAAACCGACCATCGGGAGATTGAGTCGTATTATGACAAGATCATCAACTCCTCGGATAAGGATGAGCAGACACGCTACCAGAATCTATTTACCTGGGAACTAGCTCGACACTCCATTGGAGAGGAGCTTGTTGTTTATCCTGTTTTCGAAAAGCTGCTCTCTGGTGGCGTCGATATGGCAAATAAGGACCGTAAGGAGCATTTGAAAGTAAATTTAAACTATCATTTTACATTTAGTTATAAAACTAACATACATTTAGGTTAAAGAGCAGTTAAAGGTATTCCAGAACATGACGCCTTCGGATACACAGTTCATTCCTACTATCAAGGAGTTGATGGAGGACTTGTCCGAGCATATCAAAGAGGAAGAAACTCACGATTTGCCTAAGCTGGAAGAAGCCTTATCTCAAGAAGATAGCGAGAGCTATGCTAAGAGCTTTGGCCGAACAAAGATGTTTGTGCCTTCGCGCTCTCATCCTAGTGCACCAGACAAACCCCCATTTGAGACAGTGGTGGGGCTTCTAACGGCGCCGATCGATCATCTCGCGGATCTGTTCCGCAAGTGGCCTGATACTTCTGGAATGCCGAACCCGTCTACAAAGTGAGCGTCTGCTGGTGAGACTTACAGCCTTTCTGTTCTATTTGGGTCTGGATTTCCGCTCCGTTTGTAGCTTATTTGTGAAGTATATTATTTCATGTAATTCTGAAAATGAAAGTTCCATGAAACATTCGCCGTCCTACGCTAGTCATCTTCATAATTCGCGTTTCCTGCCCTGGGCTTTGTAAGTAGCAACCTAACCTTAGCTCTGAAACTGGTCTGGGATTAACCCGACCTGTGGTACCGGTCCGGAAGTTATACATTTCGTCTATAATCATTTTATCTACTAGCTGGGGGCTAAGCAGGGACGAGTAGATAGGTTTGTTTTCTATCACACTCCGAGGAACGTATACTGGAAAGCTATTCCGCAGACTACTTTAGGAGTGTGCTTATTACCGCTGTTAATAAAAGTTCAATGCCTACAATTGTTACGTAGTATATACTAAACGGTCTAATAAGGTCCTCGTCGTAGGCAACTTTCGGCGTCGTGGTCATTGAAGAGAGCATAGGCACTAGAGAGGAACCAGCATTGCCGTATTCTATTTAGTAGGCGGCGATAGTTATTCGATGTAGCATGATAGATAGGAGACTAGAATTAGGCTGACTGTCGGTAGATGTCGTAGGAAGACATAGTAGGATAGTCGAAGACCAGTGGAGGGGATTCCGAGGGCTGGTGAGTGCATCGTTAGGCGAACGTTGTTTGGCGATCATCTGAAATTGGAAAGTACTCGGTCACAGATAGACAGTGATCCAGCTTGAGCTCGTTTAATCTTTCAACAGAATATGACGCACCCGTTCGTTTGTGACTGCATATCGCTTCTTGATAAAGTAGTAAGTGTCCTTGGCGTCAGCGCAATCCTCAATCTCCATCTTAATGCCGTCCGAAATGCAGCTGTGAAGCAACTTGCTTGCAAGTTTCATATTTTCTTTTGCATTCTTATGCTCGTCATAGTCCATCTGCCATCGGAGGGTGTTTTTGGTGGTCAACAGAAGTGGCTGACCATCATATGTTTCGTCGCCATCGTCACTCGTCGGAGTTGGAATCAACAAGCCTCACGAAATATTCCTCTTTTTTTGTTTGGGTAGAACGACTTCTTCACCTGTGAGGAATTCAAGAGCTATCATATGCTCTGGCCGTTCGCTCAACTCGTTTCCAGCTGATAAAATTGGTCTTGCTCTTGAGCTGGAGATATGATTTGACTTCGTCCATTATGGAACAAGTCATAACGAATCCAAGGCAAGATGTGAAATAGATTTTTAGATAGAATACGCAGCGTATCGAGAACCTTCCATCAGCATAACATACGAAAAATCAATTGACTGGTCTTGTGATTTCTACCCAGCCTCGAACCAATCTGGCTGGTCTGATATCGTACCGAGGCGATCTGGTATAAGGTTTTGCAAGAGGAAGTCACTTGTCTTGAAAAAGTTGAATGAGTGTGTGTCTGTCCGCCGCCAGTGCCTAGATGTGTAGATGCTCATGTTGGACGAGACGATAGGAACAGCAATTGCAATGATGCAATTGATGGAACCCCGTACGACACAAGCCAACGACAACGCAGTCTCGCATGAGCTCCGGATCCGAATCTGGTGGGCGCTTTTCGCAGCGGATAGTTGGTGCTCTTCGAGCCTGGGCTTCTCCCGCCATATGAAGGACTTGGCCTCGACCGGCTCGTTTACCCATTGATGAGCGCTTGTTTGCCGACATGAATCCAGACGAGCCACTAAATGACCCAAAAGGGCCATGTGAGAGCCCTGGCCTGTGGGCACATATGGCCACGCTCATCGAATTGTTCCGCCCAATCCAGGAACTTAACTGGCGCGCGGCCAGCAATGAGGGACTGCAACTGGATCAAATCGAGCAGGACAGGGATCATCTCGCCCAACTGCTGGATCACTGGCAAATGAAACTTCAAAATTTGCCATGAAAATCTACAGACTCTTGAGATTTCACCAGCGTTAATCCGAGGACGAGCCAATAAACTCAGCACTCTATAATTGTGGAAATATTCGGTGAGAGTCCCACCGAAGAGGCTGGCATCAAGTCCACTCCCCAACAAGGAATTGGGCCCAGTATGCGGGACATTGACTAGTCATAATGCAAAGAAAAATATCGATTCTACTGATTTTGGCAGAGCCTACTCCCAAAACTGCAAATCACCGAGTTGAATTGTTAAAATCATAAGAATCAAAAGGGTAAAAAGTAAAAGAAACTTACGAAAGAACAGAAACTCCGACGATGGGTTTGCATGTGCCACGCAGAGGTTTCCCACTAGAATGCAGGTTTGAATGTTTTCCAGACACACTCGCTCAAGATCGATCTGAAGTAGCCGTTTGGACTCTGCAGTGAGAAGAGGCTCCAGTGATCGTAGAGTTGGCTGAGTTGAAATGTGAGCGCCCATTGCGCAGATAGCCAGAACCAAAGCCTTGCTGGCTCGCCGGTCGCGAATGTCTTTCCACAGAGTCGCTGCATGAAAAATGCTATGGGGCCGACCGTGACTGTTGGACAGATATTCGTGGACCAGCACCACAACAGACTCATCTTCGGAGAGGAAAACCTCTACTTTCGTGGATCGAGTCTGGAATTCTGCTGGTCCAACCTACGGGCTGACGTGCCTCGAGTCGCATCCGCACTAGTCGCCTGGCCTGAGAATGTGAACATTCAAGATGAAGGCGTAGGCAGCGGATACAGGAAGACGATGTATCACTGCCCTTGCTGGGCAAACACTTGCGCTTGGTATCTCGACATTGCTGACAGGATTTCATGTCCCCTGGGTAAATGCAGCAGGGGGAAGAAGAAAAAAAAGCTTGAATGGCACTTTCCCCGCAGTTCGGAGTTTTCAAAGAACAACAATTTAATCGCCAAAACGAAGACTTGGAATATCTCAGGTATCAGACCAGTTGGGAACGATTACTCCAGAGCAAATCTCATATAGCTAGCTCTCTTCACTATATCTTGATATCGGTCATAGCGCCAAAGGGTGCTGGGCCGGTCCCGTCAGCGGCTGCCGGAGTCCGGGTCTGCCATCGAATAACCTGTGCATACTGAACACCCACCGCGACGTGCACACACTGCTGAACATATGTAGGCGGACATCAGTTGGTGGTAATCAACATATTCAGCACAGCCGACGCGTAAGAAAACCAGATCAAGTGAGGAAAACCGCAGAATTGGAAGACTATACTAACATTTTCTTTTTCTTCTGCAGGCAGTTTGGCAACATGCTTGTTCTGCCCGTCACTTACAGGTCCAACCTGCGCGAGCTCGTCAACGCAGGGCTCCTTAAGCTCCTTCTCAGACGCATACTTGGCTTCCCCACGCAAAGTGAAAACATGTCCCCCACGCTTCGTGCCGATGCCCACATCCTCATTGAGGTCTACCAGTATAACTTCCATCATGCTCTTGAAAGGAGCCCCTAACCGACGACATGAAGTAACATTGATAATTATTCGCACAAACCTGCACTATATAAAGGAATAATGAGCGAAGTATCAAATCTTACCGCTCAAGCCATCTATACCAGAATGTTAGACTGACATATTGTTGTGATAATTGAGCCGATGTAGTAGGTCATGGAAATGCATAGAACATATTATATTTAAAATATTAGCGTCTTTGGCCTGTTTACACCCAAAATTGGGTCATATTGGAGACGGCACGAGAGTAAAATTTAGAACGACTTTAGTTTTTGTATTTCAAAGCAATCGGACTTCTCAAGAATATTTGTGATATAGATCTGGTTTCCTTCCCCGTTCCATAATTTAAACCCGCGAGTTGGTGTGATGACTTTATTACCGTTTCCGGCTTAGCCCTCTTAAGCTAAATAAGCGGGCCCCGTCTCCTGGTGGCGTTGTACAGTGACGCCCGACTTCGCCTTCCATAACATGTCGGAAACAGAGATGCTCTTTTCAAACCCTAATCACATGATACGTAAAAATGACATGTTTTATGCCTTTCCGTAATAATATCAGATTCTTTTTTTAGATTGTGAGACAGATAAAGAGAACTGGCAGAATGTCAACTACTCCCTTCTGCATCTCGCAGTCGCTTTACTACAGAGAGCTTGGTGCATCCTGAGGGTCCATTTTGGTTCAAGGTGATAGGCAAGGCTCAATAGTATAGTTTTTGTTTCGGAATCTCCAGTATCGCTTACCATCTTGAGGTAAGCCATTTTGGTAGACCGAGTCTTCCAAATGACATCTAGAGGCAAAGTTGATCGGTTGGTGATAACGATGTAACGTATGGATAGAGATGGGAAAGGCAAATTTTGTGTGATCAGCTATGGAGGGAGGGGTATAACGGGATCGGCTGCGCAAGGAGGATTATGGTCATGCAAATAATAGAAGTAGGCATGCAGTTATAACTATTCAAAAATCAGATCTACTATTGATCTTCAACATTGATTTAGGCTACTTTGGATGAGAGTATATCTAGGAAAAAAGATCTTCTAAATTCTATTCGAGTTGTGTTCCCTCTTGGCACACCGCGTCTCTTCCGCACGTGATGGGTCTAAATCTCGTATTCTCTCCAAGATAGGGCCACTGGCCACTCGGACTCAACTTTTGCTTATTCTTACTCTTACTGAAACCGCACTCGACATGGGCCGCTGGTGGGGGCTCCCACTTCCCCCAGAGATCGTTCTGGAACTATTTGAGTATTTGGAACCCACAGATGTCGTGGCTCTCGCGCAAGCCGCGGAGGGGTTCGCCCAAATCGCTGTCTCAGCGTACTCATCTAGTCTCCGCGAACATAGACGAACGATATTGTTTTCTGCAGTTACATATGGACATATAAGCATTGTCCAACATTATCTGGAGGGAGGAGCCGATCCCTACGCCGCTAATGATAAGGGAACCACGCCATTGCACTTTGCCGCTGCTTTTGGGCACTGCAACGTGGCATCTTTACTCATTGATATAGGAGCCGATATCAATGCACGTCGTAAAAATGGACTAAGTCCACTAGATCTTGCCATTATAACGGGATATAATCGCGTTATAGAGGTTCTCTTAAACAAAGGAGCCATCATTACGGATATAAGGATCGGCCAGGCTCAAATGACGACTCTACATACGGCTGCTATCAAGGGATATAGCCGGATTGCAGAGATACTACTAAGCCACGGAGCTCCCATTAATGTCAAGAATGCCCATGGTCATACGCCTCTTCATTTAGCTGTTTCGGAAGGGCATCTTGAGATAGCTCGGGTGCTACTTTGTGCTAGAGCAACCGTCGCCATTCAAGATAAAAAAGGCGACTCACCATTACACCTCGCTGCCTACAACGGTTATGTTGCTATCGTACAGGAGCTTCTAGATAAGGGAGCAGACCCTTCTCTACAAGGTCACGAAAATGCTACGCCACTGCACCAGGCATCTTCAATAGGTTTCGTTGACGTTGTCCAGCTTCTCCTAAAAGCTAGGGCGAATGTGTCTGCTCAAAGTTTAGATAGGAAAACCCCTCTTCTTCAAGCCAGTGGCGCCGGTCAGGTCGCAATCGTGCGGCTGCTTCTAGCTACCGGAAGTAGTCCTTCAATTCCAGATAAGGATAGGACCACGCCACTATATTTCGCTGTCCTTTCAGGGGAAGCAACAATCGCCGATATGCTAATAGAAGCTAGAGCGCATGTCGATAGCATAAATAACAAGAAACAGACCCCCTTACATTAGGCAGCAAAGGGACATAAAGAGATAGTTCCTATTTTGCTGAATCACAAGGCTGATATACATGCTCTCAGCCATACAGGGTAGACTCCGATACATTAGGCAGCTAACGAGGGCCATGTTGGTATAACGACAGCTTTATTGGAAGCCGGGGCCATCGACCAGATTCAAAATCAAAACGGGAAATCAGCGCTGCACTTAGCCGCTCAAAATAGACATAAGGCTATCGTTCAATTGCTTATCCAACGGGGCAGCAATCCACATCTCACCGACAACAGACTCCGCACAGCTCTGCATTATACAGCTAAGGAAGGACATAAGGATACGGTGAAAATGTTGCTAAGTATCAAAGTCAGATCAGACGCCAGAGATATCGATAGTCGGTCTCCGTTATACTATGCAGTACTCCATGGATATGTGACGATCGCAAATATGCTTCTTGATCTCGGTACCACCCTTAACGAGACCGTCAAGGAAGCCTTTTTGGAGGCTGCAGAAGCTAGGCACGAATTGGTGGTTCAACTTCTCATCGTACATAGTATTGATCTGTCTTTCAGAGATTCAAGCGGATATACAGCGCTGCACCGAGCCGTTCTAGGGAGTCATATTAAAGTTCTTGAACTTGTTCTCAATACGGAGGCTGATAGGTCTGCCAGGGACAACGAGGGAAAGACGGCATTGCATCTTGCTACCCAGGAGGGCGAGGATGAAATTGCCAAGGTCCTTTTGGGAAAAAGTGAAATAAGGAATCTTCAAGATTATAATGGCTGGACGGCTCTGCATTGGGCGGTTGAAAACGAACATGAAAGCACCGTCCGGACCCTATTAGATGCTGGTGTTGACCCTGGTATTGATTCCTTCGACGCATGCACGCCGCTTGATTTAGCAGAAGTTGGGGGCCTAGAAACGATGGAGCAGATGCTACGAGAGGCATTAGCATAGCCATGACGTTCGTTGAGAGTAATTCGAAGGAACGAGATGAATTAGAGCTAGATGCGACGCAAGCCTTGATGAATGGTCTAATTAAAGACAGGTTCAAAGCGTGGTGATGCAAGGACAAAGGCTCTTTTCCAAAGCTCAATCCTGGAAACATGCGATGAGACCTCGGGTGTGATCATTTCCGAGGGGAGGTTAAAGGCACATGTGTTTTACAGCAGCAACGGACGGTCAAGCAAAACGGTTCGTTTCTCCGATAAAGGCCATATCCTGCGTTCCTACGGCCTCTTTGCGATGGCATACAAACTTACAAAGATATTGACCATGTCTTGCAGCTTGTTAAGAGGGTGTCCCACTCAGCTAGATCTGAATTGCTCTATTTTGTTTGGTGTAGATTGGTGGTTGCACACATTTGACTATTTTACCATCGGTCACCTCTAACACTTCTGGTGATAAGTTAGTCACTTAATGTGATCGTTCCTCATTATCAAAAAGAATAATAAAAGTTAAATTACTAATTTATCCGAAATTCGGGTACTTTCAAGGTATTTTCATAGCGACCGCAATTCTACGCAAAACCTCCCTTTTCCAGGTTTCTCCCAAGAACACGATAAAGTCAACTCCTCAGAATCACAGCTTACTCTTTCGTCCGCTGACTGCAAATGGACTGATATCAATCCTCAGTGCTGAGAGAACATACGCCTCTTGAATGAACAGATCTGCCAGCCACACCTTCCCTGTCCATACCAGGTCGCTCGGATCAGGTCCCTTCCATTGTTCCAGATATCTCTTACCAGACTCGATGCTGAGGCAGATATTACGTTGATCTTTAGTCTTGCCACCGAGCTTGACAAGGTTGGCCAGGATTAAAACAGCGTAGGCAGATTCTTCGCTGGAGTGTCGTTTCCCCCACGAACCATCCTTATTTTGAGTTTTGAGCGTGTATTCTCTGCACTTTGACAGCGTGGAATCCACTATCTCCACCACGTTACTCTCCGTATAGATAATATCTTGCGAGTTGGCAATTCGAAGTTTCACCAGGCTGAAGGTCATGTGAAGGATCGCATAATACTCTGAGGTATTCTAAGCTAGATTAACATGCCGTCATCGCAGCGGAAGGTAAAAACCCACCCAATGATCACCGGGGACAGTATCGTTTCTCCAGCTATCGCAGAGGTACTTAACACATTTGTTGATTTGTTGTTTTGGAGGGTCTGGACTGGAAAGTAGTGCATTGAGCACGTTGGAGTTAACACTGATGCTAGGAACTTCGTTGGGAATGCGGCCGAAGAATGTTTGAAAGTACGTATCGACTTCATGGTTGCTGATCAGGCTGTCAAGATTGGGGTTATCACCGTGCAAATAGAGTGCAGTCAGTGCTCTGCCCGTATCATCGGCGTCCGGCACCCACATGGTAGCTATAGGACATCAACATACTATTGCTTTGAGAGAGCAGCTGCTAATGATAAAGGGGAATGACACTTACTCGCACCAACCCGGCCACCATTCAAGTCGAGCTGCTTGCTGAGGAATCGGATAATCGTGTCCACATTATCTTTGCCCAGCTCGTGAGTACTAAATCCATTTTCGAGCAATGTTGTCAAGACCTTGAAATTGTTACTTTGTGTACTTAACAAAGAGTCGAAATGGAATCTCACCCAGCTTGACTCAAAGGTCGTCAAAGGGAATATTGACGCCACCCCACCTGTTCCTTGGCCGCTTCCGTTGTATACAACGTTACGTAGGTATTCCTCGCACTCGTTGCTCCAAACCGGTGCGTACAGCAGGTACGCCGCGGTCGATGCCGGCATAGCGCCAAGACCTTCAGCTGATATCTGATGACCAATTCGTGCGAAGTCTATCTTCCCCAGGAATCCTTCATAGCAGAGCAAAGGTACACTGCATTTCTCGGTATATAACCACTCAACGTCCATCTGCCGGGCGTCGTTAAACATAAATAAGAGCTCTTCTTCACCAGGGAAAGTAAATGAGATTCCTTGCTCGTCCTTGAGTCTCTGTAGAAGGACGGGGATAAGTAGCTGGAATCCAAAATGGGTTGTCTCAGACACATTCCACTTTTGGAGCTGGGCATTGACCGATTCCTTTGCACGAGAGATACGGCTTGATAAGTTGTATGGCAATGTGCCATTTATGCAATCTCTATTTTGGGAATGCACGCACAAAGCGAGCAGTCCCGCAAGAGTATGAATGATGGTATCGGGAATCAGAATGCTGGCCGAAGGAGTGCGTGTTGAGTCAGTCGTGCTGAAGGAAGACCACTCGCCATTGCCGCGTTGCTTTTCGAGCAGGAAATCAAAACATTCAGTGAAAAGCCAACTGGGGCCTTTCCCGCCCTTCTTGATGATCATTGATACCCATGCTGTGTCGTAGATCGAGTATGCCATGGAGGAAAATCCATGATCTGTTTCCACAGCAGTGGCTATCCGATGAACAAGCTTCTTAGCACGCCGTGTAAGGTCTTGAGTCGTGGACATGGAGACGGCCATAGTGCTGGCAGGTTATCGATTTTGCCGTTTAAATTGGAAATATATTGAGAGATGAAGAATCAAGTATAGAGTTCCAAAAAATGCCGTAGAGGGCAATATGAGCCGCGTAATGAGTTCAACCCTCTGGGATTCCTTCGGGTATAGTTAAAATGACCTTTTTATAATTTCACTGGTATGCCACGATGATGCGATACCAGTAATATCCAAAATAGCGGTCAAAGGGCTCAGCTACGCGGTCATCTCCCTGCGTCCTGGATACTTGGAATTCCTCCACTCGCATGTGATGCGTTCTCCAAGCTAATCGAAGGACCCGCTCACTTTTTCAGACACGTAACATGCTTCTCGTTGATCGCCATGTCCCACAATCGTACAGTTACATTCACCGTAGAGGATAATGCACTTGACCTGATCTGAGTGGCAAAATGCATTTCGGGCCTCAAGCGTGCATCAAACCTCCATAAGGACACCATGGCTCGTTTGATTATGATAATCAGGAAACTTTTGCCGTATTTTCGAATCCTCTTGTGGTTTCCTTTTGATATGATTCTCGAGCTAGATACAGTAAAGTGATGACTGCTTTGGATAATTTTGGTCGCCGAAATCATAAACCTGACGGACGTGAAAATAGATTTGACGTACGTAGTCTCGGTTTAAAGTGGCTGGAAGCCGTTAGTGCACATTGCTGATTAAATACTGTACTCGAATCTTCCTTTATCGGCAACATTGACGAAAAAAGAGGGGTTCATTGATAATATCTTTAACACGAAGAGGATGTCCTATTTCTGACTTTGACATTGAGTGGCGTCCGACTGACGCTGGAAAGGTAACAGTCCCATTGCATAGTTGAAGCTTCTGGATCAGCCAGTTCTAGTTCAAACTCAGAGAAGATGTATGCAAGACAGCCGTACAGTTGAGCTATTGCCAGCCTGAAGATGGTAGTAAATATCCTATTATATATCAAATTGGGAGGGGATAGAAAGTCCTTACTTTTGCCCAATGCAATAATGCCTTCCTTTCCCAAAGGGAATGACCCATTTATTCAATGTCCGTCCTGACTCCCCCAGCCATCTTTCTGGTTTGAATACACCCGGTTCAGGGAATATGCCTGCATCCATGTTGATACTTTCGTGGACGATCGAGAATGAAGTCTATTTTCGGTTAGGAAGTTAGAGCAGATACAGTATGTAAGTTTCTCACTCCTCCTGGAATAAACTGGCCAGCTGCCACAACTCCTCCCTTTGGAATGACTCTGGCGAAAAATCCAGGTATAGCAGGTGTGAATCGCATTGTTTCGTTGATAATCGCATTCTATCTCGTTTAGTTATATGAGAGCCTGGCATACTTAGTGGGTGATACCACTCACCAGGTACTCCATACTTTACATCGCCTTGAAATCCCAGCTCTTTATATGCACCTCCGAATCCTTCAGTTCTCTTTTCAATCTTGCTAGAACTGGTGGATGAGTGATAATATGGAACGCTGCACCGTGCAACGTATAGGAGAGGCTAGTGGTCCCGGCAAAATAGAAAAAAAATGGCGTTATTTATGATATAGTCATCATCGACGGGCTTCCAGAGCCTCTCCGGTGGGCAATCAAGAATTGCATCGCACAGTGTTTGCTGGCCGCGATGCGAGACAAAATGGCCTTCACTTCGTCGTTTGCGAATGGATTGAAGGTGTCTCTCGCAATCCTGGCACAGTCAATCAATAACAGCTATTTTTTAGATTTAGAAGCACATTGAAGCTTACATTCCTTAAATCCGAATACTCGGGGGCAAGTATCTTCATAAAGCGAGGAGAAACTATATCGACATATTTTCCAAGAAGCGGAAAATATTGAACTAATTAGTGGTGGCTGTTAGCTTAGATGTGGACCTGAGCTCCGAGGAAGGAATACCATACAGAATATTGCGTTCATATTGAACGTATGGAATAGATCGGCTGTGGCTTTGATGACCTTCCTGTCTGTGTTTAGACTTTTAGATACACCGAAACTTACTTCTGAAGTTATGTTTGCCTGGCTGTTTGTCAGCTTTCGTCTGTAATCCTGATAGGGACGAGATCGGAGAAGAAACTTGAGATAATTAACCGCCAAGAAGATAAAATAATCCTGTAATTCGATTGTTTCTTTCGATTGCACATATCTGTGAAGAATTTCACCAAGCTCCTCAAGCCTGGTAGCTATAATGGGCAGAGCCAAGTTTTGCCCTACTTGAAGGGCTCGGGGCATGATCTGCGCAGGCAGCAAGTTGGCGGTCTACGTTTTTCTTACCGATGCTTGCAGGTCCTGGAAGGCGTTCGGCTCATTGATGAAGAGAACACAGGGCTCTACATTTTGACCACGTAATTAATCGTCTAGAATGACTGCGGTAGGTGCAGCAAGCGGACCCAGCGCCACGGTTTACGGCAAACTGCAGTGGAAATGCACAAGTGCACAGAATATCCTGGCACGTATTATTGACTGCATATAACTTGCTGAACATTGACGCCTCCTATCTCTACCTGCATGTTAATTCTAGCCGATTGAGACCGGAACACCTAGGCATGTGCGCCGACCCTAAGGCAGATTTATTACTGACCTATTTTAGAGCACCTGGAAGGGAAATGTATATTATGGGCTTGAGTTACAGGTCCGGTATTTATGCATAGGCCTAGTCCTAATGCGGCAGTGTTCGTAGCAGTGTGACAGGACGATAAAGGAGCTCTAAAGTCTTATTCCCGTATTGGGCCTAGTCAGGATCTAAGGCCCTCAATCAGTAGTCTTATTACCGAGCCTCGATAGAGAAACGCTCCAAGATACATCTTGGGGTGAACTTCAAAATTCGGGGTATTTTCCGTCGCTGAGATTCCGAATTAGTTCAAAGCAAGTAAACAAAAGAGACGTACAAGATGTGGAGAACTCACATGACTGCTCTTTAATGACTCCATTAGTTGTTGCAGAAGGATATCCAAGACCCGCCATCAGTGGATCACCATCCATCTTAGCCGTTTTAAGACCCACACTGGTCTTAGCAAAGGCTTTCAACAAGTCACAGTATTTCAGGTAATTTCGGAGCCCGAATTTTTTTTTTTTTTTTTCCTGAGATAGAGGAACTAACATCCAGAAATTATTGCGTGAGTATAAAATTGGTACTCGAGTTTTCCTACGGCCAAGTGCTTTTCCATAAACCTGAATATCATATATTGAAATGGGGATGGCTCGATTGCAGTCCGATATAGCAGACGGGTCAATATCAATGGAGAGAAGACAACCAACCACTCCCATGCCCACCGTAGACGTGGAGAGTAGTCTCAGGAAGCGACTGAGGTACTGATCTTGAAGCTATATCATGAATGAAGAATCTGGTGGAAAAACTGTGTTCATATTGATGATGGATGGATGCCCTTCCTAGAAGGAGAAGACTGCATGCAAGCTTCCTAGGGCATTTGCGACACCTTGGCCAATAATACGCTACAGTCACGGGTTCCACCACTACAATATGTATTATTTTAAGAGCAAGTACCTTAGTTAACGATTTATCACCTTTAGTCTGCTATTGTTGACAGCCTCGGATAGCAATATATATATAGAAATTCTCGTATCTCTATGCCATCAGCTTTCGCTGCGTATACGGACACGTATTAATTGCCTCGAGAAGCAATTTTTCTTAAGATCTTGTGACACGCCGATCAATCATCACAAAACGATCTCGGGTCGGCACCAGCAGCAGGTTTTCTCGTGTCTGAAGACAAGATATTGAGATCGAGACCGCTATATGATGTGGCTAATTTTCACCGGCGATCGATTTCGGCCGGCGCCTACTGATCTGCATATGTGCCTGTTGATGTGAAACTCTATATGTAAAAGCCAAGCCTCATGGTAAATGGAAAGTAGCCCACCTGGCCGGTGAAATTCCCATGAACAGAACTTTATCTGTTACAGCTTGTCTATTTGACCGCATTTCGTAAGAATCTACTTAGGTGCTGCCGTGTATATATTGCTCTCTCACCGTGAAGACTGTCAATTAAGTACAGGAAACGCCACGACACGTAGGATTAATGTAAGGGGATTTTAACTCTTCCACATCCTCCAAATGATAGTGGCGGTGACGGGATGGAAGTGTTGTCCTCCGACCCTGAAACGGGCTAACTTTTCATTCCTTAGCTTATATAAATTGAGGTTAGGGCTTGAATGTAAAGTACACTTCACTTAACAGCTTCCCCAGCCCTATTTTTTGGACAGAAAACGAATACTTCAGTCATGGGTAAACCTCACGAGTCACTCAGAGAGTCCCTTCAAGGTCAAATAGTCACCATTCCAAACATATATTCTTTGCTCCCGGAATGGAATCCCCGAATGCATGATGAATATCAAAGATCTAGGGATGAAGTTCTTAATCCTTGGATTGAAAGGTGTGTTACGCTTTGATGCTCCATATCTTTATCTTAGTAACGACGTCTCAAGGTGACTGATGCTATATTTAGGTGGGTGGATGACAAGCGCACGGCTCAAAAGCTTAAGGCAGCGGATTTTGGTGTGTTTGCCGCTGTTTGGTGTGCAAGCGCATCATACGACGTACTTTGCACAGCCGCTAAGTTTTTTGCTTGGGTTAGTGCACCTCGAACATATTTGAAATAGTTCATATCTGATGACTCAAACTTTTTTACCTCATAAGTACTTCGTGTATGACGACAGTATGTTCTCTTTACTGACTATCAAGAATATGTTTTGTTACAACCTCACTAACTGTGCTGTCTGATAAATAGTCTTTGACTGTGGTACCCTGAAATATGACACACAGGTCCTTGGGGCCTATAGAAAAGCCAGTATTCAATACTTCAAGTTCATTCTTGTTGACGAAGGAGATGTCCCAAATCTTTCGGCTTTTGGCACGGAGCTAGAGAAAAGCTTACGTTGCTGGGACGAGGTCGGCCATCACATCAAAGAAGTTTGTTCGAAGGGTCGGTAAATGATTTGAAAATTCAACTTATTGCATGGATCACTTCTCTAAAGTCTATATAGAGACTCGCGAAATCCTATGCGACGAAATGCTGCGATATGTTGAAAGTCTTGACAACATGAACAGTATCTTTAGTGAGCGCGTGCCCTCCCTGAAGTGAGTATTCTTCGCATACAAGTTGCCTTGAATAAATGAGAAACTGAATCCTCTAATATCGTGCAACAGCCAATACTGGGAACGACGCGAGGCCACGGCGGGGGTGTATTCTGTGATCGCTACCATTCCGTATGGATCCCTCATTCCTCTAGTCTAAATGGGAGCAGACCGGCTCACCTGTCAAGGTTCATTTATGGGGTAGACGTTACCAGAGAGGATGTTCAGGTGCAATGCATGAAGGACCTATGGAAACATACTTCTTACTTTGTTCATATGTGAGTCCCTATCATTATGTCGTAGTAACCCCACCTGTGGAGACTTATTGACCTGACTTTCAGAACCAATGACATGTTTTCAATGCGCAAAGAAATTGTAGGGTTTCCTCACTCCTCTAGTGGAGCCAAGACTGAAAGATTACAGCATGATGGTCAAATCGAAAACCTGATTCCTGTTTTGATGCTGAATCGCGATATTGACTGCAACATGGCCATGCAACAAAGTTATGCCTTGGCACTTAATGAAGCGATGGGTTTACGCAACTTTGATTTAAACGCCTGCAAAAATTCACACAAGATACCAAAGAGTGTCTCACAGGCATTCATTCGCGGTTGTCAAGATGTTGCAATGGGCCTTGCCCATTGGAGGTACGCTTTTTGGCCCCTACATTTGATAATGTATATTAAACAATAATTGCAGCTACTGTGGCCATCGCTATGTGGAGCCCTGGGAGCGCGATGCCAACGGCGCTATAACATTTACGATTGCCGTTCCAAAGCCCCTGTCAAAAGCCGTCGGCTTTGCCAAAGGACTCAAGTCTTTGGGAATCCATCTTAGGCTGCTACGACTTCCTATACAGAATATAGCCTTGAGTTTGGTTCCGTTCAGTCCATTGATCATGTTGATGGCTATTTCGACTATCTCAGCCTTGGGATCGCGTTCTGGAAATTCGTTATATCCATTGCCTCCAAACTGGGCGGGTCAATTGAGGTAACTCGCATGATAACTTGCCATGTTTGATACATCGAGAAATTTTGAGTGGGTTGATGCAATATTTTTGAGGTTATCCTAGTTATGCTACGCTCAAATTTCTACCTGATTGTTGCTTTGCATATCTCTAGGTTGTTCTATCGAAAATAACAACGTTGTGTTTTCGCTCCATGCAGTGGGTGGATGGACGGATGGAGGATTTCATTTGCCCTGAAATGAAGGAACGGAGTGAAAAGGTTTACAACCCTGCCCGACCTGCCCGCTAGCTTTGGCTGCCTCCCCGGCTCTTCTCTTATTCGCCGTTCGTCATTTTGGGCTCTCTTCTGATTGCTGGCCGGAAGCTTTTCTTTTCCCTCCTCCTTAGGCTTAGTGGTTTCAATTTCATTTTCGTCCGTCTGTTGCTTTTTCTCAATGTCTAGGCATCCCGGTTTTTGCACTTGCGTTGCTGACCGACGGATGCCTTCCACCGTCCTCGTTTTCTATAATTTCCGTCCTTCTTCAGTTCTATACACTTTATTGTTATAGAACATGTCTACATCATGCTGTTTGCTCCTCGATGTTTCGCTCCATCCATACGGTATCAACCTTTATCTCTTTTGGTGAATGTATGAGTTGGTGTTGCTGACTTGTTCCGAGTCGTCTCTAATTCCGAGAATGGCAAGTATAAATCGGAAGCAAACCGCACTGGCTTTTGCGAGTCAACCAGCTGGATCTGCCATCCTTCGATCCAAAGACAAATATACATAAAGTGCCTACTCGTGTGTCTGTGCAGTGACTAGGGACCCTATTTAGTATCAAAGCCCGAGCTTTAGCTACCCATGGCATGGAGATTGTCAGAGTCGACATGGATTCGCCATACACCCTGGTGAAACTGATTTCGAGCGCCTACCTTCAGTAATCCGACCCCGCCCCCCCCACCTCCCCCCAAAATAAATTTTCGTCTGCAATAACAATTCGAGAATGTCGACTGGAAGACAGCTTTCTGGTGGCAATTTCACTGCCACACGTCACTCCACATCCTACGACTACATTTCCCCATTAAAGCTGGATCTAGCCGGGAAACACGTTCTGATCACAGGAGCTGCTTGGGAGAATGGAGTCGGATATGCTACCGCCATAGCTTTTGCACGGGCAGGGGCGTCTGCAATAGCAGTGGCCGACCTACACGGCGTGTCAAGCAATCTCGTTGTGAAGTTGAAGTTGGCCGCAGCGCAAGCCGGTCGCCTAGAGCCCAAGGTGCTTAGCTGCACGGTTGACATTGCAAGGCAGGACAGCGTCCACGCAATGCATAACATCGTGTCACAGGACTTTGGCGAACGTCTGGATATTGTCGTGAACAACGCGGCTCACATGGAACCATACAAGCCAATCCTCGATTCAGACCCAGGTGTGTACTGGCGAACATGGGAAGTCAACGTTCAGGGTCTCTTTAATATGGCTCGCACGTTTCTCCCTATGCAACTCTCAACCCGTGCTAAGTCCGACGGTTTATGCACAATGATCAATGTGTCCTCCTCAGGTGCATTGAGCGCTCGACCTGTTAGCGGAAGTTATCGAAGTTCGAAGTTTGCGATACTGAGGTGGACTGAGTCTTTACAATTAGAATACGGCGACGAAGGGCTTCTGACATTTTGTGTCAATCCTGGAGCGATAAAGACGAAGATTACTGAGGGTGCGCCGGAAAAGGTTCGGGATGCGTTGCCCGATCGTCCGGACATAGCTGGCGATACAATTGCATGGTTGGCTGCTGAGCGCAGGGAATGGCTAGGTGGAAGATACGTGAGCTGTCCATGGGATATGGAGGAACTCATAGCAAAGAAAGACGAGATCATCGATCAGGATAAGCTTAAGATGAGGATGGTGTTTTGAGTCCACTGCTTATTGCTTCTATCTTTCCGTTGCCAGGTGTGCCCATCGGAAGCCACAGTTTCCAGTTGTTACAATACAGCGCCTGGCTTTAATTATAATACGACATGTACTTGTTGTAACTGCAGTACATATAAGTTGTGGTATTCAATTGCATTAACATGCTCTTAGGGGATGTCAGGCACAATCTAGCGTAAATTTGTCCGAAACCCCCGGAATAACCCCTTCTGATGTTTTAAGAATCATGTTGTGTCACCAGCCGCACTCTCATATCACAACATTTCCAATTAGGATCGCTTTGCTTGACATGGCGATACTGTATCCGTGCACAGCAGTTAAGCCTCGGTAAGACCACTGTAAAACCCCATGAGCAAAGGAAGTGCAGAGAGCGCCAGCGCCACCAGGAGCGGATTGGTAACAACTGCTCCAAAAGGCACAATGATACGACGTCCTTCTTGGTAGTGGGATACCAGATCGTATGAATACTGCAGGGTGCCAATAATATCATGACATACTAAAAGCATAATTAATGTCACTATATGGACTCATAGGTGGTGGGAGAGTCTATGACGCGTTGTTCACTTTGTGGCGTAGACTTCTTGTCCCCTTTCGATGAGCGATTAGGCCTGAAAGGACCAGGTCCGATAGGCAGAATATTAATACTTAGCCAATTAGGTTGGTCCGCGTGCTCTCCACATTACTTCCACGTGGTCAGGGGGTATGTACTGCAGATGTGGTTCCTCCCCAGTTATTATTTCTAAAAACGAGAGAATGTCTAGTATCGTCTTACCTGCGCTATGCCTCTCACAGTTACGCCATGATATCCAACCCGTATGTTGCGTGCCTCTCTGCACCCCAAGTTGTCTGAATTTGAGAAACACCCACTGATTGAATCAAATAACAGCAGCCAGGCTACCGCCATCAGCGCCATTGTTTTCATATCTATCGCGCTGTATAACTCATTGGAGTTGCTTATTCTCATTCTACTGAGCTTTAAGCGCTACAGAAGCCTTTATTTTTGGGCGCTTTTAACCTCCAACGTCCTCGGGGTGATACCGACCAGCATAGGGACCTTGTTGCAATTTTTCAACCTTGCTCCCATATCGTTGACCTTTACCCTTGCAATTATCGGATTCTACTTTATGGTCCCGGGTCAGTCTGTCGTCCTATACTCCCGACTACACCTGGTATCACAAAACTACAAATTGCTTCGCTTCATACGGTATCTGATTATAATTGACACAATCATCCTTCTTATCCTAACAACCATTCTAAATGCTGGTTGGGCTTTTATTAAGACGCCAGCATGGATACAGGGGTATAATGTCATAGAAAAGGTGCAATTGTCCTGGTTTTGTGCGCAAGAGACATTCATATCTACGATCTATATAAGGGAAACTGCGAAATTGATCCGGACAAGCCCAGAGGGAGACAAACGACGAATCAAGATATTGTATGAGCTAGTCGCCATAAACCTCGCCGCGATTATCATGGATATATCGCTACTTATCTTGGAATACGTTGGTCTCTACTTCACTCAAGTTATTTTGAAGGCTATGGTTTACAGTATCAAACTCAAGCTAGAGTTTGCTGTTTTGGGTATGCTAATCTCAATTGCTTCGCGTTCAGGTGATTCGGAACCGACATGCGGTCTCGAGACGGAAGGGACCACATTGAACGTTTCTCATGTCGTCTATTAAGTGAATACTAATATACTGTTGGATTATGTATGGAGACACCTAAGGCTACCTAGAGAGCAAATCCTCCATATAGTAACGGTCTTTGGCAAACATCTAGGAGAGATGTTGATTGCCATGACCCCCGAGCATGCATTAGAATTGCTCTGGAGGAGAGGAAAGGAAGTCACCAGCTCGGATGACTTTACCCAGTCGTATGGCCTTGAAGGTCTTCCAAGTTTCATGCCTCGTTCAAACACTGCTTCAAATCTATATGTTAACAATGACGTTCATATAGATGCTATAGAGTTCTAAACTAATACTGGGGCATCAAGATTCATTCCAAATTGTCATATTAGAGCTCGGCATTATCTACCATTTCCCATTGGTCTAGCAGTTGTTGGCAAGGCTTTCGCATAGGCCACGAATGCAACTCCATAGTTTGGTGTATAATCCCAAGCAATGCGTCCCTGTCCTCGGGTCGGGTGAAGTACCCACCATAAAGCGTGATAGAAATAACAGCATTCACCATTGCAGGCTGGCACCGCGGATGATGTAACGCGATTCCACAAATGCTTAGCACGATGGATCGGACTTGCGCCTCGGCTTTGCGATGAACGGCCCCTCTAGCATTTCTAGATATGTATATTTGGTTAGAGATAATATTTCACATTTGATGGAGGTTATGCTTACTCGAGATGGGGACTTTCCGCAATAAGGATCATCTCACTCAATTTCAAGTGTTGGATTGCCGTCACCTGGGAATCGTAACAATACCAAATCGTAGGGAATATTTCACCCTTAGCTCCATCTGGCTTTTGCTCAAGGAGTGGTTCCAATTCAGATCGGAACTCTTGACTCAGATGTTGATGTTGCATCTTTAACGGCTCTGATTAAAATGTTAGCCAAGTTAGTTCACATGGCTCCCACTTGTCCCGGGGGCTACTTACCCCATTCTTCAGCTTTCTTCATTCCCCAGCGCCATCGTGCTACCTGACTGGCGAACACTATCATGGTGTTGGCAACCGAAGTAGTTTGCCAGTGTTCAGCCCCGAGCCGGAATTGCGGGCATCGCTGTCTGGTGAACGCATAGTATACTTCCTGTCGAATCGCAATCCAGTGTGCCGCAGCGGCAAGGGAATGGTGGATCGGTGTCGAAATCATTGTGTCAATGATGGTTTGAGTGATAGCCAAAAAGTTGACTCGATCGTTGGCATGGGACTTCTCATCACTTTCCTCGGTTTCCTCTTCCATCTCTTCATACTGACGCAGTATTACAGTGGCGGCCATTATGTTCTCCTGGTGTCGCGGATCTTGGATTTCTGGGAATTGAATCAGTTCCGGGATACATTTCAGCATGTATTCAAGTGAAGTAGTGTGTTTCAAATTGGGAAGAGCCTGCCCACGATACACGATGCCACGAGGAGTCATATACTGAGGCAAACGAGAGAGATGACGGGAGGATACTGCAAAGACAGCATTTTTCAGAGCTAGGCACTGCGCAGCCCGACGAGGAACTACCAGTTGAAATTGTCTACGGTCATCGCAGTGGTCAAACTAGAAGATGTTATCTTCAATCGCATCCAGGGTTCAAGAAGGGAGGGTCCAACATACCCAAGGAGACAGCTCCTCGATGAAGTAGCGGAGCAAGCAAGACTCTTGAACATCGGCTGCCACATGCCCAAGGTTTCCATTGGAAGAAGGGGATTGACGGCAGAACTCAGAAAGGTCTCTGTGGATTGTTATATGAGTTCTGTTACGGGCATCTTGATCGTCCAGATGAAATCTTGAGTTTGGTGAAAATTGCGTGTTGAAAAATCCATCGCGGCTCTGCAATATTGTCGGGGAGTTTGAGACGTTGGCTGAGGAGTGGGGAGAGACACCTGTCAGTTGAGTGTCCTCTTTCCCGGATCGAAATTCTCCGGAGGCTTCAATTTGCGCATAGTTTTCAGGCCTGCCGTAGTCAAAGTTTTGATGATTCGGAGAATGGATATCGTGTCTATCACTGGAAGTCTGGCCCAGGCCAGGCAGTGGTGCCTCGGGCTGTGGCGATGACCCTGAGACTGCCGTACTAGGTCGACGTTTAGACAGTGTAGATGAACGAGCTGACGATCTCCAGTTTTTAGGCCTGCTATTCACCCATGTCTGGTCTTGTTTGAAACTAGCATCCAGGTTTGCCGTGGAGCCATGCCGAAAGACAGGTTGGCGTCGCGCCGGTCTGCAATCAAGGCCTTTGGCCTCACATCGCCTGCAAATTGGCTTCCTCCTGTCGCCTATTAAAGTCAGTGATGTTCAGCACGGTGGAATACGCCCGGCGGGGGTTCATTGATGGATTTTTCGCGTTGTAGGATCGACGTACACTTTTGATGCCTCTCTAATGAGAGAATTAGCTAAGATTGCGGAGGTCAACGGAGGTGCACTTACCGCGACAACTCGAACAAGGTACACCTGACGTGGCAGTTGACATATTTCATGCAGAGAACAGACGTTGTGAAGTTGAAGAGACACGGCGGCTCCTACCAGAAAGGGGTTACCCCGCATCCCCACGAATTGCCACATCGGGAAGAAATGCGAGAGTCCATCTTGACTTCAACGCGATACTGAGCAAATGGCCATTGAATATGCGAGAACCCTCGATATTTTGAGAGAATTAAGTTGATGTTCTCACATTAACTGTCAAATAACATAACATATATTTTGACAATTGCCTCGACAAACTCGTTGGCTTCCAGGGCAAATGCATCCTCGAATCTCTGCCAGTACTCGGGCTGCTTATACCAAATGATAAAATGCTTACCATTCTCCCGAGACCAACAACGGCGATGTTGAGTGGTTCCATTGTAAAGAGGTTGTGATGATAAAATAAATCAATGGTAAACTCCGAAGATTTCGTGTGTGAAGATAAGAGTATGTACATAGTCCACCGCGAGTCCATCGCGAGTCCATCGCCTACTCTTACCTAATCAGGTAATATCTCAGCGAGACCCTTCAATCGACTTGGGACTTGGAGATCAACATCACGACTCTCATATTCCTGCATGAGACCTTTTAGGAAGATAATTGGCTATGGGGCGACAAAAGTTAGGAAGTCTAGCGACATGTCGCTGAAAAAGCTGGCCCCCAGAACGCGCTCTGGATGAATGTTTTCGGTAATATTGCAGTAAGCTTGGAAGTCTCCTGCCCCATTCAACTTTTTGCGGATAATCGAAGCATATTCAGATAGGGGACAGCTGCTTCCGGGTCCACTGCGGCAGCTCGCGATGGGGTAAACGGCATCGTTGAAGAGGATTCGAATGTATGTCTCATTGGAGGAGCTTTTGGATTCTGGCTCACAATCCATGACTTCAAAGGCAACCGTTCCACGCATAGTAATAAAATTCGCCACATTGTAAAGATGATTAGCTGGTATATGGTCATCAGGAAGCAGTCCCTCCGAGTCAAAGATTCCCATGGCAGCGGTCATTTCAGCAATTTGATTATCATTCAGGAAGGCCATGATAAGATTTGGGACCTTGAAATTGGTGCCATCTCTACCGATACCTATTTGCCCTGGGCCCTTTTCAAGTAGTGAAATCAGGCTTTCGAGGAAGGGAAGAAAGAGGACTTTGGCTGGTCCGATTGAGCCGGGCCCGACGCTGTAGAAATAGTTCAAGTCCTGAGAGTAGGCATATTTACGAAGCTCATTCTCCGTAAACACACCACACCAAGGACTCAGTTGCCCTGTGATTTGGCTCTCGTATGCGCACATATAGGGGAAGAAGAGGACTTCCGTTTCATCAAAAGTGAGGTTTCCGCTTAATTGCGAATTGATACGCCTGACAGTCTTTGGGACCCAGGTAGCGTCCCCTGTAAAACGTAAGCTGCTGTTCCCGAAGTTTTGTCGTAAGTAGAGCAGCCTAAGGCATCCTTTCCTAATACTCGAAAAAAAAAGAAGGATGGAAGGCTCAGATCACTGACAATTTGTTACATTGTTTCCTCCGCTGATCGTGGAACCAAATGCAGGACATGAGTCTGAAGGGCCAAGCGAGTTTCCAATCGCACTATTGGAGCCTGTGGAATTCACGCTCACAACAGTCCCATATGTGTCGGCATACTCGTAGAGGTATCCCCGGATGAAGGCTCTCGCAGTTTGAATAACCCGCGAGCTGTTGATCGGAGACTTGTATTGGTTTGCCCAAACATAGAATGGACTGCCGTCTTGATAAAAGTGCGGATCTATTACAGGTCAGTACACCAATAACTCCAGACGGATTGATGCAGATAGAGCTAACACTTGGCCCGTAGTTGATAGCCGAGATCGCTTGCCTAGTACTTGACGTTAACAACCGCATCTATGATCAAGCGCAAATATCGCATCATACCTCTTTCCAGCCTGTCATTGACTCCTGTGCTAGCTGTAGGCTAGGATTGGTCAGTACCGGCTTCCATTCGGATATGAACTCCAATGAGCCGCGTGCTTTGAACTGGGTCTGATTCATCGCAAGTTGAATCTAGTTTCATGATAAGATCAAGTCTTTCCAGTGATTACCAAACCGCTCCACCAACCTTGTCATGAATTGCAACCCAGGCGTTATATGAGCCAGTGTCGGGATATCTGAAGATAACCTTGGTTAGACCGAATCAATTGATCAATAGTAAGCTACTCGCCTACTGCCATGCCGGACGATGTAAGCAGCTTGTCGGACAGAGCACCGATCTGGTACCTCATTCTTGATGCCATGAACGTTAGGTCCTAAATCAAATCAACAACTTGTAATTGATCCAAATTTAAGGCATCCTGACCAGCAAAGTAAGGGCTATTTCCCCCTGCGTATTGTAGAGGATTGTTGGATGTCTCGCTTGACGGGAACAAGATGTCGTTGGCCGGAGCTAAGAGTTCCGATCGGACTATTGTTATAAGGCCAACGAGGAGCAAAAAGAATGGAGTCTTCATGATGGTCTTAATTCTCACATTTATATTCAACTGTGACGTGATACAACAACATTTATAGTTCCGAGTGTTTGAACGTCCTTACTTGAGACACGCTTTCATGGCACCGCTCAATATTAACTAGTCTTGGCTGTCACCAATTAGCCTAATACGTGCAGGCCTATCGTAGGTCCACGTGGTGGTGTTGAAGCCACTTGTGTGCATAAGCGAGATTATCATCATATTTTGTTCTTCCTTTATCAGCCTTTAATCAATTTAGAGTCCGAATGATGTGAGGAGCAACTTGCGCCACGGACCGTCATTGGTTCATGACCGTGATATACACCCTATCAGGGGCTTTGTTTGCAACACAATGTTGAGCTAATCGAACATCGGAGTATTGCCTAAGTAGGATAGATAACCCTTGCGAGGGAGGTCCGCTGTATAAATGATTTCTTGTCAATAATTGGTCATTTGGCCACGGTGAAAACATCCATGTTAGGACATGGTCATAGGTGTCCTAGTAAGCGAGAGCGATAATTGAGGGAGCAAGTAGGATTCTTCAGAGATATGGTCATTTACATGTCTCATCAGCGACCGACAATATGAGTCTGGGAGGCGACTGGTAAAGGTCTCTAAGAACCGTCGAACTTGAACGCTTGGACCACCTGGAGAATCTAGTTTGACTACATGCGCAAGTACAATTAGATGTACAAGAATGAATAATTTCATAAAGCATGTCTTTTGTGAGCTATGCATATGTTCATAAAGAAAACAGACAGTGTAACTGGCTTCACATAGTGGCGTCTATCGTGGTGGAAGACTGCGTCAAACCAAAGGCGTATTAGCGTCACTGGTTTGCGGTCGCGATGTTTGCTCCCCTGTAGACATCCGATCCGCTGTGAGTTGCGAGGCCACTGAAGGAGTGTGGCTGTGATAATTGGACACCGAAGGTACACTCCGTGTTGATGGGAAGTAACTTGTCTGTGGCTTATTGGTGAACATCATCGAGGACCGAACACTGTTGACTTCAGGAGTGGATATCCCTTTAGAGGCTGCAGGGGGGATTGCTGAGTATGAAGCGTTGGATTCCAACAGCTCTCGCGCTGCGATGCGTCGCGCCTTCGCCCTATCACGAGCACAGTGAACGATGCTGATGCCCAAAAATAGCGAGATGAGACAACAGCCGAATACGATTGCTGTAATGTTTCCCCTGTGATTCCACGCTTTCACCGCGGCACTGGTGGTGCTAGTTGCAGTTGCAGTGCTAGTTGTTGTTGTAGATGTGCTGGTCGTCGAGCTGCTAGATGTCCAGGTGCTCGAAGTAGTCGAACTCGTAGAAGAGGTGATTGATGAAGTGGTAGTTGAGGATGTAGTTGTTGAAGAGGACGTAGAAGTGGATGTTGACTCGCTTGTGGTGGTGGTAGTTGTGTCTGACGTGCTTGTGGTCGACGTTGTACTCTCCGTGGTGGATGTAGATGAGTCGGTCGTTTCGGTAGTGGCTCTGGCCAAGAGAATTTCACCATATTCGCGTTTCTCATGAAGTCTGGCGGTCTCGCCTGCCTCTGGCATCGGCGTTGGGTTCAGAGTGGTTGTAGTTTTAGCCGGAATCCATTCTGTGTTTGCGGCGGCATGAGGGTGGCCGAGTACCTGGGCGCACTGTACCGCTAATAAGGCGACTACTAAGCCGCGCATGACTGCTCGACTAAGGTGGTAAATGATGCAGAGCAGTGAAAAGCCTTGATGCAATTTGTACGGGGGTCAACATGCTTTAAGACTTATCCACCACACGCTACTTCGGACGTCGGGATACGTATACCCTCCACCCTTTAACAGGTTTGGCCCGTTTTTCAGGTCTATGATTGCGTTTGATGGCCATGCCGCGCCACATCGACTCATGGTTTAGTGGCATATTTTTGCACAAGCGTAGTGGAATCAGCCACTTTAGAGGCGGTGGAGTTCGAACTTGAAGGGCACACGCATATGCCGCGTGGCACAGTCCCCACAAGGCTGATATGAATCTTCGCTTTCACAACTTCTAGAGGCATTCAACTTGACCTTTAATGTCGAATTATATTAAAGCGCTTTGTGCAGCAATTCCGTATCACTGTCACTGGCAAAGATAGAAGCCTGTGAGTCAATTAGGATCGAAAAGTTCTTTTCCCGCTAACAAGCACTATTAACCACTGCCAAGCACTAACTAGCCCAGATGCAGAAATTCTGCTAAAGTCATAACCGGTGTCCTGGTTCTATTTATATTTCTACTTCAACGCGGTATCTTAGAGGCTGAGAATAAGGATTCTGTGGCTCTAGGGATAAAAATATCAAGATCAGACCAAATAATTAAACAAAGCCATATTTTTTAAAAATTAATAATAATAGTAATAATAATAATCGAGGGTTTAGGCATTCGTACGATCGGGCAACAACAGCTGATCTGTTCCCCACACATATCAATATAGCAGGGAAGCTATGCTGGCGTTATCTAATATACTGTATTTATTACGGGGCGTTTTCAAGGTTCAATGACGCCTTTACTCTCGCTTCTAGCATCAACAGTAGCGCAGGATGTGCATGGGATCCAAATCTTTGTGCCCAGCGATATTTGAGTGAGTGAGGGCTTACTGAGTGCTTCATGCTTGTCGATTAGCGCAGTCTAGGAATGTAGCAACGCCACAAATAGTCATCTGGACAGAGATAACCTATCACACAAGTATCTTTTCTGGCCTGATGATCTACGTGCTTTTTTTATTACTTGATTTTATCATATAATTACCTTTGCTTTTACGCTGCTCATGATCGCTGACTGTTAGCAGCAAGTAGCACCAAACGGCCTAGAGTTACTTCACACATAGCAGTTTAGCGGATACGCTAGCTCAATGTCTCATCACGACGAAGCAAGATAATGTCGCTTTGAAGTCAGCATAATGACACGGTGATATTTTCTTGAATAGAAAATCACACCCAGACTGTCACTAGTCAACACTCGGGGGGAAGGCTCGCACGCTCTGACTCCTTCTACCGAATGAATTACCCGGTGTCAAAGAGGAAAGGTTATTCGGATGTCACTATTATGTGCCTCTTTCGGGGACAGCTTCTGCTCATCCTGCTCGACAGGCAGCATCGTAAAGGTATACTCAGTTTGAAATAGCAGCAAACATCTTGATTTAAAGTGAGTCCCCCCCCTTTTTTTTTTTTTTATGTTGCACATATAGGAAGCGAGACCGCGAGGTAATGAGAAATGCTAAGATGAAAGTCAATCATTTCAAACAAAGTGACGGGGAATAAGTGAAGCCACGTTCACAATTCCATGGTATTCAACAATCTATATTGCCAGGGCTACAGAAGCATTCGACTTCGATAATTATTCCTTGTTCATCCAAATCACCGCCAACGGTAGGAATTATAGCTCGTGGGTTACATTCGGGAGGTTAGTTGATTTCCTGGTGATTAGATAACTTTGGGGTGTTACTGGTCTACATCCTATGATTGTAGTACAATTACCCTCATTGGATACCCTTTAGGGCTCTACGCACATGACATCAAGTAGAAAAGTGCTAAGGCAGCATTCTCACTGGGTAAATAATCGGATGGGGTTTCATCAACAACTTCCCTGGCAGGGAAGAGAGCGCGTGTCCCTCAGATTTGGCGTCCGAATGACCGATAATTAAAGCATCTGACACAGCCTACAGGGCGAGGGTTTGTTGTTCCTGTACATTCGGCAGATAACTCCCAGATATGCCAATCACCCATTCTTAGAAATACTCAAGGATCACCACTGATATAGTTTCACAGATTCAATGACCTCAATCTCAATCACTAGAATCGATTCGTGTGCAGATTCTTGTAGCGACCACACACTCATTGGAAGAAGGCCAGCCGTGAGCTATTATACGGTCCCAATACCAGCAAAGTCAAAGCTAAGAAGCTTTGAACGTGAGCGCTAAAATTGAGCTTCTCTTGTCAATGGAGGGATGTGTTGAAGGATTTTAGGCTGACCCATGCATAGATACATCCATTTAATCCAGAAAGAGACTGCTGTTGCGCAATTTCCAAGCATGAAGACTAGAAGTAGTTTTCTACTAGCTCTGTTGGCTGTCCTATGCATGTTAGCAGATGCCCTATCTATTTTCGAAAATGGCACCCGTGTTGACAAACGACAATCAACAGACCGGCTGGTGTTTGCCCACTTCATGGTGAGACTCCCACTTAGTGCGATTTGGCATCCAGTTAATTGGTCATATAGATCGGAATTACTAGTGATAGGCATAGTTCGTCTGACTATGACGATGATATGAAGCGTGCCAAATCCCTAGGAATTGATGCATTTGCGCTCAATATCGGCGTTGACCCATATACTGACCAACAACTCCAACTGGCATACGATTCCGCTGCCAACAATGACATGAAGGTTTTCATATCGTTCGATTTCAACTGGTGGAATATCGGGCAGGCTACGGCAATCGGCAAGAAAATTGCCCAATACGGCAGTAGGCCCGCGCAACTCATCGTCGATAACAAGATATTTGTCTCTTCCTTTGCGGGTGACGGACTCAATGTAGCAGCATTGCGAGCGGCAGTGGGTAGACCGATTTTCTTCGCGCCAAACTTCCATCCATCATATGGAACCGACATTTCCCCAGTTGATGGCCTCTTGAACTGGATGGCATGGCCAAATAATGGAAACAACAAAGCTCCAAGTGCTGGAAAAAGCGTTTCCGTCGCCGATGGAGACCATGTCTATGTCAATGCACTTGCTGGAAAAGCCTATGTCGCCCGTTAGTATATTGATGCCTATACTAACTTCCTTAGGATTCTTGATAACGATAATATAGCCGTCTCACCGTGGTTCTTTACTCATTTTGGACCTGAGGTTTCTTACAGTAAGAATTGGAACTTCCCATCTGATCTCTTGTGGTTTAATCGATGGAATGAAATTCTTGCCTTGAAGCCGCGCTTCATTGAGATTGTGACATGGAATGACTACGGAGAATGTCATTATATCGGACCTTTGAAGTCCCCCCACACCGATGACGGCGCGTCCAAATGGGTGAACGACATGTGAGATCCTGATGATATCCAATTCATTCGCATACAGATGGCTGACTGTTCTAGGCCCCACGATGGATGGTTAGATATCTCAAAACCATTCATTGCTGCGTTTAAAGCGGGCGAGTCTTCTCCCGACAGTCATATCTCTTCAGATGAGCTGGTTTACTGGTATCGACCGGCGCCTCGAGGTGTTGATTGTGACGCAACAGATACATGCATGGTTTCAGCAAATAATGGTAGTGGAAACTATTTCATGGGACGACCCGATGGATGGCAATCCATGCATGATTCCGTCTTTGTGGTCTCATTGCTCACGGCTCCAGCCACGGTCCAGGTCAATAGTGGGGGAAGTGTCTATAACTATGACGCACCAGCTGGCGCAAGTGCTGAAGAAATTCCAATGGGGATTGGCTCACAAAGCTTCGCGGTAATTCGCTATGGACAGACAATCCTTTCTGGCACAAGTCTAAAACAGATCATCAATGGTTGTGTCTGTGGTCTGTATAACTTCAACGCCTATGGTATGTGCAGAAGTACCTATTTTCTCATGATTCTACTGCTAATACGCAATATTTAGTTGGAACCCTTCCGCCAGGTTTCAGTGATCCTCTCCAGGCAGATGGACTTGCTGCATTTGAGCAGGGCTTGCGTGTTCACACTTGCCAACCCACTCCTTCTCTGGGCACTGTTCCTCCTGGCCCTCCCAGTTCCACTACAAGCAGTAGTATGCCAACTACCTCGCCCAAAATTCCACCCACTGTACCACCCACTACTCCGCCTTCGTCCCCGCCTACTAGCTCGCCCAGTCCCCCTGCCGGAGGTGGAGGTGGAGGGGGAGGAAGTGTTTGCGTCGCTGGATCTGGATCTGAGAACTATATCGGGCTGTGCACTTTTTGCTGCAATTTTGGGTATTGCCCGCCGGGGCCATGCCTCTGTAATGCGTACGGCGATCCAGTCCCTACTCCGCCCACAACCGGAGCGCATGGAATGCCACTTGTTGGCGAGGATGATTCCTATTTGGGGCTGTGTAGTTTCGCGTGCAATCATGGGTACTGTCCTCCTACTGCGTGTAGGGAGGTGTAAAATGGGATTGTTGCTCGTTTGTGATACGCTATTTTTTTCCATCGCCACACGCAAACCCGATGCCAGTAGGAGAACTCCTCCCAATTCAATCTGAGATTCAGGAGAATCAACATTCCATCAGTGTTTTGACAGATATCGCTACTTGTCAGCTTCAAAAATGACCTTTTGACTTCGCATTTCATTGAAATCGTCGTATCTGGTGTCGTGTTAATCAAATGATATCAAGTAAACGAGATAACTTACGCTTGAACAGCCTGAGACAGAGGTCGAATATCATGAGTCATGAAACTAGAGGTTGTAAGTCTTCACATCGTTTTCGGAAGACGAATTGAGCATACTTTAGAACATCCTGCTTCTTCGCCAACAATTGCATAGCCGGTGCAAAAATGCCTATCGCTCGTCAGTACCCGTCAAGATAGGATTTCGGTCTACCTACTCCGGACCGGGCAACGACCCATTTGCAAGCGCAGATTCTTCCCATAGGCTTCATTTCCAGTCCACGGGATTTCTTGGTTGTGGACACCAACACTGGAGAGGTGTCCCCATGGTCGTAGCATCTC